ACTGACGTGATAACCAACTACACCACGAAACCGAGTCGTTAAGTTTACGCAATATTTAGATTTTAAAGCCTAACGCAATTGAAGAGAATCCATAAAACCAAGGTGAAATCTCAAAAACAGTTTGTCTTACAGAAATGGCTTCGCCCAGGTTCGAACTGGGGACCTTCAGTGTGTTAGACTGACGTGATAACCAACTACACCACGAAACCTTGATGTTATGTTTCCACAATAGTTCGACTGACATAGCAATATTTCAACTAAGAAATTCATAACACCAAAATATTGCTCACCTCCTTTGATGGAAGGTGATATTCCTCGTATATAAATTACAGTTTGACAAATATGTAAAAATAATTTATTAAAAATAAAAGAAAAACTATACATGTCAAATTATTATCGACAAAAATGTAGAAATTCATACTTACAAATCAAAATTTAGACACGTACAAAAATAATTCATAAAAAATATAAAAAGAAAAACTTTTACACACATGAAATTGTTATTGGAAAAATTACAGGAGTTTCTACTTATAAGGGAAGGATGCAAGTACGTTCTTAAGAGCATCTTCAGTAGACTCCCTAGCTACTTTGGCTAAAAAGAATGAAAATTCTCTTTCCATCAGACCCCCTACTTGTCTCTCTATTTTAGAGAACCAACTTTTGGCTCTCTACATCTAGCAATGAGGAAAGAGAAATGGAGGCTCGCCAAATTGAAGAGAAAGATAAAATGGGAGAAAATAATAATAAAATATTTTAGATTAGTCAAAACAGAGAACATTGCTGGAGAAAACACCTTTTAAGTGATTTGCTATAATAGATTTCTAACTTTTTTATCTAGAATTTGGAGACTCTCCTAAGATGCTCTAGCACTAAAGTGAAAATCTCAACAAACAAAAAACAAAAAAAAACAAAAAACATATGGCTTCGCCCAGTCTCGAACTGGGGACCTTCAGTGTGTTAGACTGACGTGATAACCAACTACACCACGAAACCTTGTTGTTATGTCTCCTCAATATTTGGGCTTTAATACTAAATAGACAGCTGACTAATATCAAAGGGGGAGGAACTGACTCATTTTGCCCAGTAGCAGAGAGCACAGGGGAACAGGAAGAGGTTGGGCGACAAAGATGATAAGCACCGGTAGGTTTTCACCTTCCTGCAATTACAAGTCTCTTTCCACCACCGGCCTCTCATTCTCACCATACAAAACCCACTTGGGCTTGGCCTTCTTCCCACACGCATCTTCAATCTCTTCGCTCCTCTCCACTATTTTCAAAACCAGCTTGTTCCTCTCTCCCATTCAACAAACCCAACGCACAATTCTCGGCTTTCGCGGCGTCCATGGCCAGAGAAGTAGAGTTTCCCGAGTCTCTGCCCGAAAAAAGCAGCGAAAAGGCGGCGTTGAGCTCTTAGAAATGGACGACTCTGATGACGAGGAGTTGGACTTGGACTTGTTGGACGGCTCGGATGATGAGTTGGGTGGCGACGGTGACGACAAAGAAGATACGTTTGTGCCGTTTGGGAAGATGAAGAAGTGGCTGGAGAAGAAGCCCCGTGGGTTTGGCGAAGGCAAAGAGTACGACATTTCAATTGAAGAGAAGCTGCTCGAAGAAATGGAGAAGAGTAGACAAGCGCAGGCTGAGAATCTCACTAAGCTCTCAGACGACCCTGAAAACCTTAATTCCAAGCAAGACCAAAGCAAGAACAAGAACAAAGGTCTGCGTCTGTCTTCATTGGCTCTAAATCACACTCAGCCACCCACTCTCTAATTTATGATTGAATGTTTTACTTCAATTTTACTGCATTTGCAGCTGAAGAAGTGGTTCCAGCTGGAGTTAGAGTTCGTGTGCTGAACCTTCCGAAGAAGAAGAACATACATAGGGATTTGAGCGCAGCTTTCAAATTAGTCCCTGGTTTGCTTAGCATAAACCCTGCGGTTTCTGGAAACAAGAAAACTAAGGACCCCATTTGCAAGGGTTTTGCTTTTGTTCATTTTAAGTCTGAGCAGGATGCAACTAGGTATATTTTATGTTTGAAGTTATGAAATGGAATTCAAATTTTAAAACTTTTGCTGGTAACAATTATAAGAATATGAAAAAAGGTAGTGATTGATGAGAAAGTGCAAAAAGTTTTGGGCTATGAATGTGGATAGGTGTGTTATATTAATGTAGAACAGGTTACAGGGCACACTTTCAAGTATGCATATTGAGATTTGAGAACACTATGAAGCATGCATATTAACATTTGCCTTTTGATCTTAGATGGTGGGATAAATCTTATTGTTTTTCTGGCATTCTATTATCTGAAATGATTGGCATTCCTCTCATGGCAGGTTTGTTGAAATGTTCTCTTCTCAGAGTGTTCAATTTGGTAAAATTCAGAAACAGATAAAATGCGAGTTTGTAGATTCGCAAGCCCTGAATTATGAGCAGAAAAAATCAACAGATAACCATACTGCTCCTCGACTAGCTGTTTCTGGACTGGGAGGAGGTCAGAAAGCTGTTGCTGAATTAGATGTTTCTTCCCTGGATACATGGGAGGAGACCATACCTGATGAATATGACGGCTCTGATGTGGAGCTTGTTGGACCAGAACTGGATGATGCCATAGATAATATGCAGAGAGCTGATTCTGACTTTGATGATTCTTCCCTGGACGCATGGGAGGAGACCATACTTGATGAATATGAAGGCTCTGATGTTGAGGTTGTGGGACCAGAACTGGAAGATGCCATAGAGAATCTGGACTCTACCAGTAGGTCAGACCTAAATGGTGGAGATAGAGATAGCATGGAATTAAGGACAGAATCTGAGTCCTTATTAGCACATTCATCTTCCTCAAAGCAGCTACTTTCCAAGAGTAAAGAAGAGAAGCTTCCTCGCCGAAAGCCGGTTGTGAAAGGGAAAGCAGAAAGGTCTCCTAAGAAGAAACTAACTGTGAAAGAAAAAACAGTGAAGGTTCCAAAATTGACTGTGGGGGGATCTGCCAAGAGGTAATCAACTACTTTTTGCAGAAGTTTTCATTTGTTTTTATTTCTTCTTTTAATGGAAAAATTACATTAAGTTTGTTGATCATGTTGCAGGTTAAAGGTCAAGGAGAAGGCTGTGCTTAACGATGTGTTCTCAAAATATGGGGCAAAAGCTACTTTGGCTACGAAGGAAGATAGCTAACCAACCAGTAACCAGGCTATTGTAAATCTTTTTGATCGAGAAAAGGAAACCATAACTATGAGTATGATGTGTAACTGTAAACTGGAAAGTGCAAATTCATGAATGAAATATGCTCTTCTTCCCCTTCTTGCTGTCGATGTTATAGTTGATTATCTTCTCTAGAAACCTTAGGTTACACTTCCGTTTACAGTCTTATAATATAACACGTCAAATTGTCTCACGAGTCACAACAAAACACGTCATTCAGTCGGTTCAAATCAGTACATAATGCTAATGGTTTTGCCTTATTTTCTTATCTTTCTATTTCTACGCAAAAGTTGGTTAGGCCGGGAGATGTTCTTTAAACGTTGACGTTGAGAACATGAATAAATGATGTTGTATTGTCATATGGGCCTTATTTTCTAACCGAGTAAGAAAAGTCAGAAAATTACCTATTCTTCTATGTTGCCTGTTTGTATAGCAGTATTGTAATCGTAATTGGTTTTCTTTCCTGTTTCTATGAACTCTATGTGTCAAAGGGTTTAGCACTATCTACTTCTTTATAAATATCTCCTCTTTGGAGAAGAATACATACTAGAAAATTCTCATATACTTTGGCATCTTCCAATTTCATAGGATTTGATTATCTCTCAAACTTTCCATTACCCAATCAATTCCTTACTTTTGTTTGTCAGTTAGGAGGAGTGAGCCTTAGATATATATTATTTACATTATGCTCCATAGAAGGGGATACTATGCTATTATTTTGGGCACCGTATGTTTTTTAGGTGTAGCCGTTTTTGCATGTTTTGGTTTAATTCTCTTTTACAATCTGCAAGAACCCGAGTTCAGCGTCACAAATGCCTTTCTTACCCAATTCAACTTCGACACAGCCACCGACCAGAGTCTCCACTACAACCTTGCTCTTGACATCACAATAACAAACCCTAACAAAAGGGTAGGCATAGAGTACTGTGACATCCAAGCCATTGCAATGTGTGGACATAAGATGTTTGCTCTCTCAAGGTAAGCAGTTGGTGCAGTTTGAAGAAGCTCAGATTTGCAAGTTTAAATCCGAGACCGTTGCTGGTGTCTATAGTATTGACTTGCAGCTTGCTCTTCGGGTGAAGGCTAGATACGGCAAGTCATTCAATGGCAGAAGTAATAAGATTGGCATCCTTTGCAAGTTGTTGGTTCCTTTGACTACTTTTGGAACATCTATTGATGGCAATGGCGGCGAGTGTTTCAACACTACAAAGTGCTTCAATACTAATAAATTCTTTCCCGAAATTTACTAACCTTTTGTGGCAATCTTCCTTATTTCATTTGGGATGTTCTCTTTCCAGCATTGTCATGGTGTTTAAGTTTTTATTTTATAAATTCAATTTCCTCTAATAGTCATACTTAAACAAGGAATTACAAAAGTATAATTAAATTCAATTTGGCTCAATTAGATCCAGTATACAGACTTACAGTAGTTGTGCCGTGCCACTGTGAACATGGAAACCCAAGTTAAGCTCATTATTCTCCCTAATAATACACTTCCTTCTTTTTTGCCAGACATAGCAGTCAATTCAAACATTATATTATAGGCAAAACATCCTCCCTGCAGGCTTTCTGTAGAAGACCCTGCATAGCAGTTAATTCAAATATTATTAGTCTTATAATATAACATATCAAATTGTCTCACAACGAAAGACACATGGCGTTCGATTGGTTCGAATATAAATATAATGCTAAATTCACCTAAATTTGTTAATAGTTTTGCCTTATTTCCTTATTCTTTCCTAAGCACAGCGGACAAAAATTATAGAGGAGATTCCTTTATGTTTGATTCTCTCCTCCCAATATTTATATTGTATAAAAAAAAGATAAAGAAAGAAAAACGTTAAACGATGTCGTGTTTGTCATATGGGCCGTGGCCCACAACTGATAGTTAGCCGGCCCAGTCAAACCCAAATCCTTTTCTATCTCTCTGCCTCTGGCCCTCTGGCCCTCTGGCTCTGTTTCAGAAACCTGGACAATCCATCCTGACACTGCGTGTGTGATGAACTGCTTGTCGCACGTTTCGTCATACACAACCGCCATTTTCAGAAGGAATGGTCGTTTCATGGCGACGAGTTTTCTGTACAGACCTTGTTCGTTGAAAAGAAAATTGGACCTTTCGTGTGGGGTTAAGTGCATCAACTTAGAATCAACGAGATTCCATGCTCAGCTCTACTCGTCTCGAAGCAAAGCCAGCAGCAGCAAGACGACGTCGTCTCGTACACGGAGGAAGTCAGAAGCTGAACCGGTTGTGGAGCTGGAAAAAGATGCCTTCTATGTAGTGCGCAAAGGAGATATTGTTGGTGTTTATAAGAGTTTCAGCGATTGTCAGGCTCAGCTTAGTTCTTCGGTAATTTTACATTTTTCTTTTTCTGGGTTAAATGGGTTAATGTGCTTGAACTTAACTTCACTACACTTTTTCTTTTTTGTTTGGAATTGTGGTAGATATTTGATCCTCCGGTTAGTGTGTACAAAGGATACTCTTTGCCTAAGGACACTGAAGAGTATCTTGGTTCATGTGGACTTACGAATGCCATGTACACAATCGCGGCTGCAGATTTGAAGGACGATATTTTTGGCAAGCTTATGCATTGCCCTTTTCAAGTAAGAGTTCACTTGCTACCCTCTGCAATTCGTTTTCCGATTTCGATTTCAAAAAGGCAATTTTTTTACTGTGTGCCCATTTGGAATTAAACTCCTAATTAGACTTCCAATGGACCAGTGAGATTTAGGCTTCCAATTTCAATTTCAAAAGTCCCCATTTGAAATTGAACTCCTAATTGTGCTTCCAATGGACCAGTGAGATTTATCATTTATCGCATAGCAGTTGATTGTGCTTGTATCTTGTATTATATTTTATTTTTAGTAATTGTCAGCTCCCTTTGCATGTTCTGGAGTAAGATAAAAAATGTACTATGCGCAACAGAGACACTTTTAACTTTGAGGTTGAAAAATGTAATAATTAGTCTGAGCTCAAGCTTTTCTGGACAGGTGTTTTTGAATTAATTTGGGTTGCTTCTCCATGCATCTCGTACTCATTATCTATAGATTGGGAGTATAATTTGTTTCGTTTTCACTTCAGGATCCAGCATGTTTGCAAGGTGGAGCATCTATCATGGATGCACTCAAAAAGAGATCCCATGAAGTGCCAGCATCAGATAATTTGGTGAGTTCATAATCATGGCTATCTCTGAAATACCCTCATTGGAGAAAATGAAGAACAATTGTTGTATTCTTATTTCTGACTATCTACCAGTAAAATTTGTTGTATTCTTGAGCATTTCTATTTCTTTATAGACAATAAAGATACATTATCTCGTGTGTTTCTGGGCATTTTCTATTTTGTTTCTTGTGTTTCCCTATTCAATTGTTCAGCTTCTTCTGTATTGTTAATTGTTTTGGTTTGCGTATAATATGATATAACTACAACTTAAAGACGTTGTAGGTTGATTATGTTCTGTGCCTTGTGCGTCAGATGCATTTTGATTTTGCTGCTTTAGTTTCTACTTGTTTCAATGCTTTGCAGGAAGTAATTGGTTCACCTTCCATAGCAGATGATCCATTGAGAAAGCATGTCAAGATAGATCATTCCACTCAATCATTACCCTTAGATTCTGTAAGTTGAATTCGTGGTAATGCCAATGATGTCTGATGATTGGAAAACAAGCTTTTATTTTTTTCTTTTTTTAAAGATACTATAAATATAAACCCCTTTGCCCACTTTTTGGTGTCTCTCTAGTGATCTTTCACAGTCTGGAGTTCTGTACATTATTATAATTTCTTTGCACTTGTGTTGTATAACAAAAAAGAAGAAGAAAAGAAATGGAAAATGATTCGGAGTCATCTTATATTTTTAGGGCTTCTGTACTCTTGAGTTTGATGGTGCATCAAAAGGAAATCCTGGACTAGCTGGTGCTGGAGCTGTGCTGCGAGCTGATGATGGAAGTTTGGTATGCATTTTAGCTTTGGAGTTTGCATACTTTAAAACACAAGAAGAGTCTTCTCTTTGACCATGCTTCTTCTGTAGATCTGTAAACTTCATGAAGGTCTGGGTGTTAGAACCAATAATGTTGCTGAGTACCGAGCTCTGATTCTAGGGCTAAAATATGCTCTTAAGAAAGGTTTTACTAAGATTCGTGTCAAAGGTGACTCCAAACTCGTCTGTATGCAGGTATGTTATTATTTTTGTTATCTTCTGCTAAGGGTGATTTATCTTATATCTGTTTCTGTCATGGATTGTTATACTTTGTAATTCTTTTTCTGTTTAAAATGGTTTTAATCAAACTCCAGGGACCTGTGCTGCACTTTCAGTCTTTAGTTTGCATGTACTGGTTAATGTTTTTAGATGCCAATGCAACCATCTTTAAGTTGTCCTTAATTTTGAAAAAGGAAATTTGATTTGACATATGCTCTGTTAGGGTCTTTAAGCTTAAAACACTGTGTACAGTGTTGTAATTTCTCAAGGGGCCCCATCCAGTGTTTATGGTGTTTGATGCTTCTGGCGTTCTGTATTTGTTATTTCCTTTTGTTTTTTGTTTTTTTTCTGCAACTGTATGACTGTGATGTTACTGGAACAGGTGCAGGGGTTATGGAAGGTCAGAAACCAGAACATGTCTGATTTGTATGAAGAGGTGAAGGAACTGAAGGATAAATTTCTCTCCTTTGAGATCAGTCATGTTCTCAGGGTGGGTAAAGTCGATTCTGTTTATATTATGTGCTCTACGATACTTTTGTGGGTTTGTATTACAATTCTTGTTAAATGCTCGTCCATCTGATTAATTCACCACCTCATTTGGGCTGCTTATAACATTCTGAGATCTTCTTGTATACCCAAAAGGAACTCAATTCTGAGGCAGATGCTCAAGCAAACTTGGCAGTCCGTCTTACGGGTGAGGCTTTCAAATCTGAGTTTGCGTTTATGCAGTTTCTGGATTCTGTATATGGTCAATCTAATTTATCAATGTATATGGGGCCTGTTCACTATGCAGATGGTCAAGTCCAGGAGGAGGAGTTTGGGAAGTAGGTTAAACGATAGTCTACTGCTGGGTATGTTTTGGGTTGGTATTCACAGAAAGTTAAGACGATAATCACAAAGTTTTCATATTCTTTGGCCTAAAGTTGAATGCTAATGCAGGTGACCTGAGTTTTTGAGGGTTAGACCCTGATACGTTCAGGATATTTGGGCTTCCAGCTGAGTGTACGATGAGCACTGTGGCTTGGTGATTTGCTATTATGTGGTTCGTTGAATTAGCAGCACAGCCATGATTTCAGCTGCGTAACTGTCTGACTCGTAGCGTTTCTGTAAATCAATCTTTTGAGGTGGAGCCAGGGTGTGGCACCGGGGTGAAATAATTCATGATAGAAAGGAGACTCAGTTTCACAAACTCTGATACGGCAAACTTTGGGATTTGCAAGCCTCAGCATACAGAAGAGGAAAATGCATAGGAGAAATGTGTTATTATAGCATTAGATAATAATTGTTTCAATATTCTTATAGTTTTTATGCACTTTTACGAACAGTTAGGAGAAATCTTAATGTTGTAACATACTTACTGTGTATACGATGATAAAAATGAAGCCATAAAGCATATACAATGTGATTTTCCTACCGTCTAATTGGCATAATTTTATGTCTGAATTGTTTCTCGCGAATTCGATTGAACTTGATGCTATCTCAATGCCACACATTAGGTTAGGTTAGGTTCAATGGTGATAAATTTCGTCAATAGAATTATATAAACAAGTGGAGGAAAAAACAATGAAATTAAAACTTTTTACTTGGAACAATCAAATTAAAATTCATATGAAGTTTTTAAAGGCGAATGCTTGGAAACCAAGCAAAAGGTAATTGGTTAAATGATGCGATCCCATTAAACTTTCTTCTTGAGTTGAATTGGAAAATATAACCCTTGAAATATAGCGGTCGCTAGTCGGCGCTACTGCTAAAGATGACGGTGACAAGGTTAATGAGATTGCTGCCAAAACTGACAACGACAAGACCTTCACTTTCTTCTTCATCTTTTCCATTAAAATGTTTATTTTCTTCCACATCATCATCATCATCACTGTCTTCGTCCGACGTCGTTTCGAGCACTGCTGCTGATGCTGTTGATCTTGGTGATGAAGAAGATGATGATGATGTACCCATCTACTCTAACCCAACTGCTGCTTCGGCGGTTAAGCCCATGATACCCACTCTTCTTCAGCCACGCGTTGTGGTCTACGATGGGGTCTGCCATCTCTGCCATGGAGGTTTCAGAAATCCCTTTTCCGCTTCTCCTTTTTTTTTGTTTTTTTTTGTTGGTGTGTATTTTGGGCTCTGAATTTCTAGGTTTTCATTTCGGTCCAATTTGTCAGATGGGTTCTGTTCTGTCTAAAGTGGTTTTCTTTCTTTCCTTTTCTCCCCGAAAAACTGATAAACAGGGGTGAAGTGGGTGATTAAAGCAGACAAGTACAGGAAGATCAAATTCTGTTGCCTTCAATCGGAGACTGCTGAGCCTTATTTGAGATTGTGTGGTCTTGATCGAGAGGATGTTCTTCGTCGCTTTTTGTTTGTTGAAGGCCCGGGGCTATACCACCAAGGCTCTACTGGTTAGTACCTCTCACCATTCTTCAATTTTGTAATTGGTATGCTTTAGATGCTGGATTTGCCTGTTACTAGTACTTTGCATTCAGGTTGGTTTTGGGTTTCTACGTATTCTCATGACACTCACCTCAAGTTCACATCTTTATTCATGGGCTTGCCCTTGTTTGAAAAATTAATTCATTGCTCAGTTACCAGTCTTAGTAAAGTAACAAAACTAAAAATGGGTACTAATAAGAATGTGGGACTTGGTATCTGTAACTCCTCTGTTTTAGACATGTTCTAGATAGGAAGCACAGAAGGGTTGGTTTTCTTAGGTGTGACCAGGAATAATATCGAATGACATTGCAAATCTGAGTAAAGACTATAACCCATACTAGACATTCCACATTCTTTCAGTATTTGATTCTGGATTGTACATGGGGATTTCGATATATTGCTTTTGTAAACTAACCCTCTTTTATTTGCACCCATAATTCTGTCAATGCTGTTCGGTAAATAAAACCAATTACGAAAACTTTGAGGGAAAGTGCAAATTGTATATGAGAGAGACAGACACAAGATTAGAAAAGTCCATCTTTCCAAATCAAAGGACAATTTATACACTTTTAATTTAGATCTGATTTTCTTTAACTGCTTAATCATGGCTCTTTGCATGGGCTTTATAATAAACATGTTGAATTTTTGTTGCACAGCTATGATTAAAACAGGAATGAACTATGTAACTTCCCAGATATTTGGGTTTGGGGTTAGGTAAACATGCTTGATCCTTGTATAAGTAAGAGTCTTACTGCAACCTTTCCATAGTCCATCTTTCCAAATCAAAGGAACTTGGTTTTAGTTTCCCTTTAGTAGACTTTCTTCGGCCATAATAATTGAAAACGCAGAGGAACACTTTTGAACCTTACATCCACACCATTTCTGAAGGTTGATACCGTTAGGTTCCTCAGGATGGATGTCTAAGATTCTAGGGATTCTTCTTTCTTTTTCTGATAAAAATCGTAGCAAGAAACTTAGTTTCAAACTTGACTCATTATTCTGTGCATAGTTCTAGTTCTAAACTTTGTTGTTCGAGAAAAACTTTCTGCTCTTGGCTTTGAGGGAACAAGACTTTAATCATGACAAACTAATAGAATTTGGGCAGATTTTTATGCATATGAATGTATGAATGCAAATCATGTCAGTTGCAAGTGCTTTTCCTTTTAGCCTGCATCTCATATTTTTTGCTTGTAAGCTTTTGAAAATGCGGTCTAAATTTCTCAGTTCATATGTTTCTGCAGCTGCACTGAAAGTATTGTCATACTTGCCTCTCCCTTACTCTGCTTTAAGCGCATTCATGGTAATCCCAACTCCTCTAAGGGAGATTGTCTATGATTATGTTGCCAAACGGCGCTATGACATCTTCGGCAAGTCTGAAGATTGCTTAGTCTTGCAAGAGAAAGAGTTGCTGGAGCGTTTCATTGATAGGGAAGAGATAATGTATCGAGCTCGACCAGATTTTTAATTAGCTCCCATAAAGCTAGCTATCACCTACGTTTTGGTTATGGTTGATGTAAAGAAATGAAATAAAATTATATCATTCTGTATACAATGTGGCTATTTTGATTACCATAATGTGATACAACAGTTCAGTCCTAGATTGCAGCTTTGAGCTGTGGCATTTCTGCATTCCGTTCTTTTATAAGCTAGATAAAAATCTTGGTTTGAGCAGAGTCCATAAAAAAACCTCAAACGTTTTAACTGGTGTAACTAAGAGGAGGGTCCGGGGGAAGCAGAAAAAGCATATGCAAACAAAACGCTTCTACTGGTGTTATAGGGCTCAACAAAGAATGAAGAGCCCTCCAAAAATAGGCGTATGCCCCAATATGCGGCGCGCACACGGTATTCTTTAGTAAAAGGCGAAAGAATAGTTCGCTTTGTGCTCACCGCAGGGCTCCGTGGTTTACAAGTGAGGGCTCAATACGCATATATACTTGCTCTTCGATGCTAGTTTTGTCTTTCACCGGCGATGTGGGATTTAAGGTTTCCATCATTCCGCCAGCTGGACTTGAGAAGCATAGTTCTCAACTTTTTCGCCTTGAAAGGAATAAAAAATACATTTTATGCCCAACAACTGTCTTCGTTAATCCATTTAGGTCATAGAAACTATTGAAAGGTGAGTTAAACACTACTTCAAAATTGTTTACACCATAATCAATCGAGCATATCCAGCATCAAAGCAACTAGCACCAACAACATCAACACCATGACACGTGTCACCACCACAGTGACTTGCGCAAAATCCCACATCGGAAATCTACACAAACCTCCCACTTTCACCTCCCTATAAATATGGAATAGTATCCATGTGAAAATGGGACTTCTTCTCTCTACTTGGAGGAGGATCCGGGTCTCAGAGCCAGACCCTAGGGCCGGGGACTTCTTCTCTCCACTTGGAGGAGGATCCGGGTCTCAGAGCTAGACCCTAGGGTCGGGGACTCTCTCTTAGATCCCTGGCCTGGGCATCTCACTTGTCATCTTTATATTCGGGTCCAACCCCATGTACAAATGTAATCATATACCATTATAATAATGAGAGAATACTTCTCCGTGGACGTAGCCCATTCATTAAGGGTGAACCACGTATATCTTGTCTTCTTTACATTTATCGCTTGCCCAAGTCTTTACACACATGCTTAAGGTCCTCACCTTCATTAATCATCCATCACACCTCATCACTAAGTTGGACTCAATTTTGGCCTAACCATTTTGAGCATCAACATTTTGGGGCCGTCTGTGGGAACCGACACAAGAAGCTTCTGTTGTTCTTCCCTCCCTTTAGCACCATTTGTGCCGAAGACACCCTGGGGTTTGAAGGCACCAGCATACCGAATACATATTTGCAAAAGCAGCCTACCGTTGGCACCCCCGTGCCTAGCCACATCGCCTTGCAACACGCAAGCTTTGTGTCGCCTCCGGCACCCGCATGCCCAGCCACATTGCCTTGCGACATGCAAGCTATTTGTTGCCTTCGGTACCTCCGTGCCTAGCCCCATTGCTTTGCGACACGCAAACTTTGTGTCCCCTTCGGCATCTCCATGCCTAGCCACATCGTCTTGCGACACGTAAGCTTTGTGTTGCCTTCGGCCCCCCGTGCCTAGCCACATCTTGTGTTGCCTTCGGCACCATCGTGCCTAGCCACATCGCCTTGCAACATGCAAGCTTTGTGTTGCCTTCAGCACCTCTGTGCCTAGCCACATCGCCTTGCAACACGCAAGCTTTGTGTTGCCTTCGGCACCTCTGTGCCTAGCCACATCGCCTTGTGATACGCAAGCTTTGTGTTGCCTTCGGCACCCCCGTGCCTAACCACATCTTGTGTCCCCTTCAACACCATCGTGCCTAGCCATATTGCATTGCGACACGCCAGTTTTGTGTTGCCTTCGGCACCTTCGTGCCTAGCCACATCTTAGGTCGCCTTCGGCACCTCCTTGCCCAGCCACAATGTCTTGTAACAAGCAAGCTTTGTGTTGCCTTTGACATCCCGCCACAATTCGGCGCGAGCGATGCCTTCAGCACCCAGTCCTCATGTGGCTCATGCGATGCTTTTGGCAAACCTCTCTGACATGAACAATGCCTTCGACACCTTGCCTTACATGGCTTGCATGGCCAAGCCACCATTTCAACCCAAGGAATCACCTTTCAGTCATATTGAAAAAGTCTCAATTTATGGGTGGCCAAATATCCCAAATGCACCAAGGATATCACCATGCATGGCTTGCGCATGGCCAAGGAAAAATTACTCTAGATAAGATTTCTCTTCTTACATATAAATATGGCTTAATTATGTACATGCCCCCTGTGCTTTCCAACTTATCTCAGATTACCACCTGTGGTGGAAAACGTCTCAAAGTACCCCCCAACGTGCAAAAAACTGTCTCACGTTACCCTTTCCGTCAGTTTTTTTGAAGTTCCGTTACGAACGTTACTGTTCATCTCCCCCAAAATTCCAGAACAGCAGCTCCTCCCATTTGTTACTGTTCATCGCACCAGTTTTTGGGCTGCCATCGCCTCCTCCGGCCACCCCAAGCGACGACATGGATATCAAAAGAACCAGCACGTTGTCCTCTACCACCCTCACATCTCAGCCGCTGCCAACCGTCGTCTGGATCACCGAAAAAAGCAAGAAATTGGCCGGTTTTTACCCAAAATCTCCATTGCTCGTTCGGGCGATTCCGAGCACCATTTTCTTCGATCCAGGTATGATTTTTCAACCTCTCGAGTTGTTCTTGCTGCTAGTTGTGTTGGTTAGGAGAAATTTCTGAGTTTTGGAGGGTAAATAAGCGATGAACAGTAACAAAGGGGAGGGGCTACTGTTCTGGAATTTTGGGGGAGATGAACAGTAACATTCGTAACGGAACTTCAAAAAAACTGACGGAAAGGGTAACGTGAGACAGTTTTTTGCACGTTGGGGGGTACTTTGAGACGTTTTCCACCACAGGTGGTAATCTGAGATAAGTTGGAAAGCACATGGGGCATGTACATAATTAAGCCTATAAATATTGTATACAAGCATGCAATATTTAAATAATTCATTGCACAATCCTATTCAACAATATAATTCATGAATATTGCATATGAATAATAGCTGTCCAGATTCGGCCACTTTGCATGGCTTGCATGGCCAAGTATCCCAATTCACCAACAACATCACTTTGCATGGCCAAGGAGTATCACTTTGTAGGCTTCCAAATACACACCTAAGCCATGGAATCAAACATGAAAGCCAATAAGGAGGAAATGGACGTGCATAAATCCAATTGGGACCTAGCATGCCCACAAGATTCAAAAGTGGTGTTTATACCATATTTGACCAAGCAACTAGAAGCAACTCTAGGCAAAGCAAAGAGTCCCACATTGGAATATTACAAGAAGTGAAGGCTCCCCCTCACCTATAAAAGGAGACCACTCTCCCCTTAGAAAAGGATCCTTGGGCTGAGCTTGATCTTTAGTCATGACCTTTTCCTTTCTCACTTTTATATTTGGGTCCAACCCCATATACAAATGTAAATACACAATATTATAATAATGAGAATATACTTCTCCGTGGACGTAGCCCATTCATTAGGGGTGAACCACGTATCTCTTGTCTTCTGTATGTTTATCGCTTGCCCAAATCCTCACTTGGTGAAGGTCCTCACCTTCACCCATCATCCATCACACATCATCACTAAGTTGCGCGGGAAAGTACCGAACCATTTTTCTGCGTCAACAGTTTGGCGCCGTCTGTGGAAAGCGACACAAAAAGCTTCTGTCATTCTCCCCTTCTTCAGTGCCCTTCGGCAGATGCCTTCGGCAGTTCCCTTCGGCAGTGTCCTTCAGCACCCCTACAATCAGCATCACCTAACTTGCCGAACGACAATACCATAATGGAGCAACCGTGAGTGCCAAGAGAATGACATGCAGAAAATAAATCCTTGCAATATAATAGTCAGAAGAAGAGGAAATACATGGGCCATCCTAGCTTTCCTTTACGTGCCTTACCGTTCGGCACCTTTGATGAATATTGATGAGTGGGCTTCCAAAAGATAAGATCTCCATTTCTCATCTTGTCTTTATTTTATTCCCGTTTGCCGACATAAGTGGTACAAGTCCACTAATCTATTAGCCAATCATAATGCAGATGTTATTTTGCATGTCTTGCGTGGCTTGCATGGCCAAACCACCATCTCAATTCAAAGTGCCGTTCGGCACCTCTTTGAAGAGAAAGTTTGGGGGGCCTTGTATATTCTACACGTCTTCTGCAAAATATTGGGTACCCAATGCCCACGTGGTTCACTTCCAGGAGACAAACAACTAGTTGCAAGCAATCATTAAAGCCCCAAGTACACCATGCTTGCCGAAGAGACCATCTGGCTTGGCTTTTATTGAGGAATGCATGCTAGCCAACATCTGCCACCAATCACCACTCTTACCAATATGTCAAACCACATCTACATGTTGGAAATTTTCTCAGGACACCCATCGTGTCTTCATAAAACATGGGTGCCCCCATCTGATCAGTAGGGCAGCGATAGATTGCGAAGGACAGTTCCCATACCTGCTGAACGGTAAGGTTGACAACAACGGGGACTTTCAACATCAAAACCTCTCCTCTACTAAAATCTTTCAAGCCACCCACCAATCGGCCACTATGTAGAGTTCGACTTTGGAGATTGCCCAAGATTCTATAATCCACAAAGAACATCATCTTGCGTTACTTGCACGGCCAAAGAGCAGCCCACGTACGGTAACAAACGGCAATAGCCTCAATTCATATATAAAGCCAACTGCCCACTGCACTTTCAAGATTTTCAACAGAAACCTGCATGAAAGGTCGAAATACCGAACGGCACACCCATCCGGGAGATTGATCAAGCCACCCAAAAGTTGTGGCCATTCATCTCCATGTTGATCGAGAAGCTGCCGAAGGAGGTATGGCCCATGCCGAAATCTTCAATCGTGGCACCACAAGGTGTTGTCTCCTCCTCAGAACTTCCAAATTGCCGAACGGCAATACCGAGCATGACTCACCTGGGAACCACCTCCCTAATCGGACAAATCATCCTACCGTTCGGTAAGACAAAATTAAGCCAACTGATATTCCCAGACCTTCAGTAGATCGGCAATTCAGTGCTCGGCAGATTCCGATTGGTGCTCCACAGAGGATGAACGTCCCTGTTCTGGGCTAGCAAATCATATTACCGTTCGGCACTCCCTCTCTTCAATACCACAATCTTTCAAGCCATCCAGGGGTTCAGAACGACATTATCGTTTGGTACCACCAGTGCTCAAAGCAACCACGAAGCTCTGTTGCACCGCCATGCTGGACAGAAACTCTCTATTGAATGGTCTGTCAGAATGGCAAGGCACAGACCCAAATCTGTCCCAACCAAACCTTGTTGAACGACAGTCAACATGCCGAACCATATGGGATTCATCTCCAAAATCTAAACCAGCAAGTGGGAAGTATTGTACAGCAAAATGGCTATCATCTACCCCTCTGGTTTTATCGGTCACCGATCAGAAGGATATCAATATGAGCACATCACGATCATCCTTCTCCAAAAAAAAAAAGTGGAATAGTCCTTGTCTTTTTTATCTTATTGTTATTTTATTAAGATCTTATCAAGCTCATTTGTGGTCCAGAATATTGCCCAACTTCGGATGGCCTTACATGCACCAGCGCATGCACTACGACACATGGCAAGGAATATTCATGCCAATATCTCCTACAATTCTCTACGCACCCACCTTCAAGTCAGTGGCTATCAAAGAGAAATACAATAAAAAAGTTGCATGCCATTCGTTGAATTGGCATCTCAAAACAAAGACCCATGGCGTACAACACACTCGGACCAAGACTTGAGATGGCAGAGCCAAGCTTGCTGATCGGTAACTCACAAGCAGACTGTTTCTCTTCATCTATAAAAAAAAACCAGCACTACCGATCCATATCAAAGTAGATCAAGGGCCTGAAATTACGAAATACCCATCGGTAAATTCCTCAAAAAATTATTATTTTGCAACAGAGCCTCAAAGACAGACCTCATTTGTCTCTTCCCGAATGGAAACTCCGGTACTTGCTGGAGCTGACACATCTTCAGCCCATTTCCAGCATATATTGTCTAGTCCTTGTGTTCTGCATAAATTGCCAAATGGTAGTGAGGATCCAAGGGGACTACAAGAAATGCAAAACGGCATATCAAGAGTTGCGAATTACAGCCTTCAATTTGGTAAATATTCTGAGGCTACCGAAAGGCATCTCCTACTGCACCAACGGCAACGCTACTGCCCCTCAACCAAAGCCACACTTATTCCGGCATTTCTTCCAGTTGCCGAACGGTAGCCTCACCTCAAATGCCGATTGACAATATACTAAAATTGAAGCCTTGCAAAGTTATTAAAGAGCAAGTCAAAATTCTCAAACCCACTAATCTTGTGGCACTTGGCATTATGCCTCCAAAAAAAAAAAAAAAGAAAGAAGAAGAAGGGAAAAAGCGTGCGGCAAAAGAAGAAGTATGGATACAAGTTCGTGTTTTCCTCTCTTAAAACTCCAAGGAGTGCAACATGTCGTTCGGCACCACTCAATATTTACCTTGTCTTTCGGCAGTTGATACTAATATGCTTATTCGGCATCTAGTGATAATATACCTTCAGTACCCTGCTGTTCAACAGAATGACCGAATTGCCTTTCGGCACATAAGCATCATTACATGTGCGTCATGGCCATTGGCACATCTACATCATCATGATTTGCATCGCTGTCATCGGCCCATATTATCACATAACATTATTGCCTTCGGCATATATAATCATCGGCATATACGATCATCGGCATATACGCCAAAAGAAAAACCCAAGACTATTAGCCATCGGCAATAACCATTGGTAAGCTTGTTCTACAAGCATCTTGATCCGACGAGAGCGATGCCTTCGGCACCCCGTCATCATTTGACATAGCGATGCCTTCGGCACCCTGTCATCATTAGACAAGAGCGATGCCTTCGGCACCCTGTCATTGTTGGACAAAGAAAGTTGCCTTCGGCACCCTGTCATCATCTGACGAGAGCAATGCCTTCGGCACCTCGTCGTCACCTTCGGCACCCTGCCATCATCCGACGAGAGCGATGCCTTCGGCACCCCATCATCATTTGACATAGCGATGCCTTTGGCACCCTGTCATCATCCGACGAAAGCGACGCCTTCGGCACCCTGTCATCATCCGACGAAAGCGACGCCTTCGGCACCCCGTCATCATTCGGCACCATCAACACTACACTACTTGGAAGAAGACTAAGGTTTTGCTCGGTCAATGCACTGAAAATTGCAAGTCCTCAACCAAGAAGTACCTCCTTGCTTGAGAACTTGGGGGACTTCTGTTTATACCATATTTGACCAAGCAACTAGAAGCAACTCTAGGCAAAGTAAAGAGTCCCACATTGGAATATTACAAGAAGTGAAGGCTCCCCCTCACCTATAAAAGGAGACCACTCTCCCCTTAGAAAAGGATCCTTGGGCTGGGCTTGATCTTTAGTCATGGCCTTCTCCTTTCTCACTTTTATATTTAGATCTAACCCCATGTACAAATGTACATACACAATATTATAATAATGAGAATATACTTCTCCGTGGACGTAGCCCATTCATTAGGGGTGAACCACGTATCTTTTGTCTTCTGTATGTTTATCGCTTGCCCAAATCCTCACTCACTTGGTGAAGGTCCTCACCTTCACCCATCATCCATCACACATCATCATTAAGTTGTGCGGGAAAGTGCCGAACCATTTTTCTGCGTCAACAAGTGGAGCCCCCTCTTGTATGACCAATGGGCAAGCTATCATGTCAGCCTGAAAGAATGCCCATGCAACTCATTTTCAAAAGCTTATATATATACAAAATGACAGGGTGCCGAATGCTTGCGTTGGATGATATGCTCAAATTAATATCATGTGCTCTCCTCATTAGCAATTCTCACCCAGCCACCAAATTGATCTGGACACCCAAACAAGTCCAAGTATGAAGATCTTATCAAAACACCCTGGGCCATGGATTAGTCAAGACCTCCCACTCAACCCCAAAATTGCCAAAATGGCAAGCTAATGGCACCTCGTGCGGTTCCAGAAACAACAAATAAATCCTAGCCAAGCTTAGAGAATCTGCGCTGCCAAATTTCAAGTAGCACAGCTCCAATTCCTAGCTTAGCCAAAGCTGTGACCAAGCTCACGGGTCCGTACCGAACAGCCCCAATCACAAGGTCCGTGCGAACATCAAGGTCCTAGCTCCAGCTTCTTCGTGTCTTGCCGAACAACCAAGATCACTGAAGCCCGGCTCCACTTCCCTCACGGAAAGGCTCAGCCCCAAGTCCCGTGCCCAGCTCTATTCAAGGGGCCCAGCCTCCAATCTCTTATTGTATATAATCTGCCAGACAACAAGAACCATTGGTTAGGATTGAAATTACAATTTCCAGCTCAGCACCTATTTTTGCAAGCTTCAGCAAGACCCAAAAAAAAAAAAACAACAAAAAAAAAAAAAAAAAAAAAAAAAAAAAAAACAGACCCCGGCTCCCACCCCCAAACCAAACCAAGTCCTCCTTGCCGAACGGCAAGGAGCGTGCAGAAACAAATGGAAGGCTCATAAACATTACGCACCTCAACGGAGAGCCCAGCTCTGAACCGTGCCACAGTCACAGCCACAATGGCCCGGCCCCAAGGCTTGACTCAAGGCCAAGCTCCAAAGGCCCAGCTCACGGTCTCAAGGCCAAACTCCTTGCCGAAGCGGTGCTCACACCGTAAGGATACTCATGAGGCCCAGCAGCCTCTCTTGGAAGATTCGGCCTAGCCTCCCTTCAAACACAGCCCGACTTCCAAATCTGCACACCTCGAAGGCTCAGCCAATTTGCCTCGAATGCCCAGCTCCACCCGTTGCCACAACTCAAGCCTTTGACCAAATTGTGCTCGAGCCGGCTCCAAAGTTTCACGAAAGCCCAAAGGCTCAGACTTCTTACCGAAGCTGCCCTCGCAACCAAGCTTCAACTACTCAGCCATCTTTATGACACCAACAAGGTATGAGGGCTCAACCAATTTGAGAAAAGGTCAACAACAAACAAACGGGCTTGCACCAAAAGAAACCCACCCTTGCCGAACGGCAAGGGATGAGCAGCAACGAACTCAGTGCTGCAAAAAAATCTTGAGCTACCGAACGGCAAGCCCCATTCAGTTCCAATAGGAGGCCTCTAAAAAACTGCAGTCACCCCTTGCCGTTCGGCAAGGGTTGACCAAAACACATATGGGCAACTCCCCGACCCAAGCACGAACTCTCACCGCAGTGCCGAAGGCTCATTCAGGCTCGGGCCATTCTTCTCTTCTCATCAGTCTCGACTCTTGCTCCTCCCAAGCTAGAGACCCGACACCAGGAATTTTCGAAACTACTTTGGCTGAAGCCCCCACAGGCTCCAAAAAGTTCTATCCGCCCTTGCCGATCGGCAACTTAGTTGAACCTTGGAGGAACCTGCCGACAGTCAGAATGCCCAGCTCAAGACTACCGAAGCTGTGAAAATAAGGGACTTGGCTTTGTTGGCGCAGCCCCAGCTCCTATTTTCAAACCAAGGCCTTAGCTCCCAGCCCCTATTTTCAAATAAAAAGTCCCAGCTACTCCCTTGCCGAACGGCATGACCTCCAGGAGGGAAGCTCACAAGAAAAAAAAATGTAGAAAAGGCCCAGCCCAAAGTCTTATTTATGCTCAAGACACCCAAAATCGGAAGGCCCAGCTCCAAAATCAAAACAACCAATATTTCTTCAGCACCCCACTCAAAATCAAAGCAACCAAGATGGACTCAGCTCCAATATCAGCAACTCTTCCACCTCCAAGGACCCGGTTTCTCACTTGCAGCCAAGCTTCCGAAACCAGCTCACCCGCAGACCCGACAGCTACGGTTTTTTCCAAGCTCTCCAGCAGCTCCGGTTGCCTAAGTCTCTTGCCAACCAGAAAAGGCCCAGCCAACTTTCTTGATAATCACCAAGGCCACCATAGAAACTACAAACAGGTTTCATTCAACCCTTGCCGTTCGGCAAGGGTCGTGCAGACGACGGAAGACTCGGAGCTGCCGAACCAGAAACCCCCAAAACCTAGCTCAGCCTTGCGCTAGTACTTCCAAAGTCGCAGCACCTTGCCGAAACAAAGAGGGCCTTGTTTGCATGGCTCACCACAATTCAAACTAGCCCAGCTCCAAAATGCTCCCAGCTTCTCAAACCCAGGGCCTCATTTGGTCCAGACCCACTTCAGCCTTAGCCAAGGCCCCATGGACCCAGCTCCCTGCCGAAAGCCCAACTAAGGCTAAGCCCGAAACCATGACTTAGCCTACTTGCCAAAGGTCCACTCCAACAAAGGCCCCATGCATTTCTTCTCAAAAAAATAAATAAAAAAAAAAAAAAAAAAAAAAAAAAAAAAAAAAAGGTGGGGTTGAGAATGTCTTGGCCTCCTTGCCGAAACCCACCTAGGGCCTTGCCTTTGCAAATCGTTTAAGCCCAAACCACTTGGGTCCCTTGCCAAAGCCTAGCTCCAAGGGGAATTTTGCCGAAATCTCCATTAAGGCCCAGCCTTTTTTATCCCAGGTCTTTGCCAGGAACCTAAGTATACTCCAATGGCCCAGCTCCTTGCTCTTTAAAATTTTGCTCCCCAAGGCCCCTCCTTGCCAAAACTTCAAGGCCACGGCCTCTACTGAAGCTAAGCCCCACAGGGTTCAGTCCCGGCCTCCTTGCCAAAAGTCCAGGTACCCAGCTACCAATAGGTCCAAGGCTCACACAGTTTTTATTATACCTTTCAAGTGTTAACGCAACTTCTAGCTTGCCAACTTGGGGGACTAGGGATGGCCCTACGGCTCCCACTGAACCTGGAATGCTCGGTCACGATTACACAAAAACCTAACAAGTTCCCAACCCAGAAGTTACTTCTTGACTGCGAACTTGAGAGAATACTGTTTACACCATAATCAACCGAGCATATGCAGCATCAAAGCAACTAGCACCAAGAGCATCAGCACCATGACACGTGTCACCACCACAGTGACTTGCGCAAAGTCCCACATCGAAAATCTACACAAACCTCCCACTTTCACCTCCCTATAAATAGGGAATAGTATCCATGTGAAAAGGGGACTTCTTCTCTCTACTTGGAGGAGGATCCGGGTCTCAGAGCTAGACCCTAGGGCCGAGGACTTCTTCTCTCCACTTGGAGGAGGATTCGAGTCTCAGAGCTAGACCCTAGGGCCAGGGACTCTCTCTTAGATCCCTGGCCTGGGCATCTCACTTGTCATCTTTATATTCGGGTCCAACCCCATGTACAAATGTAATCATACACCATTATAATAATGAGAGAATACTTCTCCCTGGACGTAGCCCATTCATTAAGGGTGAACCACGTATATCTTGTCTTCTTTACATTTATCGCTTGCTCAAGTCTTTACACACATGCTTAAGGTCCTCACCTTCATTAATCATCCATCACACCTCATCACTAAGTTGGACTCAATCTTAGCCTAACCATTTTGAGCATCAACAAAAACGAACCAGACCAGGTTCATATTTCTTCTTTGAAACTTCTCTCAACAACTGTCTCCATTGAATTATAGGGCTTAGCCAAAGATGACTAAGTTCTCCAAAAATGGGCATATGCTGCTAATTGCAGCAAGCACGCGGTATTCTTTAGTAAAAGGCGAAAGAATAGTTCGCTCTGTGCTCTCTGCACGGCTCCGTGATTTCCAAGTGAAGCTCAAGCTGCTTAATATATTAGCTTCTCAGATCATAGCATGGAGCCGATCACACCCTTCATCACCCAACAAGGTGGTAGCCGCCACCAACAGCACCGTTAAGTCTCTAGTGGTCGTTGGGGAGCTACTATTCAGTGCTCACCAAGACCACAAAATCCAAGTCTGGAAAATCGACATCAATGTCATTACAAAACCACACGATCTCATGAAAAACACTTCAAATGCATCGCCACCCTCCCCACCCTAAAAGACCGGTTCCCACGATTCTTCTCTCCCAAGGACTATGTCCCCATCCGGCGACACAAGAAGTGCACCTGGGTGTACAGTCTCCGCCCTAGCCATATCCAACGACACAGGAAGTTGGAAACAATACCTCTCAAAATTAAACAAGTAAAACATGCATGACATATAGATGCTTCATTAACACGAGTGGGCTTAAAGTTAGGCTTGAAGTCATCATATGGAAATATAGGAGATGGAAGTTTGGGAGACAATATTTAGATTTCAGTCGATAATATTTCTCTTAAACTTAAAGATAATTTATTTTATTTCCAACTTTAAGAAAACATGCATGCCTAATTTACAATGTAAGTAAATTAGTATACCTACAAAGTATAGGTAAATTATTTTTTAAATAATTTACCTATACAATCTAAGTATATTAGTATACCTACAAATTATAGGTAAATTATTTTAGTATACTAGTATACATACAAATTATAGGTAAATTATTAGGATATTTAGGATACCTACAAAGTATAGGTAAATTACCTAGTAATCTTTTGCATGTATCACCATAATTTTCCAACGGACAATTACCTAAACAATACTTTTTAGGCAAAAAGACTCATTTTTATTAGGTATATTTATTATTGTTTATCGAATGATATTATTATTATTATATAGGTATATTATTGTACATATGCATTAGGTATAATTATACTATTTACGCGTGTGTTCATTGATTTTGTTTTTGATTGAATCCTTTATTATTGAATAGGTGCCCAAATAATAGGAATTAAATATAAATGCTAAAAAGTAGGGATTTTTAATGGAATGCTATAACGTTATTTTATTTCCAAAAACATGACTACTTTTTTGGAGTCAAACTTGCCTTGTTTTTTTAGAGTCAAACTTGTCTGTTTGTATAGTCCTATTGTACTTGGGTTTTCTTTTCTGTTGTAATTATGTCCAGGGTTTAGCACTATGTACTTCTTTATAAATACCTCATCTTTGGACTAGAAAATTCTCATATACTTTGTTGCCATTCTATTGTTCCCTCATCCCCACTTTGGCTTCTTCCAATTTCATAGGATTTGATTATCTCTCAAATTTTCCATTACCCAATCAATTCCTTACTTTTGTTTGTCTGTTAAGAGGAGTGAGCCTTAGATATATATATATATATATATATATATATTATTTACATTATGCTCCGTACAGTGGGATACTGTGCTATTATTTTGTTCATCGTCGTTTTTGCATGTTTCAGTTTAGTTCTCTTCTACAATCTGCAAGAACCCGAGTTCAGCGTCACAAATGCCTTTCTTACCCAATTCACTTTTGACACAGCCACCGACCAGAGTCTCCACGACAACCTTACTGTTGACATCACAATAACAAACCCTAACAAAAGGGTAGGCATAGAGTACCGTGACATCCAAGCCACTGCAATGTGTGGACATAAGACGTTTGCTAACTTGAGTTTGGGTGGTGGGATATTAGCACCCTTTTATCAAGGCCACGAAAACACCACTGTTTTGCATAATTTGTTGGTTCAAGGGCGGTTTGAAGAAGCTCAGCTTTGCAAGTGTAAATCCGAGACCGTTGCTGGTGTCTATAGTATTGACTTGCATCTTGCTCTTCGGGTGAAGGCTAGATACGGCATGTCATACAAGGGCAGAAGTAATAAGATTGGCATCCTCTGCAAGTTGTTGGTTCCTTTGACTACTGTTGGAACATCCATTGATGGCAATGGCGGCGAGTGTTTCGACACTACAAAGTGCTTCAATACTAATAAATTCTTTCCCGAAATTTATTAACCTTTTGTGGCAATCTTCCTTATTTCATTCGGGATGTTCTCTTTTCAGCATTGTCATGGTGTTTAAGTTTTTATTTTATAGAGAAGATGTTTAAGTTATCATATCAACTATCTTTTTTCTTTCACGAAAAAAGGAAAGAAAAACAATATGTGGTAATATTATATATTAAATTTAAATTTGTATAAACTATTTCTCAATGATCGATAAATCTAGTATTGAAGGCCTACCTAATTATTTTAGCAAATATGTGGTGTGCGTTTATTATGAGTGGTGATTTTCCCACTCCCCATCCAATCTAGTGAGAACATACAATTTAAAAAAAAGAGAAGTTGGAAAATCATTGCACTTAATTCTTTGTGCCCAAGTAGAGAGAAATTTTTTAAAAGAAGCCAAAATGGACAAAATTGCCCTTATTTATTTTTGGATTTCCTAAGGAATCCTTACATTTGCATGTCTTTTATTTGAAAGTTGGGAGGTTTTTCTGTCTTTTTTAACAAGCTTTGGCTTTTTCCAAAAGTGAAAATTTTTTGTGTGGCTAAAACCTAAATTTACTTACTAATTAATACCAAGCACTTTAATTATCACCATGTTCTGAAATTTTAGGCCACAATTAAGTAAGAGAAAATCCATTATTTGTGCCCAGTCAAACCCAAATCCTTTTCTATCTCTCTGCCTCCTCTGGCTCTGTTTCAGAAACCTGGACAATCCATCCTGACGCTGCGTGTGTGATGAACTGCTTGTCGCACGTTTCGTCATACGCAACCGCCATTTTCAGAACGAATGGTCGTTTCGTGGCGACGAGTTTTCTGTACAGACCTTGTTCGTTGAAAAGAAAATTGGACCTTTCGTGTGGGGTTAAGTGCATCAACTTAGAATCAACGAGATTCCATGTTCAGCTCTGCTGATCTCGAAGCAAAGCCAGCAGCAGCATCAGCAGCAAGACGACATAGTCTCGTTCACGGAGGAAGTCAGAAGCTGAACCGGTTGTGGAGCTGGCAAAAGATGCCTTCTATGTAGTGCGCAAAGGAGATATTGTTGGTGTTTATAAGAGTTTCGGCGATTGTCAGGCTCAGCTTAGTTCTTTGGTAATTTTACATTTTTCTTTTTCTGGGTTAAATGGGTTTAATGTGCTTGAACTTCACTTCACTTCACTCTTTCTTTTTTGTTTGGAATTGTGGTAGATATTTGATCCTCCGATTAGTGTGTACAAAGGGTACTCTTTGCCTAAGGACACTGAAGAGTATCTTGGTTCATGTGGACTTACGAATGCCATTCACACAATCGCGGCTGCAGATTTGAAGGACGATATTTTTTGGCAAGCTTATGCATTGCCCTTTTCAAGTAAGAGTTCACTTGCTACCTTCAATTTCGTTTTCCGATTTCGATTTCAAAAAGGCAAATTTTTACGTGTGCCCATTTGGAATTAAACTCCTAATTAGACTTCCAATGGACCAGTGAGATTTATCATTTATGGCATAGCAGTTGATTGTGCTTGTATCTTGTATTATAGATTATTTTTGGTAATTGTCAGCTCCTTTGCATGTTCAGGAGTAAGAGAGACAATGTACTATGCGCAACAGAGACACTTTTTAACTTTGAGGTTGAAGAATGTAATAGTTAGTCTGAGCTTAAGCTTTTTTGGACAGGTGTTTTTGAATGAATTTGAGTTGCTTCTCCGTGCATCTCGTACTAATTATCTATAGATTGGGAGTATAATTTATTTCTTTTTTCACTTCAGGATCCAGCATCTTTGCAAGGTGGAGCAACTGTCACGGATGCGCTCAAAAGGAGATCCCATGAAGTGCCTGCATCAGATAATTTGGTGAGTTCATAATCAGGGCTATCTCTGAACTGTAATACCTTCATTGGAGAAAATGGAGAACAATTGTCTTGGAATTGCTGTCACTTTCTTATTTCGGACTATCTACCAGTAAAATTTGTTGTATTCTTCAGCGTTTCTATCTCTTTGCCTGTTACTCGTACTTCGCATTGAGGTTGGTTTTGGGTTTCTATGTATTCTCATGACACTCACCTCAAGCTCACATCTTTATTCATGGGCTTGCCCTTGTTTGAAAAATTAATTCATTGCTCAGTTACCAGCCTTAGTAAAGTAATGTGGGCCTTGGTATCTGTTACTCTTCTAGATAGGAAGCACATAAGGGTTGGTGTGACAAGGAGTAATATCGAATGACATTGCAAAATCTGAGTAAAGACTATAACCCATACTAGACATTCCACATTCTTTTGGTATTTGATTCTGGATTGTGCATGGGGATTTTGATATTTTGCATTTGTAAACTACCCTTGTTTTATTTGCACCCATAATTCTGTCAATGCTGTTCGGTAAATAAAACCAATTATGAAAACTTTGTGGGAAAATGAAAATTGTATATGAGAGTGACAGACACAAGATTAGAAAAGCCCATCTTTTTAAATCAAAGGACACAATTTATACGCTTTTAATTTAGATATGATTTTCTTTAATTTCTTTAATTGCTTAACCATTGGTTTGTCCTTCTTTTGATGTGGGATTTTTGTACATCATTCTTATCTTCACTTCCATGCCTATTAATGGCCATTACCTTTCTCTTAGATAATCGAGGAGAAACTTGTGGAATGTCTCTACTTCTCATATAAACAAATCATTTGACTTCAATTGTCTAGTCTTCTTCACTCGAGAGATGAACTTATTCCCTCAAAATCTTTGTTAATGGATTCAAATTCTTGGCAATATCAACATTTCAGTACATACTATGAGCCATGAATTCCATGTTGATTGATAAAGCCCTTCTACCACCACTACAAATGGTTTGAAAGATTACATGATTTTCACTTCAAAAACAAACTTTGCATTCTTTCCCTTTGACAAATTGGTAGACTTGGCACAGAGCCATTTCTGGTTTTCACAGAAGAAGATTGAAAAACTGAAAGAAAGCAATAATGTGTCAATTGGTCTAATTTTCTCTTCTTTTTCCAGTCTCACTATATCCGATTTTCCTCTCGTTAAGATAGTATAAAATATCATTGGTGGAGAGATACTTTCCAAATTTGACAGAATCACACATTAGGGTGCGTGCATGGACAGAGAATGACGTAAATTGTTGTTGCTAGTTCAAACTATAATTTTAGAACTTGAATTATAGGGCTCAGCCAATAATGGCCGAGTCCTCCAAAAATGGGCGTATGCCGCTAATCACAGTGCGCACACGGTATTCTTTAGTAAAAGGCGAAAGAATAGTTCGCTTTGTGCTCATTGCACGGCTCCGTGCTTTTTTCTTGAAGCTCAAGCTGCTTAATATATTAGCTTCTCAGTCACTGGCTTGTGGTTCTTTCCGATGTGGGACTTTGTTAAACCATCCCTATCTTCACTTCCTACCTAATCGGACTTTAAGAGAATTTTCATTTGGAAACCTTTCCTCTGTATTTGGTAACGACCATCACTTTTCTCACAGATAATCGAAGAAAAACAATATAAATTATAAAATTATATATATAAATATATATATGGGTAAATCAGGTGGTGGTGTTGAAACTTTCTCTACGTCTATATGATGATAGTTTTCTTTTTTTAGAATGAGAACTTATTCGTAGAATCAAAGACGTACAAAGAACGCCATGATACAGTGGCCTCGTTAGAACCTTCCTAGGACAACCTCATGGGACAAACCCTAGAGAAGGAAAAAGTACCACACATATCATGGACTAACAAGATAGTCAGATTCATGTCACTTTGGACCATTACAATAAAAGAACAAATAAAAAAAGAAAACTAACACATAGACCTCCAACGAGAACCGCAACTATAAACCAACATAGTAGACTCATATGAGAGGATTGCAAAACATCTCAACTGTCAAAAGAAGCCTTCTATGATAAAATCATAGTCCTTTGACAACCACACAAACTACAAGTCATACCAAAGTAGAAACTATGAGAGAATACGTAGGAGGAACACATAAACAACAGTAAAAGGACCCTGAGAAGCACTCCACTTCAGCTCAGAACCGGACAAAGAAAACCTCCTATGACCAAACATAGTTCTTTGGTCGGCACAGAGTAGAGAAGAGCACCACATCCCAACAACTACCACCAGCGTTGCTTTTGCCATTGTCGTTGAAATAGAGACAAAACATCAGCTACTAGATATCACAATTGTCTTGGAAATGCTGTCACTTTCTTATTTCGGACTATCTACCAGTAAAATTTGTTGTATTCTTCAGCGTTTCTATCTCTTTGCCTGTTACTCGTACTTCGCATTGAAGTTGGTTTTGGGTTTCTATGTATTCTCATGACACTCACCTCAAGTTCACATCTTTATTCATGGGCTTGCCCTTGTTTGAAAAATTAATTCATTTCTCAGTTACCAGCCTTAGTAAAGTAAGAAAACTAAAAATGGGTACTAATAGTAATGTGGGCGTTGTTATCTGTAACTCTTCTAGATAGGAAGCACAATCTGAGTAGAGACTATAACCCATACTAGACATTCCACATTCTTTTGGTATTTGATTCTGGATTGTGCATGGGGATTTTGGTATTTTATTTGCACTCATAATTCTGTCAATGCTTCGGTAAATAAAACCAATTATGAAAACTTTGTGGGAAAATGCAAATCGTATATGAGAGAGACGGACACAAGATTAGAAAAGTTCATCTTTCCAAATCAAAGGACAATTTATACACTTTTAATTTAGATCTGATTTTCTTTAACTGCTTAATCATGGCTCTTTGCATGGGCTTTATAATAAACATGTTGGATTTTTGTTGTACAGCTATGATTAAAACAGGAATGAACTATGTCACTTTCCAGATATTTGGGTTTGGGGTTAGGTAGACATCCTTGATCCGTATAAGTAATACTGCAACCTTTCCATAGCCCATCTTTCCAAATCAAAGGAACTCGGTTTTAGATTCCCTTTATTAGACTTTCTTTGGCCATAATAATTGAAAACGCAGAGGAACGCTTTTGAACCTTACATCCACACCATTTCTGAAGGTTGATACCATTAGGTTCGTCCGGATGGATGTCTTTAAGATTCTAGGGATTCTTTTTTCTTTTTCTGATAAAAATCGTAGCAAGAAACTTATTTTAAAACTTGACTCATTATTCTGTGCATAGTTCTAGTTCTAAACTTTGTTGTTTGAGAGAAACTTTAGGCTCTTGGCTTTGAGTGAACAAGACTTTAATCATGATAAACTAATAGAATTTGGGCAGATTTTTATGCATATGAATGTATGAAGGCAAATCATATCAGTTGCAAGTGCTTTTCCTTTTAGTCTGCATCTCATATTTTTCGCTTGTAAGCTTTTGAAAATGTGGTCTAAATTTCTCAGTTTATATGTTTGTGAAGCTCAAGCTGCTTAATATATTAGCTTCTCAGTTGTCGGTTTGTCCTTCTTCTTTTTGATGTGAGATTTTTGTACATCATTCTTATCTTCACTTCCATGCCTATTAATGGCCATTACCTTTCTCTTAGATAATCGAGGAGAAACTTGTGGAATGTCTCTACTTCTCATATAAACAAATCATTTGACTTCAATTGTCTAGTCTTCTTCACTCGAGATGAACTTATTCCCTCAAAATCTTTGTTAATGGATTCAAATTCTTGGCAATATCAACATTTCAGTACATACTATGAACCATGAATTCCATGTTGATTGATAAAGCCCTTCTACCACCACTACAAATGGTTTGAAAGATAAATGATTTTCACTTAAAAAACAAACTTCGCATTCTTTCCCTTTGACAAATTGGTAGACTTGGCACAGAGCCATTTCTGGTTTTCACAGAAGAAGATGCAACGGGCTCGAAGCCATTGAAAAAAAAAAAAACTGAAAGACAATTGTGTCAATTCGTCTAATTTTCTCTTCATTTTCCAGCCTCGCTATATCCGATTTTCTCTCGTTAAGATAGTATAAAGTATCATTGGTAGAGAGATACTTTCCAAATTTGACAGAATCACACATTAGGTTGCGTGCATGGACAGAGAATGACGTAAATTGTTGCTCGTTCAAACTATAATTTTAGAACTTGAATTATAGGGCTCAGCCAACAATGGCCAAGTCCTCCAAAAATGGGCGTATGCCGCTAAATCGCAGTGCGCACACGGTATTCTTTAGTAAAAGGCGAAAGAATAGTTCGCTTTGTGCTCATTGCACGGCTCCGTGATTTTCACTTCAAGCTCAAGCTGCTTCATATATTAGCTTCTCAGTCATTGGCTTGTGGTTCTTTCCGATGTGGGACTTTGTTAAACCATCCCTATCTTCACTTCCTACCTAATCGGACTTTAAGAGCATTTTCATTTGGAAACCTCTCCTCTGTATTTGGTAACGACCATCACTTTTCTCACAGATAATTGAAGAAAAACAATATAAATTATAAAATTATACATATATATATATATATGGATAAAATCAGGTGGTGGTGTTGAACTTACTCTTCTCTACGATATATGATAGTTTTTTTTTTTTTTTTTTTTTTTTTTTGTTATGAGAACTCATTCATAGAACCAAAGACGTACAAAGAACGCCATGATACAGTGGCCTCGTTAAAACCTTCCTAGGACAACCTCATGGGACAAACCCTAGAGAAGGAAAGAGTACCACACATATCATGGACTAACAAGATAGTCAGATTCATGTCACTTTGGACCATTACAATAAAAGAACAAATAAAAAAAAAACTAACACATAGACCTCCGACGAGAACCGCAACTATAAACCAACATAGTAGACTCATATGAGAGGATTGCAAAACATCTCAACTGTCAAAAGAAGCCTTCTATGAGCAAAATCATAGTCCTTTGACAACCACACAAACTACAAGTCATACCAAAGTAGAAACCATGAGAGAATACGTAGGAGGAACACATAAACAACAGTAAAAGGACCCTGAGAAGCACTCCACTTCAGCTCAGAACCGGACAAAGAAATCCTCCTATGACCAAGCATAGTTCTTTGGTCGGCGCAGAGTAGAGAAGAGCACCACATCCCAACAATTACAACCAGCGTTGCTGCTGCCATTGTCGTTGAAATAGAGACAAAATATCAGCTACTAGATATCACAACTCTCCCGAGGAGAGACACAATCCAGCATCACCACATAAACAACAATAAAAAGACCCCTGAGAAGCACTCTACTTCAACTCATAATCGGACAAAGAAAACCTCCTATGACCAAACATAGTTTTTTAGTCAATGCAGAGTAGAGAAGAGCACCACATCCCAACAACTACCACCAGCGTCACTGCCGCCGCCGCTGCTATTGAAATAGAGACAAAATATCAGCCACCAGGTATCACAACTCTTCAGATGAGAGACACAATCCAGCGTCACTACTATCGTCATCGTCGGGACAAAGACAATACTAGCCACCTAGAACACTGCAAAAACAATCAAACAAAACAAATAGACAAACAGACCTAGATCCAAACAGATCTAGACTATTTGGAGAGGGGAAGAGGAGAAGAGGAGAAGAGGAGATAAAAGAGGAAGGGAAAAGATGGGAGAAAAAGAAGGGGAGATGAGGAGAGGAAGGGGAAGACGAGGGGAGGGGAGGAGGGGCAGTGGCCCCACCTCCCCCCTTAGCTTCCTTGCAGTTGGTTGTCGATAAAGAAAAAGAAGACCAAAGTGCGGCTAGGATTTTTTTAGAGACATCTATAGGTAGCACTAAAAAGCTGATTTCAAGAAGCAGGAGTATTAGTTAAAATGTTGCTTACTACTTCTCATATAAAGCCAATTATTTGACTTACAATGTCTATAAGCTTCTTCACTCCGAGATGAACTTAATTTCGTGTTGATTGATAAAGCCCTTCTACAACTAGAAATTAGATTTTCACTTAAAAAACAAGCACACAGCTATTTCTAGTTAACAATCACATAAGAAAATGAAGAGGGGGAAGCAATTTTGATCGCATTAAAGTTACAACATTTCAGATACAAGATTAGACTGTAATTGTAGGGCACCACAAGAATGATGCACCCTTGAAAAATATAGAGTATGCCAATACTAGCGGCAAGCACACGGTATTCTTTAGTAAAAGGCGAAAGAATAGTTCGCTTTGCGCTCACCGCACGGCTCCGTGTCTTTACATCCTCAGCTCAAGAGGCATAATGTAGCAGCTCTGTGGTAGGTTGTGCAACTCCCCTAGTCGATGTGGGACTTTCGTTGCAATTAACTTTCAACACCTTATCATTTGTCTTGTCCTATACGAGTTTCTATAGATTGCATTCGAAAACCTCATGGGATGTTTGATACATGGATTGCGTTGTTCAAAATTTAACTTGTTTATTTCAAAAACCAACCCATATCAAATTGGGTCTATTCTGTAAGACTTTAAAACCATCTTTCAATATCCTTCTTTCCTTTCCCTTTTGTCCTTTGGAGGTCTCATGGCCTGTCTTTAATCTTTATATTTATATTATGAAGCTATCCAGCCTCACCACGAATGTGTTTTACTGAGCAGTAGCATTCCATCCCCTTGCACGCCAAAGTTAGGGTCAGATTCCAAAATTGGACAATTTCCATGAAATCGGATTAAGCCTTTGGGTTTAAGAAAATTGATTCAAAACAAGAACGCAGAATTTGAATGATATTCCATCATAACTGGATCCCAGGGTGGTCAGTATGATATTTGCATAGAAGACCAACAATGAGAAAACTTTGTCGCCTATTGCAAATTTGCAACACTGAGTACTTTGACTATTGGACAAAGATAAATCTCAAAGACAAGAAGCAGAAGATGAGATCATAAGGCAGAAAGAACAGCTTTTCATTGATGCTTGGACCAAAAGCCTTCAAGTAGACACTCCCATCCCCCAGGAGTACATTTTCAAAGCATAACATTACAACAAAGGGCAACTAATAGACTTTCGAATTTTTCCCTCCTCGTCAGTTTTACAAGCATAACAGGAATCAAAACTGCTTGGCTAACTCTATATATATCCTATGCTTACACTAGCAAACTACAGAGAAACAATCTTGCAGAACATGAGCTTTTTGTTAATTTTCGTCACCAGTCCATTCATTCCAGTCCTTGTCAACATGATTTTGTGCCCATTTGATTGCTGCACGCGCAGCTTGCTGTCCACCAGGTAATCCACGCTCATTCAGAGTATCAGCCATATCAATGAAAGGAACTACCAAGAGTGTCCCAGGACCACCATACTCGGTGTGCAAGAAAGTACTAAATATCTGTGGCAAAGAATCAATAGGGAAAACAGTTTAGTGCCTATATACTTCCATTCAAATCAACAAGAATCTTATCCCCAATGAGAAGATATATAACACAAAGTATCCAAATCCATACACAAAAGAAGTGGCTTTGAAAGTAGAAGCTCTGAAATGACAATATTTCAGTGCAGAAGCATTTCTATGAACAACTTCAAATAGGAAAATAAGGAATCATTGATAAAATTGTACACTAGTGTAGGACGAATATAACGGCAAAGAACGTGCTAGACAATGATGCAATGTGAAGAACTTTCTCTCTTTCTATTTCCCAAGGAACTCATATAACACATTATGATTACCAACATATCTGGCAACGATTGAGAACTCCCAACGCAAATTTGTCATTACAAAAGAAACATCAAGTTTATGGATATACAATGCCAAACTTAATTCAAGCAAGGATTTTTGTTCTCCAAGCTACTTAGTCGCTTGCCCTGAGTAAATTCCAAAACATAAACTGATAAACTTTAAACAGCCTAAGCAAAATATTTGGTGTTAAGCAGGCAAAGTCGTTTTTAGCTCCAGTCTCTCTCTTACAATTACAAAATGAGGCATACAATTACAAGGGAAGTTAACTCAGTACCTCAGTGCAGATCCCAACGACCTCTTCAACAGAGTCTTCATACAAATCTTTCTTGGAAAGCTTATTCAGGAGATGGGTCCTAAACTTTTCTGTCTCCTGGACCCCAAAAAAACCATAAATCGAATAAAAATCAATTCTTTTTAGAGAAGGAAAAGATGGTGAGTTGTAAGAGACTCACCTCATCAGCAAATTCTGGAATTGGGTCGGGAAATTTGTATTCTGCTGCTGCTCTGCATATTTGCTTTCTTAACGACAAAGATGACGAAGATGAAGAAAGGTATCTGCTACTAGTTGGTCTAAATCTCCATGACAAGCTTAACGAAACCCTAACACTTGAAACCGAAGAGGAAGAAGAAGGCAGGAAGGAAGAGGATGAGTCAAGTTTTGAAGGAGTTACAGATAGAAGCGGAGCTACACTACTCCAGCTCATCCCTTTCCTTCTCTTATCTAAAACCTCCTCTAAATCTTAACAATGTCTGCTCTTGGAATTATGGGATTTTATTATAAGGCTGATAGCCTCACTACTCTTATATTACAATTTCACCCCTGCCCCAGGGGGTAGAGAGCTGCCATTTTCACAATTTACGACAAGAGCTTTTATCAAAAATAGCTAAAATTTACCTTTTACTTCTATAAATGTCAATTTTTTTTAAAATTTCAAAAATAGAAAAACACTCACCTAAATAGACTCAAATGCCCTCAAAACTAAAACCGACGTAAACCTGAAAAAATAAAACCTGCAATCTTCGTTTTCATTTGATTTCCAACATATAATCTCCCCTATGTTTCGATCAATGTTATATCATTGGAGGACTTGAACCATGAAGCTTCCCTACAGTGCCCCCAAGCCTATATATCTTTCACTGAGTTGCATAGCAGTACAACTGCTCGTACAAGCGCAAGTCATTTGAATCATGATCACCATATGTTTGCTCAAAGTCCTGTGTTTTATGATGCGCTTCTAATTGCTTTGATGGTATCTTCCTGTTCCAATGATATAACATTGATCGAAACATAGGGGAGTTTACAGGTTGGAAATCATATTCATGGTTCAGTCCTCCAATGATATAACATTGACTGAAACTTTGTTTTTATTTTTGAAATCAAATTGAAAACAAAGATGCAGGCTTTGCTTTTAAGATTGACATGGATTTTAGTTTTGAGGGCATTTGAGTATTTTTAAGTGAGTTTTTTGCTATTTTAAAAAGTTTTTATAAAAATTGACATTTATGAAAGTAAAGAGTAAATTTTGACTATTTTTGATAAAAACTTACAAGAGAATGTATTATCTATATCGTGCCAATGTGAACGACAGCAAAAATAGTAGAGTCCAGTAACACTGAACTTTTTTATTTATTTAATTTTTAATTTTTAATTTTTGCATTTTATTGAATTTTAACAGTAATTTTCATTTTTATGTCCCATTTGAATATTTTTTTTCTTTCATCTAGCAGTTGTGATTTGTGTCCCTTAAAAATGAGAAGCTCATCATCCTGATCGTTAGACTGTATTTAAATGGTTCTTCGGATTAATTGAAGATAATCATAACAATATCATTAGACAGACTCAAAAATTTGCAAGGGTTTGTACGTGAACAAGACTGTCTCTCCCATTGTCTGCAAAATTGGAACTGAAGTGTGTTTCCCTTACAAGGCCGAGTTCGTTAGTTTACATGTACACATTGCTCATACAAAACATTCACACATCACAAATTTCTCTCATGTGGTTCAAGCCAAGGAAACCCAAGGAAATCAAACACCTCCTTTTCTGTGTCAAATTTCAAGCTTGCGGTAGCTCTCACCCCCTGTAACATAAAAGATACAAGCATGCATTCAGTGAACCATGAAGAGATACAAAGTGGGGGAAAAGGTACAAAAACCAACAAGCCATTACCCGTTTACTGCCGGAAGAGCCATGAGTAGCTGGAAACAGCCCTGTATCATCAAGCCGGAATCCTTTAGATTCAGCTAGTAATCTCAACCTGCATTAGATTGTGACAAACTTAAAGATGGTGTATTGAAGTTCTCACCAACAGAAGGAACAAAATAGATAAAATTTTACAAACTTTTCGACTTAGCATTTGGGTGAATAACACTTTACCCCAATAGAAACTACAAGACTGATGTTTATAGAAACACGGATCATCGAGTCATGATGTTTATAGAAACTACAAGACTGAGAAATTAAGAGCCTTGCTTTTTCCCTCTAAATTGAGAGGATGCTTCAAAAATATGATACTATGCCTGACATAGCATATAAGTCAATAAGAAAACGAACCTCCTATTCAATACATCATTCCCTGTCCAAGCTATTAGTCCAAATGCATATATCTCCAATGGGTAAACCTATAAAAACAAACCAAAGACATTAGAATATATCAGAAAATTGATCATATATATTAATGTGACTCTCCCATAAACAATCACAAAAAGCAGGCCATAGTGTCCCTGCCCGGGAGGAGGGACATACTACACAAGTATAATTGTACAAGTAAGAAATGAAAAATCAAAAAATAAAGACTTTCTGCTAACTTTGTCTGATATAATAAAAAATGATAGAGAGATCACCAAATACCTTAAGATCTATGCGAAGTCGCAACTCTCTTCCTGGATATGTGCAAAGTCCGAAATATGTGTCAACGCCAGAATCAGTACCCTGCTCATGTTATTGAAAGAAGAAGTTAATGCAAGCAAATTTATGTTATGGCAAGTGCATAATAATATCATAGCATCATAAACAAGAAAAATATTAAGAGAACATTAAAATATATTTTGAGAAGTCAGTTGACTCTGATGTTCAACGAGTGTATAATACATTTTGCAGCATTCTAACTTGACACAAACCAAATGCTTCCTAAAAGTATCACCACTCAACTAGTTAATGAAAACCTGAGTTCAATTTATGACAGCATCTGTGTGTGTAACACTGACATATGTACACTGCAAAAATCATGCGAAGAAATGGCTAAAACAGAGAGAGAAAAAAAATATGTATGCTAAAAAAGAAAAAAGAAAAAAGAAAAAAGAAAAAAGAAAATATATATATATATATATATATAAAATAACAGTCATGATCTCTTGGACTACAGGGGTCCAAAAGATTTGTGGTCACTCACCGTTGGATGTAATTCAACGGTTTACTCACTCTTGCACTCCTTTTAAGAAATTTTTTTTTGAACCATTGGATTAATATCCAAAGGTGGGTGACCACAATCTCTTGGACTCCTGTGGTACAAGAGATCGGGACTGTATATATATATATATATATCATGTTACCTCCTCACTATGCGTACTGAAAATCAAATCCTCTCGTAGGAACTTCATATCCTTTAACTGCTTTACATATTTTGGTAGAAAACCTTTATGACTGAAAACACAGACCAAAGTAAGTAATCCTTTCAAAACTAAAACCAGGAGGAATTTTACTGGTAAATAGCAAGAACACAACTAAAGTAGTAGTATCAAAGAATGGGATCTGAGACAAAAACATGGATTAAAAAGAAAAATGCAAGCTATCCACAAGGAAAATTACCGGCAAATTAAGTAGCATCTAACCAAATTGAGCCGAGGGTATAATGAGAACTCCCTTTAGCTGGTATACATCATTATTCCAGAATACATGTATTTTTTAATTTTTTTTCAAAAAGGGATGAGAAACAATGGCTTCATACCTCGTTCCATCAGGATGTGTAATTACAATGTCTAGATCCCCACAAGAAGCTTTCCCGCGTCTATATGATCCACCACATACAATGACCACCTACAGGTAGATATAGCCCACATACAAATATCAAGCCACACACTAGAAGAGAAGAGCAAGACTAATTCTTTTAAACAATGGGTCACTGAATGTTTACATTGTATCCACATTCATTTTCTAAAAGGTAATACTTAAACAAGGAATTAGAAAAAGCATACGTTCAATTTGGCTCAATTAAATCCAGTATATAGTAGCAGTGCCATGCCAGTGTGAACATGCAAACCCAGTTCTTTTTTGCCTCACATGGCAGTTAGTTCAAACATTATTATATGCTCACCCCAGGCAAAACATTCTTTCCGACTTTCTGTAGAAGATGTTCCATCTCTTCGGCCTATTGAATAATAAAAAACCAGTTTGTTGTGGGTAAGTAGATGCAAAGGAATCAGGTTAGCATAGAAATCGGGAAAACAAATATTATAATTAGACCTCATGGCGTGGGATCCTCTGTTTGATATCGTCATAATATCTTAACCCCAACTTTTGCGAATTTGTTAATGAATCTTCATTCTTCAAATCATCTAATGTGCGGTGTCCTTTCTCATATAATTTCAGTGCAGTAGCTGGACCAACACCCCAAATTTCCTCAAATAAGGCAATTGTTCGTACCTGCAATTCATTAACCAAATGAAGAAACCAGAACCGTCAAACAATAAAGATATGAAGTTATAGCCTTAGAATTTGATCAAATAGTGCATTCCCCTTGCACACAAACATAAATCATAAGTGAATCAGTGTCTTTACACTTTAAAAAAAGGAAACATCTACTGGAGCATGAGTTTAACAAAAAGCAGAATTCAAATTCAAATTAGCAGCAGAATACTGAAACCATAGATTTACTGAGAACCTTTCCAACACCTTTTCATCTGTTTCAAAGTGCTCCAACTTGGATAACTTCCCAGTAGTCACGATCTCCTGAATCTGCAATCACAGATCAAAGCTTCTGTTATCAGGTGGACAAAGTAGGAAGAATTCACCATTCCTCACAGAGAGGAATATGCATACTTTCAGAATAGGAAGCTCCAAATGAAATATAATCTCTCACGTAGCTGACTGATATCTAATTATAGTTAAAGTAACTGAAAACAATTCCCACTCGACTATCCTTTCATGATGGAAGCATAGACCATACTAAATTTCAAAATGCCAATAAATAGTAAGAATAATATCATAAGACTTGTGACTTCACAAAGTGCACCTAGTAACACGTACTTGACACAAAACATATTCAAAGAACTAGCAAATCCTCCTCTATATACAAACCCATATCAGAACAGAATCCTCCCAATACAAAATTTAAACTTAGGCATGTGTCTTACATGATCTTGCATAGACTTTCCAATGTTGGGTAGGTCTTTAACTTGGTCCGCACTTTGAATCTTGAAAGGCAACTTCTCTATAACTGGTATAGCCTTGTAATAGCTAAATGATCTTCGGTCATCACCCAAGGCTTTAATTGAAACACACAAGATTACCACCAAGCATCAGAATTCTGGAATCCAAAAATGCAAAGTGAACAAACAGATGTTAAAGAAATCCCACCTCTATAAATATTGATAAGTTTCCCGAATATCTGGGTTATGTTCTTATTCAAGTCAGGTGGGCTGTAGGGCACAGCCGACTGCAATGCAGTGATCTGATCCTTATTTGGAGATTCAGGGGTTTTGGGTATTGAAGTGCGAGCCAAGTCATCAGGAGAAGATGATCTTGGCTTTTTGGGTTTTGGTGGTTCATCATCGCTAGAAATGTAATCTTTGGAAGACTTGTCTGCAACCAATTTTAGATGGTACATATCCTCAGATACCTTCTCTCCTGAGCTCAAACTATCCTCTAGCCACTGATAAACTATAACTGTCTGCAAACCACCACAAGTTTGAAACTTGGAAGATTATACTCGATTCTAAAACTGAATTGAATCTTATTCAATTAATCAAAGCCTTAAAGAAAATGAAATGGTGAATGAAAACTCACTCCTTTAAAGTGAGCCAAGCGCTCACTACCCAGTTGTTGTAAGAGGGCTTCTGTGTCCATAGCAAGTATGTGAGTGACCCTTTCGGTTAGGCTGTCTTCGATTGTAGCCCCCATTTGGACCAATTTTTGCTTCCAAATCTGAAAACTTAGGCACCAATGCTGAAAATGTGAAGAAGAAGCCACAATAAAAACGCATGGGCCATGGAGTCGAGAAGCTATGAGTGTTTTACCTGTAAACGACGGCTCTGAACTCGTTTTTCGACTAAGAAGACGACCAATCCAGCGAACATTCCCTGAGGATCGGACGGTGGACTTTGATTTCTGGTTGCCTTTGGCGCCATTACTTTGACTGGGTTTCGTTTATTCTGGGTGTGTCGGGGGGGCTTCTACAAGAAGCCGAGGGCTTTTTACAGTTTTACATTTGAATTGGGTGAGCTCGTCATCTGCGAGCTTTGCGTGCAACCGCTATCAATGCTGTCAAATTGTCAATCCTGATCGTTGGAGGACACGTGTGTTTCGAGGAAGACACTTGGCAATCAAACACCGTTTTTTCCTTTTGATGGGTGACAATCCAATACGTAACAGATAAAATATGCGATGTGTATTTTGTTGTTGTTGGAACGATGCGTATTCTTCTGTAAATATTGTAAATATATACGATAACAAATTTGGCAATTATATCACAATTTAAATATTTTTAGTTCTTCTCAATAGTACAAGAACAACATGTATTTTATTATAATATATTTAATAAAAGTGAGTATTATGAATAAGTGCATACACTGACGGACCCAGAAATCTTTTAACGGAGGTGCAATATTGATTCAGTATGAAAAATGGTTTTTCAGAATAATCGTTTTCTCAAGATAATTTTTGGCGGCTTTTATTCTTTACACTTCAAATAAGAAAGTTTGATTTTATGGGATTTTAGTATGAAATATATATTGACTTAATGAGCCATCATTTTTAGCCTAAATCGTATTTTGCACTAAAACCGATTTTTCATATTTTGATTTGGTGGGAATTTGATTTTCTAGTATTTTTATTTGAATCCAAATAGGGGGTACTTTCTTATTTACATTGTAAACTTAAGTAAATAGAGTAATATAAAAATAAATAAAAGTAAAAAGACAAAGACATTTATTTGTACTAGTACATACGGAGCCTATTATATGCAAATTTAATTGTAGTTTCACATTTTTAAGTTGAGATTTAAATTTTCTTTGTCTTTAAGGATCTAACCTAGACACACATGCTCTTGCATATCTACATACTACTAACGTAGCATTTTCGTTATATATTTTCTCACTTGTAACACAAGAAGACTTGAATATCATTTTTCCTTGAATAAAAAATCATATACGCACCATCTTTACTAAAAAAAAACAAAAATCATACTACCATGATACCATCATCCTCATGTATGTATAAAGCCATTTGTGATGGAAAACGTTTTCCCAATATTCATATTTGTTTTCTGCTTAAATTTACAGTTTGGAGGTAAATTCCAAAGAATTGGGAAATTTTATTTTATTTTATTTAAAAAAAAGAAGAAGAAGAAAGGAATTACAAGATTAGCGTTCCTTGATCCACGAATGATCCAACGGACTCAAATGCGTCAGTCAGGAACTGCTTTCACTATCGCTGTCGCTGTATCTTCTTCATAAACCTCTCCCTCCATCCCCAAACCCAATCTTCTTACAGCAAGGGTTTATCCATATCCCATAAACCCTAACACAAAATCCCAAATGATACTCCATCGCTCAGCAACAACAATGCTTCCACTCTACAAACTATCGTCATCTCCCCCTAAACTCTTCTCTCAATTCAGATATTCCTACTCTGTTCTCTCCAATTCTTTATCTTCGTTCCGGATTAGCTTGCTTTGGCTGAGCCACCCCCGCCCTTTCGGAACCGTCACTACTGCCGCGTATCGGAAAGAAGGAGGAGATACGTTTTTCACTGAAGAAAGCGTTTCATGGACTTCCCTTGGCGTATCCGATAAGGTTTCTCAAGCTCTCTATAATGCCGGCCTTGGCCAACCATCACTGGTTCAGGTGCCAAGTTCAGTCCTAACCCTAATCTACTCTTTAATTTCTCGATGTATTGGTTCGATTTCTGAAATCATTTAAAAAGTTTGAACTTTTTATCGAAACTTTTGTTTTTGTTTTTTGCATTTTAGGCTGCTAGCATACCATCTATACTTTCAGGAAAGGATGTGGTGGTTGCCGCTGAAACTGGTAGTGGCAAAACGCATAGCTTCCTTGTCCCTCTAATTGATAAGCTATGCAATGAACAGAACGAATCTGTGAATATTGCTTCTTCTGATCAAGGAGTCTCCCAACCCCGTAAGATTTCTCTTGTTTTGTGTCCAAATGTAACACTGTCTGAGCAAGTGGTTCGGATGGCGGACGGTCTTTGTGACGAAAATGGCAAACCACTTCTAAGTGTTGTATCCCTATGTGGGAGACAGGTATTGATTGTTTTTATTATTCTGTTCTGGGTATAGAATTCTGTATTTATATGGTGTTACTTCTATTACTGAAGGATGCAATTCTCTTTCTCTTTGGCTTTGCGTATTAATTTTTTGTAATGAGGTTCTCACAAATAAGAAACTTTGACTGCAGGGATGGCCGGTTAATGAACCTGATATTATTGTTTCAACACCAGCCGCTCTTCTGAATAATATTGACCCAAAAAATTTCCGTCGTACGGATTTTATACGGAGTGTAAAATATGTGGTATGTTTTAGTTTCATTCATACTCTGTATGATTATTTTTTGTTTTCAAAATCGCATATGTGAAATTTCATGCATAGAAAAAATCACATGATTTATGACTAATATGGCATTTGCAGGTGTTTGATGAAGCGGATATGCTTCTCTCTGGGGGCTACCAGAATAAGGTTATCCGTCTCATACACATGCTCCGCTTTGACGAAAAGCTATTGTCACGGTCAAATGAACAAAATCTACCAGAATCTGAAACTTCATCACATTTCAGTACAGAAGATGAAGACAATCTGCAGGATGAAAATTTGTCAGAAGAAGAGGGAGATGCTGTGGAAAATGATGACTTAGATGAGGAGCTTGAGGCAGGGCATGTCAAAAGTACAGACTGGAGGAGAGTGAGAAAAATTTATAAGCGCAGTAAACAATACATTTTTGTTGCAGCCACTCTTCCAGTAAATGGAAAGAGAACTGCCGGGGCAGTGTTGAAAAAGATGTTTCCCGAGGCCAATTGGGTTAGTGGAAACTACCTCCATTGTCACAACCCCAGGTACACCATGTTTTAGCTACCAGTTACTGTTTGTAATTTTCTTTACCTCCTCACTAGTCAACTGTTGTGTTGTGTTCATTTCACAACATTTTTTGGTTGCTTTGTATTTCAGATTAAAGCAAAGGTGGATTGAAGTTACTTTTGATACTCAAGTGGATGAACTTATAAAGGCTGTGAAGCATGGATTTGAGTCGAGATCAGTTTCTGGTCAGTGCCGAACAATGGTATTTGCAAATACTGTGGAGGCTGTGGAATCAGTGGCAAAGATATTGATGAGAGGTGGCATTGAATGCTACCATTACCATAAAGATTGCTCCTTGGAAGACCGAGCAAAGACATTGGCTGATTTCCAAGAGAAAGGTGGTATTCTTGTGTGCACAGATGCTGCTGCACGTGGCATTGACATTCCAAACGTATCACATGTTATCCAGGTGCGTCTTAGTTTTTAAATAATTAGCTTGAAGACCAACAAAAAACAGTTTTGGTTTTGGGGTGGTGGTGGTGGGGGTTTGTGTTGGGGGGGGGGGGGGGGGGGGGAGGTGGTGTTGGTGTTGGGAAGGGACAAATGAATTCCCCAATTACTTACTGCAGGCCGCTTGAGACTCTAGATGGAACTCTGGATGATTTTTTTCCTCTTTCATTATGTGCTCTCTGACACTATTTTATCTAGCATGCTTTCTTAAGATATTTAGTTTATTTATTTTTTTTTTCTAGTTGTGATCTATTTATTCATTGGCCTCTGTGATGCTATTTATTAGTAGTATGAACAGGAGCTAACACTTGGCATTGTTTACTTATCCAGGCAGATTTTGCTACTTCTGCTGTGGATTTTATACACAGGGTTGGTCGCACAGCCAGAGCTGGTCAGTACGGACTTGTAACTAGCATGTATACTGAATCCAACCGAGATCTGGTTGCTGCAGTTCGTCAAGCAGGGGAACTTAGTCAGCCTGTGGTAACTATTGAAACTTGCTATATCCAACGAGATATGTCTGGTTGTGATTCAACAGTTTTGCAACCTCCTAGTCCTGGATTTTAGATAATGAATTGCATATGTTTATGTTTCTAGTGTTCTGGTTGACGATGGAATCTTTTAGTTGCACCTTGGTAACTAGTTTGCTCTCTTATTACAGGAGACAGCATTTAGCAGGAAAAGAAGCTTTCGAAATAAGCTTAAGAAAAGAGGTAAAGTTCAGATCTTCAACTGTGTAAAATTCAAAATCAGAAGTCAAGATGAAAAAATTAAAAATAAATCAAGTGTGCCCTGCAAAATCTGTAGTAAAGCAGAATTTGAGTTTTGGTTCACTTGCATCTTCAATGGTTTTGTTATGATTAGGGACAGATTAGTTATGATATATAGGGGGCCTGATTCTATCATTTTTGTTCTTTCAGCAGCTTTGCAAAGGATCACAGATTCACGAGCTGATGAAGAGCGTGTTCTAGCATAGATTGCTAGGTTAGTGGAACAAACTTGCATCTTGAATAATTTTGTTATGATAGATTTCATGTTGGTTATGATATACGGGACTGACTATCATTTTTATATTTTTGCAGGTTTTACGAAAATCAAGCTCATTAGATGTTGATGAGGATGTTCTAGCATAAAAAAGCTGTTTGTGAGGATATTTATGTATAAAGAAGCATACACCGTTGATCTTTATAGATTTTTTACTTTTTTCAACAATGATTTTGTGCTTCAGTAACTTCCCAATTGCATTTGATTATTAATACGGAAATGACACAAGATGAATCTGTCACTCTCTCTCTCTCTCTCATAAAAACAAGGTAAGAAATTTAAGTTGAAGAACAAGTCTTTTACATATAAAAATAGGAGCGCTAGCCACACGACAACGAACACAATCTACCACTTTATGCTCGACTTTCTCACACATACCAGTCATAATAAAGTTTAATCTGCGCCATTCAAGAATTGCTTTGCCTCTCCTTTCTTGTTAGCAAGCCTCAAATGCTCAACAAATCCAGTAATATTCTTGTCAGAGCTCCCCCCTTCACTAAATTCTTTCTTAGCCAACTCCTTCCACTTACTTGAATTCTTCCTAATTTCTTGGCTTCTCTCTCCCTCCATTACTTCATTCAAACACCCAACAAACTCTTCTTTCCTCACAACACCCTGCTCATCTTCCTTGGCTCTGACCCCAACCTCCCATATCTCCTGCACGAACTTAGCATTAGTGAGCTGGTCAGCCCACTGCGGCACCGCCACCATAGGCACTCCGAGGCTGAGCCCTTCAAGTATAGAGTTCCAGCCACAATGAGTCACAAAGCACCCAATAGCTTCGTGTGCAAGTGCTTCTAGCTGGTTGCACCATGTCACAAACAGACCCTTTTCCTTCGCTGAGTCAGAGATTTCTTTGGGCAACTTGCAGCGTTCAGATTCTCTCACCACCCACAAGAAATGCACCCCACTTTCTTTCAATCCCATTGCTAACTCTTCTATCTGCTTTTCTGTCAAAGACACCATACTTCCGAAGGAGACATAAACAACCGATTTGGGTGGCTTTGCTTCTAACCATTTGGTGCATTCTTGGCCAAGAGGCTTCCATAGGCTTGCTCCATATCCTCTATCTCCCGTAATCTGCCCATCCAAATAAGCTGAAGGGACCATGGGGCCAATCAACTTCCCACAGAACAGCTTTGATAATCCGTTTGCAGCCTTTCATTGAACTAAAATTAGAATTGGAATTTGGCAACATGATATTTAATTGAGCAGCTAGCACAAATGCATGCAATGCTGATAAGAAAACTCGCTTATGGACACCAAATGCCTAGCATATGTACTTGATTAATGGAAAGAGATTGACAGTCGAACAACATAACATGTCAAGTTGTCTAGATTAGCATTCGTACCTGGCCTTCTAGTGCCTCGAATGTGTTTATAAAGACCCAATCAGCCTTGTCCAAGTCAGGATACTGGTTCAGTTTCATCTTCAAGTAAGCTGGGTACCTATCTGGCTTCTTAAGAAAAGTAGGCAGGTCAGGAAAGTTGAGTGGCGGCAGGCCAGGAACCAACAAGGGCATATCTTCCAGCTTACATGGAAGAGAAAGCAAGCCATGATGAATGCGGTAAAAAATGCTGCACACCGTGGCCGAATTGGTAAAGAATGAAGCTCCATATATGCGACGTTTCTTGGCCACATCAAGAGCCCATGGCAAAAAAGAATCATAAACTACACAATTGACAGGAAAGTCGGAGTTTTGGTATTTATCCAAGACTTGAGATAGGGTTCTTGAGCCATTGGTTTTGAATGATTGAAGGAAAGTGTCCTCATCTGCGGCTTGAGCAAAGCCGGCCTGGTCGAACCCATCGGAGATGGGCTCGATCCCCACGTTCGGGACACAAATGGAGTTGACAGTGTAACTGGTTGTGGCCAATGTGGCCTTGACGCCTTTAGAGGCCAGGCGTTTTGCAAACTGAAGGAGAGGGTTGATGTGGCCTTGGCTTGGATATGGAAGCACCACAACATGACCTCTATATTCGTTATGATGATTCTCCATTTCTTTTGCTTCTGTTCTGTGCTTGGTTTCTTCTAACACCGGCGCTGTTTATTTATAAGCTACCATCCCATTGTGTCATGGTAAAAGTTAAGGACAAACAGTGTTCATGTGAATAGTGACTACTTTAGCAATTTTTTGATACATTTTCACCCACGATTGCCATGTCAATCCAAGGGCAATCACTATTTACCTAAGATTTGAGGAGATGAATTTGTTATGGATTTTGATGTGGAAAGTGAAGAATGTGGCTACGAATAAAAAAAAGATTATGAATTTTTTGGTATTTTGTTTTTAGTATTTAAATTGGCCATTAACATCATGCTAATTGTCAACATGATGTCCGCTTGCCTGAATAAGTCTTGCCTTCGGACTTTTTCAATTTCGTGGCCCATTTTTTATCATGGACTTTTCCTTTGCGGGTGGTGTTCTTTCAATGGCAAAAGGAGGGATGGAAATGCTCTAAAGCGATAAAGAGTTAGTGTGCGATATTGCAATTGCATGGATTATAAAGGCAGTATTTTCATATTAAAACTCCATGATTGCCCATGGGGTAATCGACAGGAGAAAATGGAATTATTAAAGAAGCTGGTAGATGCTGACGCATGAAAACACTCAGGCCATTCATATTATTGCGGCTTCAAAAAGATACACGTACAACACGAAAGGGGAAAGAAACTTAAAAGTAGTTGAGATCAACCCCTATCGGTTTGAAACCAATGGTTTTTTTACCAATTCATTTCAATCCAATTTTTTATTAGATTATAAAATTTACAATTTAATCTAGAGATATTTAATGATATACCCATTTCTAGCACTAATATTATAAACAAACTCTACACAATTGAATTTTTATAAACAAACCCAAAAAATGACAGCTGGCCTTATTGAATTTAATATTAATTATTAAATTACTTTGATACCCTATAAAGTGTTTTGGGTATTTTTACGAGATTTTGGGGTTGGGCTTGTTTTAAGAAATTGATGGCAGTTTTGTAATTTATAAGAAGTTAAAAGCTTTTTTGTTATGTTGTAAATGGGTTTTGGGTATGTTTCTAAAGTCCATTTCATATGGGGTATTTTTATAATTTGGGCCCCCATATTGGGTGTAATAGTGAATCTCCATTTAATCTAATATGGTCAGATGTCAGGATCCAATCTAATATAATCTAATGATATTGTATTAGATTAGATTGAATGATTGGTTTGTACGAAAAAATAATCATGACAAAAAAACTTCATAATCTTATCATTATCATATAATACAAAATTCAATATGATCAAAGATTATGAACCCAAATAATAAAAAAAAAAAAAAAAAAAAAAAAAAATTATACCCAAAATAAAGGGTTGAAATTATAAAAAAACCTCACATAGAATGCACTTTAGAAATACACCCAAAACTCATTTACTCCATAAGAAATTGGTGTTTAAGTTTCTGTAAATTACGTGATTGTCATTGATCAACTTAAAAAAGAAGTCAAACACAAAAAATTTAAATAGCACCCAAAACAAACCCAACCCAATTTTATAAAAGAACCCAAATAATTCATTACAAACAATACGTCTTGAAAACCATAGCTATATTAATGTGTCATGTTGATTAATGACTGTAATATTCCACACATTTACTGTCATGTTGATTAATGACTGTAATGTTTCAGTCTAGGGTAATAACACTGCTATTTTCCTATGACATCTTATTTTTAATGCATGTCTACCCCTGTAATGTTCCAATATAGGGTAATAACACTTTTAGTTTCCTATGACATCCTATTTCTAATGCATGTATACCTTTGTAATGTTCCAGTCTAGGGTAATAACATTGCTAATTTACTGTCATGTTAATTAATGGCTGTAATGTTCCAGTCTAGGGTAGTAACATTGCTAGTTTACTGTCATGTTGATTAATTGCTGTAATGTTTCAGTCTAAGATAATAACACTGTTAGTTTCGTATGAAATCCTATTTCTAATGCATGTCAACCCCCTGTAATGTTCTAGTCTAGAGTAATAACACTGCTAGTTTCCTATGACATCCTATTTCTAATACATGTATACCCCTGTAAAGTTCTAGTATGTGGTAATAACACTGTTAGTTTCATATGACATCATATTTCTAATGCATGTCTACCCCTGTAATGTTCCATTCTAGGGTGATAACACCGCTAGTTTACTATATTGTTAATTAATGCTTGTCATGTTACTATTTCTAATACATGTCCAACAAAGAAAAGATGAAGAAAGAACAAACCAGGCCAACTCAAAACAAGTTGAGCCCAAATTGTTAATACTATTATGTCATAGAAGTATGTTGTTAAAACTTTGTAATAGAAGTACATTGTTAAACAAAAATAAGATCCATAACTGAAATAGTAATAAAAGATAAATTGATCATCAAATCTTAAAATACATTTCGAAAATCAACTAAAATCCGAAGAGAAACATATAATTGAAGCAAAAGATAAAAAATCTCAAGTCCAAACCAAATAACGACGACGACAATGATGACAACAACGACGACGACTACGTGACGAAGAGGAGTAGAGCTCGAAGATGAGGAGTAGAGCTAAGAGCATTTGATCAAGGTTCATTCAAGGTCTTGAACAATCCGAAAAAAAGAAAAAAAAATCAATAGAAGCACGATTTTAGAACAAGAAATCGATGGTGAAATATTGAAAATTGTAGATTAAAGATGAAGAATATAGTTGGACTTGAGATTGAGCTTCAATGGTCTCTCTCAGATCCATAATACAAGGGCAATATAGGTATTTAACACACACAAATAAACTAAAAAACAGCTATTAAATTGAAAAAATTGACAGCTGTGAATTTCTGGGTTTTTTTTTAATGTGTTTATAGTTTTGAAATAGTATAGGGTTTCTTTATGAGACTATCTAAGATTAGGTATATAACTAAATTTCTATTAAAAAAAAAGATATGACATTAATACATTAATTTTTAATATAAATTAATAAAATAATATATTTAATATGTTAATGTTTTAATTTTTTCGAAAATAAGATTAATATATTAGTGAGAAACAAATGAAAGTGTAGATATTATACAATATGAATGTATATTAATGTGTATATTGGATTGGTTCAATTTAGGTTAGATTTTCAATTTTTGATCCGTCATCCGAACTGATTCAATTGGATTTTTATTTTTCTGATCCAATCAAATCTGCCAATGTCTTCAAAACCAATGAAAATTGAATTGAATTGGATTGGATTGGTTGATTTTAGCAAATTGATTTGAATCCTGCACGGCACTAAGATAAACTATTATTTGTTCTCCTCCTAGGTTCACATGACAGGACTGCCATGGAAATATGGATGTGTATAACGTGAGCAAATTGGGTGGTAGAGATTGTGCAGCAGCAAAAACAATAGGAGGGCGTTGGTGGACAGGTTCTTCTCCTTTGGAAAGGACATGTCATATCAACTTTGAGTGACCTTCAACCAAAGATGTAAAGCCGTTCTCGTGAACGTGAAAGGAAGGGATATGATTGGTATGAAGAATTTCCCTCCACAAGTTTTTATTTTATTTTTATTTTGGTTACAAGTAGGGACAGACTCAGGAATCTTGACTCGTAGGATCATAGTGTAAAAGTTCAGGAAATTGGGTTTGTGGGGGGTGGAGATTGAGGATTTAGGTTTGAGGATTTAGGAAATGGGGGTTTTGAAGTTCTTAACTCAGGAGGGAGGGTCTGTTTCAATTATACAATCTGTTCTATTTTTTTTTCAAAGACCTGAACCAAAATGACGTCATTTTGGCTAAGTCTTTAAAAAAAAATTCGCTGCTACTGGTCCAAAACGACGGCATTTTGGCCAACGCATTTTTAAAAAAAAGTCACTGGGCTAGTCCAAAACGACACTGTTTTGGCCAGCCTGTTTAAAAAAAAAAATAGAAGTTGGACCAAAACGACGGCGTTTTGGCCAGTGTGTTTAAAAAAAAATTCGCTGGGCTGGTCTAAAACGACACCGTTTTGGCCAGCTTGTTTTTAAAAAAAATTAGAAGCTGGGCCAAAACGACGCTGTTTTGGCCAGCTTGTTTAATAAAAAAAAACATAATAGCTGTTCAGCTGCTTCTTCCTCAGATCTGCAACCTCCTCCTTCAGCCATTCATGGGGTCACACAGCCATTCAAGGAGACCTTCTACCCAGTGGCGGATCCACCATGGGGTCAGACGACCCCATGGCAGCCCTGGAAATGGCTTGGAGGTTCTTGGTTTCTCTTGGCAACCATGGGAGACGACCCCATGGAGAAGAAGATGCAAGCTGCTAGGGAGAAGAAATAGGGAGGAAGAAGAAAGAGAGAGAGAGAGGGGGAGGAAGAAGAAGAAGATTGAGGGAGAAGAAAGGAGAGGAGAGGGAGGAAGAAGATGAAGACTGAGAGGGAGAAGAAGATGTGTCGACATAATTTTTTTTTTAAAGGAAGATATTTGTTAGTGTTTTTTTTAATATTATTTTAATTTTGTTGAGTAGACATATAAATACTAAAAGTATAGATGAATAGCATAAAAACATCACTTACCATAGTGGTCTTTGAATAGAAATGGACCTTAAGGTTAATGGTTCAACACTCACTGTGTTTTTTGTTGTTTTTTTTAATATTCAAGATATTTTATTATTTGGGTTATTTTTGGGTGAGTTTATTTATTATTTAGGTTGGTGTTATTATTTTGATGAAATTTATGGCTTACATAATACATATATGAGCTTGATTTATTGAATGATGTTTTTGTTAGTGTGTTTTTAAATTATTATTTTTTTGCATTATTTCATTTAAAAAAGAAAATCGGAACTTTAACATTATGACCCTATAGGGTAACAATCTTGGATCCGCCACTGCTTCTATCTTGCTTTCATAGAGTCCATAGGGTCGTTTGACCCCATTGACCCCACTGTGGGTCCATCCCTGGTTACAAGCACTATCAGGGTAAAGAGGAGCATTAGATTCAATCCTAAGATCTCAAGTGCAAAAATAAATACTTTTTAATCAATCGAGCTACAAATCTTTTATTTTCCTCCACCAGTTGAAATAAGAACAATTTTAAATTTTTGACCCACCGTGGATAAAACCCGAAATATATATAATTCCTAAATGGTGTATCGGTTCTTCTGTCCAGTAATAAAATGGCCCAAAGAGGTTGGGTTTTATGATTTCAAAAAGAACAAAAAGAGTTGGGTTTTAAGAGCATTGGACGTGAGAGGAGGAGATACAATCATACAGATACACAAGTCTGCAATATTTAGTTTATTATTGTTCGCTACAAGTTACAACAAATAACACAAGACTCAGAAACTGAACTCAACATTGACACAAAGAAAGAAAATGGTAGAGGAGACACACACACAACAACATCATACAAAACACAACACTCATTAAATATCAAATTTATTTTCCTGAAATTTATTTTTTTTTTTTTTTTTTTTTTTTTTTTTTTTTTTTTTGGGTGGGTTTTTTTTTTTTTTTTTTTTATTGGCCTTAATTGGAAATATAGTAGTAATTAAGGGCACTTGAGGCGATTGCCATGGGTGGTCATATCAGTGTAGCACCTTCCACAGGCCTCCCGGTTGCCGGAGGTACCCGGAGGAACACACTTGCACCTCACGCAGCAGGTACCGCATGCCCTTGTGCACACGTTTGGCCTTGAGTGCAACCTGCACCTCGAGTTGCATAATTCATCACAATCTGCATTATTATTAATTATCAAATTAATACAAAACAAAACACATTTAATTAACACACACCGCTGTGTTAACTTATGTTATTTATTAAACACTAAATGAACTACATGCATGCATCATCAACAAGGGCAAGGGATTGAGAAAAGGCATACTCGGGTAGGGTAAAAGCCTTCTGTTTGCTCCTTTCACCACCTAGAGTAATCGTTAAGAACTAATTAATTTGAGGGCAAATAAATCGAACATATATAACATAATGAATTGTAACACGAAATTTTTCCAATAAAAAGAAAAAAGAAAGGTCGTGGTGATTAGTCTAAACCTGGGTTTCATGGTCTTGCATATTCGAATCAGATGAGACCTGCATGTATGGAAAAACATGTAAATATTTTGAAGGCATGATCTCCAGAGGAAAAGAGTGAGTAATAAAGGGAAGGGAGTGGAACTTTAAGGCTTTTATTATTACCTGCGTCGCCATGCAGAAGAGCAAAACCGCCATAACAAGAAGCAAGCGTAAAGCCATTTAATTTAAACACAAGCAGAAGCAGTGTTGTATATATCCGAAGCTGAAAGGCAAAGCTCTTGATATATATAGCATAGAAGTTGCCTCTTAATAATATAGTTACCTTATTGCCCATGTATCTTCTCCCATATTGCGCATGTCTTGTCTTCTACTCTTCTGCGTTTAATTAGATAATGAACACAACAGTGTCGTTTTATTTTGTGGTTTTGTTTTCAACTAAGTACGACGCCATCGGGGTCTGAAACCATGACAGACCCCATTTTGGCAGTAGCATGACTTTGTTTTGTAATACGAACATATGATATCTTACAAGAAGTAGATATACTCTTCTCTCTCTCTCTCTCTCTCTCCTTTTTGGATGTAAACCAGTAATAGCATGCATGCATAACATAACTATTTATGATAAGATAAGATCATAAAAAAGGAATTTGAAATAAAAATGGCGATGGGCAGCCGGATGCAGGAGGCAGGCTGCCAAGCTGGCTGGATGTATGGATTGGAAGCATGCATGTATACAGGAGACAGCTCTGCTCTAGTTGTATTGTATGCATAATGCATGTATGTATCATATAAGGGAATGAGACGTCAAATCCATATTTTGTTACAGGATGGGTTTTGAATCAATCTTTTGCTACTAGACGGATTTTAAATCAATAATGTCGAACATGTCTGAATTATTGTATTATTTTTTCTCCAAACAAAACGATATTTTAAATTACTCTAATGTACAAAGAAAGTGATGAAACTCAAGTGCAAAAAGTGAATGCGCTTTAGCCAACTGGACTAACCACGAGTGCAGAACAAAAATAAAAAAGTTGGCCTCGGCACAGAAATTGAAACGGTGGGTGTGTCCTGCACTTAAATTTCCAAGAGGACCAGCTAGCTCATTAGACGATGAGGCGGTGGTGCGGTGACACAACAGTCCATGGTCCCTGCCACGACATGAATGCTGTTTCCAAAGTGAGCCACGCACACGCTACACCGCTTAACAGTTCAATAAAATCATCCATCCAAGGCTATATGGCATTGCATTGCATCGGCACCCTCAAAACTCACTTCTCTAATTTATGAAGGCACCACCACTCATCTTTTCTTGGTTGGTCTTGGTACTAAATGCTAATAATAAGTCATTACAAAAACTTCTCTGAATTTATCAGTACATTGAAAGATACAAAGCTTTGTAGACTTATATTTCAACTCTCTAGTGAATAACACCACCCATGAAAGAAAAAGAAAAGCCTTACGAACACTACCTATCTATCACTGAAGAGCTAACTATGATCTCTCAACGTCAAAATTTCCAATTTGTTCCTCAGTAAGTGGAAGTCGATAAGAACTCAAAATTTTCAACCACAAGTTTGGATATTGGAGTTCTTACCCATGCTTCCTGGGAAAAAGAATAAACCAAAAGATGTTGATTTGTTTCCCACATACCACCCACATTTCTAGTCTAATAAGTAAGCCTTCTAGAAAAAAATGTTGATTTCTTTTTCACTCATCTCATATACATGGTCTCTTGCATCTGTCAAAGCACTCTGCATCATGCAAAAGTTCATTAAGACGCATGTGAAAACAAGCAGCACAAAATAAAATGCCAAAATAGCGAAAGAGAAAAAGAAAAAAAAACCCTTAAAGAGGATGAGAAGGTTACCTGCCCAAATTTGGTGAGGAAATTACTCGCAAGGTTCAGAGATGTGACTGTCACATCTTCATTGGCCTTCAGTGCTTGAGCAATTGCAAACGCCCCGTCATCCTGAATACAAAACCATTTTCAAATTGTGCAAAATACTGCTAAAATGTGAAAAAAGCACACGGAAAACACAAAGCCAATACATACCCTGATTTCATTGAACCCTAAATCTAATGAACTTAAAGCTTCATTAACCACTTTTAAGCTACGGGCCAGGCAGGATGCACCCTGCATTTTCCAATGCATAAAAAGGAAAATAACATTAGATTGGAGTGATCAAAATGACCCAAATGGAGTATAAAGACATTGCTTATCTACAGGAACTAACTTCATTTCGAAGTCCATTTGCCCGCAAGTCCAGAACACGTATCGTAGTATTATATTTTAACATATCTGCAATGAACTCTGCACCCTTTGCACCAATCTGCAAAAGATTTTTATATTACATTGTTACAAGATCCTCTCAAACGGATACAGAAAACCCAGATCGAAGATCTAGAAATAGATAAGCATATGTGAAAAACTATAGATTACCTGGCACCAGCCAAGCTTAAGGGTTTCTATGTTTCCGTGAAACTTCAGAACTTCGGATAAAGCCTTCACCCCATCAGGTCCCATGGGATTATAACCAAGCTCCAACTGAGAGAAGAGAGAAGTTTCTGCGATTACATTCATGAATAGAAATGAAAAAAAAGAAAAAAGAAAAAGGAAAAGGGCACAGATTAGAGACTTACAAATGTAATGACAGAATTATCTTTCAACGCTTCAGCTATGGCAGTGACTCCTTTGGCATGGATGTTATTTCCTCCCTTTGAGAGCGACCCAATGTTTTTTAAATTAGTATGTTCAGGACCTCTCTTTTTTCATTTTAAAATAAAATAGAATAAAACATGTATATAAAAAGTTATGCTAACAAAGAAGCATGCTCTTCTCACCAGGTCTATGGTTGTTATTGTCCGGTTTTGCTTCAAAGCATCTGCAATGTTTTCAGCTCCCTAAACATGAACAGGATTTACACATCAGCAAGGATGAACTAAGTTTTAGCACAAACAATGAACTAAGTTCCAAAATAAGTAAGTAGATCAAAATTAGTTTTCAATTCTCTTTTATGTCTTAAGCTTGTCAAATGCCAGAAACATCCAAACAGAGCTGTCGCAGTAGCAGTAGTTCAAAGCAAGCTGACAACCTCGAAACGACACTTAATGTAGGACTTGATCCATCAATCTAATTTCACATACAAAAATCCTAAATATTCTATGTTAAGTGATTTTAACCAATGAACAGGGAACCAAATAAAAGTATGAGTTCGCATAAGTGTGCGGCAGAAATGGTTAACAACTTGAAAATACTATACCTCATCACCTATATCATTCATGTAAACGTTCAACCATAACAAGCTCTTGGTCTTTTTGACATATCCACCAACATGAAAGGCGCCTTTTGCACTAAAAGAGTTGTTTCCAATATCTAGAAGTGTAAGTTTACCTGAGCAAATAGCATATCAGATCAATTGCTGAAAAAATAAAATAAAATAGCTCACTAACTGATGCAGAACTAGGAAAACTATTCATATGCATTCTGCATCACTAACGTTGGCAATTGATATAGTGAAATGCAAACCTTTATGTAATGATAAACCTGACATCAAAGCAGCCACTCCTTCATCTCCAATAGAATTTCCATGCAAATGAAGTTCCTGCATATATAACATATCTATTAATCCCAGATCCCTTACAATGAAGAACTTAATCCATTCTGTTGCGAGCTTATCTATTTATATGCAACAATATTGTGACAAATCAAAGAAGAATAATGATCACCATTTCTTGGCAACACTAAATAGGGTTTTGTCAATCGCTAAAAGTGTTGATGAAGAGAAGATTTTGTGAATCCATTGTGACCGAATGTCTTTTTAAGGCTTCTTATTACATAGTCAGTTCAGCTATCTAACTACTTGTATTTTCCAGTTAACAGAGGATGTAAAATACCTTCGAAATTTATACAAAATTCTGAGGGATCATCAACATAGAATGGTAAATTAATTTGTCTCAATGCAAAACAGGAAAAGAGTGGAAGTGACGAAACATGTACCCTTAAAGACTTGTTCCCCTCAAGTCCTTTCGCTAAAGCATTGGCCCCCAGGGCACCACCATAATTGCCACTATAAAAAATAATAAAATGACATCAGAATTTCTAAAAAGAATAAAAGTTAAGTACCGCTACAATAGAATTTTTAACTTCTCAAGAATAGCCATAGCCAAGCAATACAAACAAACAAACAAATGGTACATATAAACCAGAAATTGTATTATATAAGAAAAAGGAGGAGGGTGCACTAACTTCAGATGTATATTCCGTATTGTGTTGTTCTCAACAAGAGCTCCAGCAAGACTTGTAAATCCCTACCTCCATTTTGCAAAGAACAAATCACAAATAGGACCAGTTATTCAACTGTGATTGAAGTCATTAAAACCTACAATCTTAGAATATCTGGAGGCAACTCCTTACAGAGTAGTCGATCATATTGTTGTTAAGTTCAAGAGCACGCAAGCTTGAATTATTCTTCAACATTTCTGCAATAGCCTTTGCACCCTGCACAGTGAAGCCGTCAGCTTGTTAGGCATATCATTCATGGACAATCCTTTCCTCTTGCAGATTTTGAAGGCACGTGTCTGTACTCATCAGGGCACTTGCTTTGATAGAAAGAAGTAAGCTAACCTCATCTCCTAAGTCAGTACTGTTGAGCTGGAGCTTTTGAATACCATCATTATTCACCAATATATCACATAGGCACTGTGAAGAAGAGTACATCACACAACATTAAGCTCTCAGATTCAAGAATAAGCAATAATATACACATGCAACTGAGCTACCAATTTTTTCTTTGCACTCCCATGGTTGAAAAATGTTATTTTGTGTAGGGAGCGGGGTGCATTTGATGTTTAAAAGAAAAAATTTCCGACACTCAATCTTGCAAGCAAACTAACAAGACAACTTTATCATAAACAGATGGAATTTGGACTGACCTTAACGCCTTCATCTCCAATGGGGTTTCCAGAAAGATTAAGAGTCTTTAACATAATGTTAGATTGAAGAACACCATCAAAAGCTTTCATTCCAGTTCCAGTTATTCCATTTGCAGCAAAACTCACTTCTTCAGCAGTCTGAAACACAATAAAAGCACACAATAATTGTCCAAAGTCACAACATTTCATAAATTAATAAGATGAATTTTTTATTATATATATAATAAAAACAGATAGTGGAAATATTTGACTAAAGAACTCAAACCTGATTGTAACCCAAACTCACAGAAAGAAAAAATAATCCTTCATCTCCAAAATTATGCCCTGTCAAAATAAAGTGTTGCCAAAATATACATGAGTTTTTACATTTTGTTTGGATGTATAGTACAATCATTACATTAATTGAATAATAAACCCAGTTTGTATTCAAAAGAAAGAAAGAAAGATACAATCAAGTGTTTAAGTTAACAAACAATAATAAACCTCTTATGAAAACATATAACTTGAAATATGAATTGTTACAGAAATTAACACGAATGAAATTGGCATCTAAATGAAATTGATATGAATAATAGAAAATAAGAACGTAAAGCAGAATATAATTTTTAGCCAGTATTTTTCCTAAAAGTCTGTAAAAATAGAGAAGCTGCATGCACGAGCACTAAAGCATCTAGAACTACCTGACAAGTCGACACTTCTGAATGACCTAAGTTCCTTGGCGAAATCATTGAGCTTCAGCTTGGACTCTCTCTCAATCTTTGCACCAAAACCTGTAAGCAAATTTGAACCGGCGGCAAAAGACCACTTCATTCCTTCGGCAGGCGTTTTGTTTTCAACAGATGAAGTCTTCTGCCGCTTTGGAACAAGGATTTTCTCCACCAATTTCCACAAAACTGTCAGCTGAAGACATAAATTAGCGCACCAATTTGGGAGGCATGGTAAATATAAAGATGAAATTATAATGCCGGAACAAAAAAATGACTTTGGTTATCTCAAGCGCAATAAAGGGTATTTATCGACAGGTAGGGGGAGTGTCATCCTCATCTACATTCGGCACCAGATTAAGACAGAAACAGAAAAAGAACAATGCTTTTTGCCAGTTGAAATTTGCTAATAATCAATTATAAAGGCTTCTACTTCCTGATTTCTAACCCACATTTCAACCAAGTTAGAGTTTTTCAAGAAGAAACACACCCCAAAAAAAAGAAAAAAAAGAAGAAGAGAGTAATTGAAAGCAAATTCAGTACCGAAAGTGACGGCAAAGAATGAGGCGGCAGGAACGACGAAGGAAGCGAGCTGCTTGACTGGAGCAACAGGCAATGAGCTCGCGCTCTGTGATTCTCTATACACTCTCCGAGCACTGGCGGGCCTTCTAGAACCTCCCTCAGCCGCAGAAGCCGCTTTTACCACCAAGCATCTCCTCCTTCGCGGAAGGATAGGAGGTAAAAACACAACCTGCGTACGAAAGCCCAGCCAAGCACTCCCCGAACCTTGGGATTGGCATTGAGATTGCAGCCTCTGCTTGTTCGTGAGGGGCCGCAGCAGAATCTGAGAACCCAACAGGAATTTCATTATTCAAGTAAAAGAGGATAACAGAGAGAGAGAGAGAGAGAGAGAGAGAGAGAGAGAGAGAGTATGAGAGCAGAGAGAGATGGCGGAAGCGGAGCCCATAGGGTGAGTGAGATAGAAGTTAGAAGGGCATAGAGAGGGTTGTTCTTGGCGACGTATGTACGGATATGGCTATGGAGGTTTGTATTGCAGAGTTGATAGTATTCTGCAGCGGCGGGGTCTCTGAGATTGTTATCGAACAAACCAGCAGCAGGCGATCAGTCTATCAACTACCTAAACACTGTCCAAAATTTGCTTCCCCTGTTCAGTGGACGCTTCACAGCTCTCTTGGGCCTTGCTATTATTGGATACAAACACCGTAGGGCTTATCTGAATTTTGTTGGACTGTTTGCCTTTGAGGCCCAAAACCAACAGTCTCGAATTGGGCCTTGCTAATTTCTCTCATTTATGTTATTTTACAAACAATGTATAGATGACACGTGTCAAATAATACTACAATGAGGGGTTATAATGAGGGATCTTTAATATCCACCGATCAATGAAAATGTTTCCTTTTTATATATATATATTTTTTATTTTTATAAATATTTAAAATAGAGACGATTAATGAAAATAATTAAGTTCAATAATTCCTTCATATTATTGGACAGCTAGCTGGACACCTCCTCAACGTAGCCCTAGTGTTATAGAAGCTCCACGTGGTGTCAATGTCAACCAAAACATTAATGCCAATTTGGGAGTGTTTATGTTAAGAAGCCTCTTACAATGCAACACTAAACTCTCTAAAGTATTATATGTGTGTTTAACTAGTTTTTATTGTATCATGTGTTTAAAAAGTAAATTTACACAAGTCGTCACGAAGATCTACACAATTTAGTTAAGAGTAGCTGAATGGCTTACCTGTAAACAAAGTGTGTCACAAACCGCAGCTGATCCACAATTACAAAGACAACACAGAATTGGAATTGTCCCCAAAATTCTCCCCCCTTTTTGTCTTAGAAAAGACAAAGGGATCACAGACCAAACTAGAACAGCAAAAAAAAAAAAAAAAAAAGTCAACAATATGGGTAGAATATTTCAGATGTATTTCATTATCCGAAAGGAGGTATTTATAATACAAGGTTACAAACCCTAGTAGGGTTATACTAGGAAATAAGAAAAGTACTAATTACATAATATCTATACAAAAAGGAAACAAATAAAATCCTAATAGAATAAGAAAGAAATATCCTAATAAGACTAGGATATGTTGCCAACACTCCCCCTCAAGTTGGAGCAAAGACGTCACGCATGCCCAACTTGTCAAGCGAGTTGTGGAAGATACTAGTAGAAACAGCCTTCGTAAGGACATCTGCTAACTGATACTCAGAACTGATGAATGGGAAGGAAACAATCTCCGCATCCAACTTTTCTTTAATGAAATTTCGATCAACCTCCACATGCTTTGTGCGATCATGTTGTACAGGGTTATGAGCAATTGCAATCGCAACCTTATTATCGCAATATAAATCCATAGGTTTCTTAGGCCCAAAGCCAAGATCTCTCAATAATCTCCTCAACCACAGTAACTCACATACACCATGGGCCATTCCACGATACTCGGCCTCAGCACTAGATCGAGACACCACCTTTTGTTTCTTGCTTCTCCAAGTAACAAGATTACCACCAACAAACGTAAAATACCCAGACGTAGAACGTCTATCAGTAGCCGAACCTGCCCAATCAGCATCGGTGTATCCTTCCACATCTATATGACCATACTTGGAAAACATTAACTCTTTGCCAGGAGTTACTTTGAGATATCTCAAAATACGCGTCACAGCTGCCATATGATCTTCACTAGGTGCGTGCATAAACTAACTCACCACACTTACTGCATACGCAATGTCAGGACGTGTATGAGCTAAATAAATTAATTTCCCCACAAGCCGTTGATAGCGCTCCTTATCAGTAGGAACTTGATTAGGATATAACCCCAACTTGTGATTCTGTTCACTAGGAGTATCAATTGGTTTACAATCCAACATTCCAGTTTCTGCAAGTAAATCCAAAACATATTTCCTTTGGGACAAGAAAATACCATGCTTAGATCTGGCCACTTCAATCCCGAGAAAGTACTTCAAGTCACCTAATGATTTCATCTCAAATTCAGACGCCAGATATTTCTGGAGACTTTGTATTTCTGTCTGATCATCTCCAATTACAATCATATCATCAACATAAATTATTAAAGCTGTCAATTTACCTTTCTGACGCTTCAGAAACAAAGTATGATTCGAATTACTTTGTACATACCCAGACTTCCTCATAGATGCAACAAACCTCCCAAACCAAGCTCTTGGAGATTGCTTTAATCCATATAAGGATTTCTGTAGTTTGCACACCATACCCTCCTTAGAGGTTACAAGGATACCTGGCGAAGGGTCCATGTATATTTCTTCCTTGAGGTCACCATGAAGGAATGCATTTTTTACATCAAATTGTAACAGAGGCCAATCATGATTAGCAGCCAAGGACAAAAGTACGCGTACAGTATTGAGCTTTGCTACTGGAGCAAAGGTCTCCGTGTAATCCACTCTATAGGTCTGAGTATAACTTTTCGCTACCAACCTTGCCTTGTAACGGTCAATGGAACCATCAGCCTTGTGCTTCAGAGTAAACACCCATCTACACCCAACTGCCTTTTTTCCTTTTGGTAAAGGGACTAGCTCCCAAGTGGCATTCTTATTTAAGGTTTCCATCTCAACATGCATTGCATCTACCCATTTTGGATTTGATAGAGCATCCTGCAACTTAGTTGGCACACATACACTAGATAATTGACACAAATATGATACATAATACGATACTTCTTCATGAAAAGTGACATCCAAAGTAACATGTACCTTATGTGAATGAGGGTGGTAGCACTTGTAACCCTTCTGAGTAGTAGAATAGCCAATGAAGACGCAGCAGAGAGCACATGGGTCAAGTTTACTTCGTTGATGGGAGTAGACATGAACATAAGCAACACATCCAAACACCTTCGGAGGTAGCTTAGAGACCGAAACTGGAGGAGTATGGGCACATAATACATCAAGCGGAGTCTTGAAATCCAGAACCCGACTAGGAGTACGGTTAATCAAATAGGCTGCGGCCAAAACACCATGTCCCCAAAGATGGTGGGGAACAGACATATCCAACATAAGAGAGCGAGCAACTTCAAGTAATTGACGATTCTTATGTTCAGACACACCATTATGTTGAGGAGTGAATGGAGTGGTAGTTTGATGGATGATACCTTGATCACGGAAGAACTGGGTCAATGTATAATTCACATATTCACCTCCGTTATCAGTTCGAAATACTTTAACACTGGCATGAAACTGAGTAGACACCATAGCACAAAACTCAGGAAGAATAGAGGCAACATCATGTTTATTCTTCATCAAATATACCCATGTTAAGCGAGTGCAATCATCAATGAACGTGACAAACTAACGAAAACCATGAGAAGTCACACGGGCAGGGCCCCATACATCAGAATGTACTAACTCAAAAGGCAGTGCAACTTTATTATTACTCAAAGGAAAAACAGTACGGTGGCTCTTGGCCATTACACAAGTCTTACATTTGAAGCTAGACTCATCACACGAACTAAATAACGAAGGAAACAAATGCTTAAGATAACCAAATGACGGATGTCCTAAGCGAAGATGCCACAGCCAAAGTTGTTGTTTGTCTTTGACACTGCCAACCTGGACTTTATTAGCCACACACCCACGAACTGCTGCAGCCAGTAACTGTAAGTAGTACAACCCCCATATCCGTTTACCATGCCCAATCTTCGCATGAGTCTTGAGATCCTTGAAAAAACAATGAGTAGAATAGAAAGTAGCAGAAGCGTTAAGTGTATCAAGTAAACGCCAAACAGACAACAAATTGCAACGAATATTTGGAACCAAAAGAGCATGAGACAGAGGTAAAGAAGGAGTGAGGTGGATGGTACCTTCATCGGTAACTGGGGAAGGTAAACCATTAGCACTAGTAATACAGGGGTCATGAGGGTTACGAGACAACTCATCAAACATATTGGTATCATAAGTCATATGATCAGAAGCACCAGTGTTAATTATCCAAGTATTAGAACCCATACCTGGCATAGTATCGGAAGCACACAGATTTGCAGACGGAGCCGAAGGACGGGTCTCATCTTAAGTCATAGTGCAGGCGACCTTGGGACCGTACATACGAGCTTTGTAGTCAGCAAACCAATCGGGATAACCATGCTCCTTAAAGCACTTCTCAGAGTAGTGATTCTCATTACAATGACGACATTTAGGAGGATCGTCAAGAGAGCTAGGGGTAGAGCCAGCAGGACGCTACCCAGCAAAAGTAGAAAATTTTCTGGATGAGGGCCGACCGGTCGCGTCGTGCTTTGCGACCAGTCGTTGACGTGCTGGGTCGACTTTGAGGGCCATAGAACCTCCTCCAAGCATAGCGGACTGACGGGTGTCTTCCTCTATGACCATGGCATAGGCCTCAAGAGGGGGTGGGACAGGACTAAGAGCAAGGATACCGCTACGGAAACCATCATATAGTGGATCAAGTCATCCAAGAAAATCATAAACTCGATCGGCTTCAAGTTCTTTCAAACGGCGAGCCCCATCATCGGTACAGCTATATTCATGTGGACGCAGACAATCAATCTCCTGCCAGGTAGCATGGAGTTTTTCATAGAACACTTTGACAGATTCACCATTCTGACACGTAAGGATGGACTGCCGTCGAAGTTGAAACAGACGAGAACTATTCTGAGTCACAGTATAAGTCTTCCGAGCGGCTTCCCATATATCAAAAGCAGTAGCACCATGTTCAAATAAAGCACGAACTGGCATAGTTATGGAATTGAGAAGCCATGACTGCACCAGACAATTATCTTATTCCCATTTGGCATAGGCAGTGAAATCTTTAGACGGAGCAGGCTTCTTCCCATTGATCCAACTTGCCATACGACGACTAGTAATTGTAATACGCGCACCACGAGACCAAGAGGCATAATTAGAGCCATCCAATTTGTCAGAAGTAATCGGGGTAGAGTAATCACGCGAGGGACGTTCCTCCTTTGTTGTAGACGCACTGGCACCCACCACGACTTTGGAATCATCACCCATGATAGCAGCGGAAAAACACAACACGAAGCAGATACAATAAACACAGCACAGTCACAGGCATAAGAACCCTAAAAAGAATTAGGGCACACAGTAGAACACGAGTGGGCATAACATACACAGGTCACTAGAAAGTCGGCTTTGATGCCAAGTCAAGCAATATGGGTAGAATATTTCAGATGTATTTCATTCTCCGAAAGGAGGTATTTATAATACAAGGTTACAAACCTTAGTAGGGTTATACTAGGAAATAAGAAAAGTCATAATTACATAATATCTATACAAAAAGGAAACAAATAAAATACGAATAGAATAAGAAAGAAGTATCCTAATAAGACTAGGATATCTCGCCAACAAAAATGACAGCAGCTCCCCCTCAGCAGGTGCTCATAGCTCCCCCTTAGTATTAGATCTGACGTTTCCTAGCAGGAAGCTTTCTCCTCTCGATAGGAATTACTGGAGAAGCAACAGGATTTGGTGAGGGATTAACAGAGGCATAAGGGACTTCTTCAGCAATTTTTTACTTGTGAGATTTGAGAAGCGTGCTAATTAAATCCTCATCTGAGACAGAGTCAGCATGAGCTTTTACAGCAGAGTTGTTAGAATAAGAGGAGTTAAGTGGAGAAGTAGAAGAAACGACAGTTTTTGAAGAGGGAGATGCACCAGAGATACCGTGAGAGACCAACAAGTTTTGAATGGCAATGATAGAAGCTTGGTTGGCAGAAATGGCATTAGACATCTCTTTTAACAGTTCATGCATGGTGTCTAGTTTAGATTGCAGTTTCAGAGGAGGAACTGGATGAGGGAGCAGTAGGAGGAAGATTTTTTGATCTCGTAGAGGCAGCATCACTACGTTTGAAAGTGGTTGCATCCACAGTGAGAGGAAGGTGTCTGGAGTCAGAGAAGAACACAGGACAACCTTCTTAAAGGGCAAGAGAAGTAATCAAGGAGGGAAAGACGAGCCAAGTGTATTTGTCATCCTTGTTTTGTACTCCGGCATGTAAGATATTGTAAAAAATGAGCTGACTGATGGGCACAGGATTAGAGGAGGAAATCATGAGATAAGCCATGCCAACAAGGGGTTTTGGCATTCTTGATTTGTTGGTGGAGCGAAAATATTGGATTTTAGCAAATAACACACAGACATCTACCTAGAGGAGTCATATTGCCAATGGTGAAGGATCCTTTAGGTTTGACAGGACTCTCAAGTTTGAAAAGAGCCGAATTGATTTGCTCAACTGACTCAGCTTTGTTCCAAAACACAACAGATTGGGGCAACAGAGGTGTGTGGTAATTTGAAAAAGGAATCTATGATAAGGACACTGATAGAGACATATTTTCCTCGACACCGGACAGAAATGGATTGATCTTGATCATTTATGTCAATATCAGATGGAATATTTGCAAAAAATTCCTTCACAATATGCTCATTATACTGTTGAATGAGTGTGCACAGATGTTTGAGAGAAAGCCTATGGACAAGTTCTAGAAAAACCTTAGGCATAGAGCGTAGATTAAACACACATTCAGACAGAATTTTTCAAAAGATTGCGACAGAGTCGAAACGAGATTGCTCAGTGGAAGAAATCGGAGAGGGTTGAGTTCCCAGGGATGAAGGATGAAGGGATGGACCAGCAGGAGGTGGCGCTTGAGTGCCTGAGGGAGCCGGGTTTGTGACGCGAGAGGGGCCAGAGGCGGTTTCTTCCATTGAAGCAGAGAGAAGAGAAGTGAGATGCCAAGGGGAGAGAGAGAGAGAGAAACTGAGGGAATAAGAGAAAAACAAACACGCCGGTTGAGTTAAGAGAGAGAGATAACAACCCTAGGAAACATAAACCGTCATAGAAAAAACGAAAATAAATAAAATAAGATAAAAACCAAGCCAAGTAGAAGAACAAATAGAGTCACAATAACGGAAAAAAAAAAAAATGCAGAGAAAGAAGACAAAAAGGACAACCACAAACAGACAAAGAAGTTGCTGATGTGCAATCCTGGTCAGAGTATTAATACAACGCTTAATATGAAGCCTACAAAAATAGCCAGGATTGAAAACTGACAGGATTCAAGAATCGTTGACCAAAAAAAAAGAAAAAGAAAAAGAAAAAGGATTCAAGAATCAAACTGCACACACAAAAAATTAAAAAAAAAAAAAAAAAAAAAAAAAAAAAAAGAAGAGAGAGAGAGAGAGAGAAAAAAAAACAAACACAAAAAACTTTTTTATTTTTTAGAACAATTGTGCAGTGCAGTTTTTTATTTTTTATCTTTTGGTCCAATACCTATAGATTTTCGTAGGAACTCAAATCTGGGGAGAATCAAGTGGATTCTCAGTGGGACAATGCTTTTCTTGTGTTCAAAGTACATTGGAACACAAATCAGAATTCTCAACTCATAGAAAGGTTTAAAAGAAAGAACAATTTCCAAAATTTTAATAATTCAACAATCAAAGAGATTTACAAAAGATTAGTCTATTTAGTTAGTTGTTATTAAATTCGTTGAAGACCCCTGGCCCACCCTTAACATCTGGCTTTTTTCTCTGGTGTTTTGTTAGTCTTGCGGTACTTTTTTTGTGTAGTGGGTGAGTTGTGAGAGCCTGGGCCAAAACACATGAAAATCACAGACCCCCCCCCCAACGAGGGAAATATCTAACACTAGTTGACGGGGGGGGGAGCGTGCGGTACATATTAAAGCGGGTATAGACTGGACGTAACAGTTAAGATCCTCCTCCCCCCACCCCACCAACACTCCCCACCAGCCCCCCGGGAAACAACAGAGAGGGGGAAGGTGAAAAGGGGGGGTAGGATGGATGTAAGGGACAATAACACGTACCAACCACCCAACCACCAAACAAGGGATTCGGGTAGAGGACTTAGATACACGGGGACGAGGAGTATAAACCAATTAGGCGACGGAACCATTGGAGGGGACGCCCCGGAAATGATATTATAAACAAATCATCAAGTATGCAGCCAAGGCGAATCGCCTCTGGAGTGAGGCTCACCCGGCGATGAGGTCTCCTTCAATCTCTGATTAGGGAACCGACGGGCGGCACGAAAGAGCTAACCCCCCCCCCCCCAAGACGCGAGCCCCCTGGTGCCACTGGGCAGGTACTTATTTCGGTCGCGTGAGCAGTTGCTTAAGACTTTAATGAAAATGTTGAAGAACGTTGATACATTGAGTCATGATTTTTTCATGCATTATCCGCCTTCCGAAAAGCTTGACACGTTGCCTGTTGTGGGTTGTATTACAGATGGAGGGAACAGAAACCGCGTGATCGGCCCAGCTGAGTGGAGGAAGATATCTCCGTTGATTAGACTGGAATACTCACTTTGCGGAACAACTATTGGTTTCTTGTAGTATAGAAACATGTTGTGTTCATTGTATGCTCGGCTAAGGTTGTATTCTCGTAAAGCACACTCAATCATTGTTAAAATCAATAAATTTCGTTTGTTTTTTTCATTTATAGTCTCGTTTTGCATCTTACTCCAATGGGCTGCGACCTCAGCTTTTTGTGCAAATAAAAAAAGACAAACAAGACAAACAAAAAAAAATTAGTTTGTGACAGCTTGGGTTTTGGCTTTTATTCTTGTTACTTATTTATTGCGCAACCAAACCACAGCCAAGGAAAAAAAAGAGACAAAGTAAAGTAGTATTTGAATGGAAATTGCAAACTGAGTATTTAAAGCAGGCTACGCTGAACAAGTGTTTCGAACTCGTACATTCCTCTTACAACTGTGTGTTTGTTTTAATCCCATTAGTTTAGCTCTTCGTAGGAAGGAATAGGCCGCACTGTTGAGTGCTTCTTCAAGCGCCGACAGGAACGCCTTCACGCTCACTCTGTACTCATTTCGTTTTCTTGGTGTACCGTGATAGTTATGATTCCTCTCTAAGCTGTCAACATCCCATCAAAGTGCGGATTCAAGTTTGGAATTTTCTCTCCTAGGAACATCATGAATATGCCCTTCAGTGCCGGCCATGGATGAACATAGCTCGCCGCACTCAATGTCTAGGATAGTATGACATGAAAGCCAGGACGGCCGGAAGCACATAGACTCTCTGGTTTACATCCGATCTGCGCGAGGGCCAGTAATCCGACGCCACCTGAGGCTCAAGCTTTCCACCCATTCATGGAGAACCTCTCACAAAGGATCAGGGTTCCATCATGCACCGGGGTGCAGAGTAAGTGGCATAGCCAACTGTTATACACCACAATCCAACTTCATCTTGGACAGCAGAGGATAGCCGGCACGGCAGCTCAACCCAAAATCTCGTTGTGGGGTCTTGCTTCCGCTTGCAATCCCCTTCGACCCTCGGATATCACATCTCCTTCCCATAGAGTTGGGAACAATATCGAGACAGCGTAGGCAACGGGTCAGCCGTATCACAACCCCAATCCAAAGCAGAAAGATAATGCAGACTTCCACTCTCACAATCCAATGACCCAATTTCCAAATTGCAAGATGAATTATCCATGCTTGGTGGCATCTAGGGAACAGTCCACCATCCACACGTCCAAACTGCATTTCTTGCTGATTATGTGTCATACTCGGCCACATATTCAGTTCCTATGTAATCACGGTCCTCTCAAATTCCATTTTTACACAAAATGGATTCATGTTAACATCTCACAGCCTCATCATCATATCACGATTGAGATCAAAAATTGCGGGCTATGCTCATTCCTCCTTGATCCCAAACAGCAAGAATGGGGGCCGTTTGAAGCCAGATCACGAATTGGCTCCCATAGCCCGCCCAAATGATGTGAGAATTGTGCATGCAGCATTTCGCAAGTTTTTAACCAGAAGAGATCCCAACATCAACCAAGGTCTTCCGTACAAGATAGACATCGTCCTCAGCCCGGCACCGTGACCTTCCACCATTACATCCTGAATCACCTCAAAACTTGATCAATTTGCAGAACCCTCTAGCGATCTCAATCCAACACTTATTGCCGACTCAAATCAGACGAAGTTCTGGCTCCGACACGACTCAAGCCCCTGAACACAATCGCAAGGCAGTCTAGCGCGGACCCAATCAGACAGACAAATCCCATGAAACTGCACAAGCTGAGCGCCCTCAGCCTGGGCCATTCGACCCAAGCACTTTCCAACGCCAACCCACTGTCCTCTCCCGCTCCCACGTTCTGCCACATCCCAACGTCCAAGCTCCTCAGATGATAGCAGGATAGCCCCGAGAAAGAAATCAACCAAAGCCGCGCGCCAATCCACGCGTGTCCTCGTACCGTAATCCGTCGTTCTGTTGGGATCGCGAGGGCCGTTGGGCCAATCGATGATCTCGTTATCGATCAACTAGTGATGAGACGTTTGAGGCTCGGCAGGGATAGCGGAGACGCCAGCAGAGCACTCCTACGCAGACCGACGTCTATGTATCGGGGATTCGAACATACACGACGAGTGAGGAGATGCTCGTAGAGCTTAGGGCAGCGCTAGCGGTTTGGTCCAGAGTAACGATTGGAGTTGATCTCGTTCACGCTTGAACCCAGCGGTTAACCGACGTTCGTAGGAGATTCCAGCTTGGTGAGAGACTAGGGCCACGTGCGGGTGGGCTTGCGAGGACCGGGGGGAGTCTATTCCAGTCAGTAGTAGATAATTCACGCAGTTCCAGCTCGGAGAGTGAGTGGCTTGGGTCGAAAAGAGAAAATGAGAGGATCGAAAGTCGGCGCCGGGGGGCATTGTTGGCCGTTGAAGCCATCGGACAAGCTTGGCGGGCGCAATCGGGCCACAGATGGGGGAGAGATGTATGGACTGTGGAGGGGGATCGGGAGTAGTAGACCGATGAGGGAGTCCCCGAATGGGGAAGGCAAGGCACGTAGGGCGGTGGGCCAGGAGGATGGGGAGGTGCGGTATGTCGTTGGCAGGCGGCGGGGAGGGGGAGGCAAGTGGTGGGCAAGGAGAGAGGAGGGCGAGAAGGTCGAGGTGGGGTGCGGCGGCGAAAAGCAGGCGGGAGGTAGGGGAGGTCGGCGCGTTTCCCGGATGTGAAGGTGAGGTGCGCGGGGGCCGTGTGGGCCATATCCGTGAGCTCAGGATTGCGGCACGCCAGGAGGAGAGGGAGTTCCGTGTTCGGTGTCGGTTATATACGCTTAGCGCAGCCGAGAGTAGGCGTCTCCGCAAGTACGGTGTGGTGGGGGGTGGTCATGGTGGGGTTATGACAAGATCGTTTTTGAGATTGTTAGTGTTCTGGTGGGTCTAGAGAGTAGGAGAGAGAGGCACCGAGAGACGAGAGGAATTGAGATTTTTGGACTGTTATGGAAACACTGGGGCGAGGGATGGCGGATGTTAATCGGCTGGGGTATGAGGGGAAAGAGTTCGTAGTCGTTTCTTTAGTGAGGGCGCTAGCCCACGTGAATTACGCGGTCTGTTTTAATGGGTATGAGGCGGAGTATTAGGCGGCTGTGGGGAGGGCGCGTGGGAAGAAGAAGTGACTTCGTGTCCCGTGGGCCATTGGGTGTCATGGAATAGTGGTTGATGGAATGGATTATGGATGGAAAGGGAGGATGGTACATGGATGCCATGAAATTGCATAGGGAACATCTAGTATTTCCATAAAATAAAAATCTACACATACTTTTTGATCTGGAGTTGAGGCCTTCCTTAAAGCTCTCACGTAGGCATTGAGTTTGGAAAAATGTGGAAAGTTCACACCTTTAAATCCAAAAAATAAAATGAAAAATAGAAAACTTTGGGTAATAGCATTTCTCAGCAGCTTGGTATCGATAAGTTGATATTTAGTTGTGCCAGCGTAAGCATTATGAGAAGAGAAAATCATTCTTAACTCTTTTTTTCTCTTTCCTTTTTATGTAATAGTAGGAATTTCTAAACCCACAACCAAAAGCACTATTATTGCACTAATGCAGATATTTTATCTTTGTTGAGTGGGAATATGAAATGGTTGTCACACGTCTCGTCTATTGATATCTATCTTATCACATGACTAATCATACGAAGGTAATTTTCTTAATGCGTTGGAGGAGGAGACAAAATACGAATGAGGATAAAGACACAAGGGACATATCTCTGAATGATTTCTCAAAAAAAGCGTTAAGGAGACCAAACCCTTTGAGGCTGAAACATTAAATTATATTTGTTTGGAGGTGAACCCAAAGAGTGGGTGTTAAATCATGATAACAATAGTATATGTTAGTTGATGTCTACAATTTGGTTCCATAGCAAGCGAACTTTTGAGATCGAGGTTTGGACAATTGTTCAGGCAAACTCAACGTGACCAACCAAAGTCGTCCTACAGGACTCTCAAAATAGAGGGACTAGGGTGGGAGTGACACCAGGTGTGGTGCTGGGTTAGAGACACTTTGATGCTTAAGTCAATCGAGTAGGTTTGGGAGGCACTGCTACAAGTATATTTTGGTGCTTAGAATTGTAATGTACTTGGAAGGACGGGTCTCTTCAACTTTTTCTATCATCTAGACGAACTAGGACTTCTCATAGTAGAACTCTAGAATACTAGTCCTCCTCGAACTAGGACTGCAAAACAACCTAGTCCTCATCGAACTAGGACTACTTTTAGAGAGCCGTATGTGGTGAACTTGAAGTGTCCCCAGGGTTCTCTAGGATTATAAGTCCTCTTGGAATGGTTATTTTTACTACTGTAGCCAATTTGGCGTAGTTTTGTATGAGGAAAGTTTGGCATTTGACAAATCGTTGGCCAATTTTGCAATAAGTAATTATTAAATAGAATTGTGTTTTTGTTAAGGTCTTAGCTTAGGCACCATGGAGTCCCAAATCTTCATCAAAAAACCGGCTGGAAGAAAGGAAGCGGGACATGTGTATGGCTATGTAACCTCTTTTTTTCTTTGTTCTTTTGGTTGATCACAGATTCACGATTGGGCTATTCATGGCTCTTAATTATTTGAAATTGGGGGGTCACTTTTTTTGTTTTCTAATTTTGGTTTAAGACGGAGCACGTGACGTCGACGACACAGTCTCGATGTCTTTTTACTCCTTTGGATTTTGTATGTTTATGCGGCCTTTGTAGCAGTGTGCATCGCTTTTTCCCTAATGGCCCAACACAACAGAGAAAAAGCAGTACCATTTTGTTTGGTACAAAAAGTTTCACTCGTGAGTTATACATGTGAAGTTTAGGGCACACATAGGAATAAATGAAGTTGGCTATTGATGCTTAGACATATTAGCTTGGCTCAGTTGCAATTTATTTTATTTATTTTTTCATTTTTATTTTAAATAGAATAAGAAAATGAGTTAGTCGTTGTTCTATAAATAAATGAGAAAACTCTATTTTCCATTTTTATTTTTATGTAATATATTATCCTCATTTCAATGACTAGTTTATTTGATAAATTGTAATTGTAACTTAAGGACCATTTTGCTGGGTAATGTGAATGTTTCACATATTTATATTTTCGTTTTAATATACAGATTAGAGTAAGTCATACGTAAAGGCAAAAATAATAATTTAAAAATGGGCCATACTAACAGAAAAAGTAATTTAAGTTTACAATCGTTTAAAAGTACTGCGAAAAATGTCACTAAACTGCTTTTGAATCCAAAACGCTTAAGTCACATCGCTTAAAATATTAACCTTGGTTAATCTCAAGGAGAACGATCCTTGGTTTAGGGCTTTTGGTTAAACAAATATAAACTGCCAGACTAAAGGTAATATTAAATTTCTTTAGGAAAAGTTGGTTGTCTTTTCTAAAGGTATTGAAAATCAAGGAAATAGACATGGGTGTGGGTTGAAAGTTAGTTACAACTTTATTTGTCGCCGTTGAAGTTGAATAATCATTTGCAATCACTCATTTGGGATCTTCGACGTCTAAATTCCCAATACAAATAATACGGTACCAGATAATTCAAACCAATATACAAAATCCTTGCAAGTGAAAAGGCTCAACAGTCCACGCGTTGCTCCGTGTTTTTCCTTTCTTCTGCTCGTTTTTTTTTTATAAAAATGTTATTATTTTTATTTTTTAGGATTTGGCTCTTTGTAATGTCGATAATTTTGAAAAGTCTAGGATGATAAATCCAACCGTTAAAACAAGCTCCATTGACTACTGATTTTATGTAGAGGCCAGAGTTTCAGTATATGATGGATATAAGTTAAATATTCAAAAAAATGAACTCATTATACTTTTGACAGAATTCAAATCAGGCTCCGACATCGTTGATCTGATTCTCTTTGACGAAAAAATAAAAAAAGATCTGTCTTTCTAGTTTAGTTAAACAAACCCCTTCTCATACGAAAAGAGATATTATTCTAGTTTTGTTCTCTTCTTAGCACTTAATATTATAGGTATAAAACCTTACATAATTTTAATTCTATAGAAAAAAAAAACAAAAATCAAAAAAATGATTAGTCGGATTTATTGAATTTAATTTGATTATTTAAAATTATTTGATTACTACGAGTGAAGTGCTTTTGGGTTGTTTTCTTGAAATAGTTTTGGGGTGGCCTTGCGTGTGATTTAAGAATCAAAGGAATTTTTGTAATTTTAAAAAGAGAGTGGAGGCCTTTTTGTTATGTTGTGAGAAGATGGTTTAGGTGTGCTTCTAAAGAGATCCATTTGCATGATGATTTGTTTTTTATAATTAGGACTCCGATATGGGTTTCGTAATAATAAATCTCCCACGAGCGAATGATTAGACCACTACAGATCTGCAGGGCTAGAATTGGTCGTAAGTGTGAAGATTGAATTTGAAAGGCGCACGCAACAAAAGTGACCTTACTAACCTTCAAATAAATTTGCCTCACTAAAAGAAGAACGAGAAGAAAGAGTGAATCTATGTATGGGACGGCAGTGGGTGACGTGTATCAGTACTTAGAAGAAAAATCATGGGAAAAGGAGCGAGGCGTGGAGCTGGCACCCGGGCACAACTACCGAGGACGGTATGGGTCCTCAGAGGGCTGCTGGAGACACAGCTCTCTCACATACATCCTGGCAATACTAGAAGAGAGTTGGTGGAGCTTGGCGATCAGGGGACGGAAATCTATTAAATTAAGCATCGCATGAATTTCTATAGTTATATATTTTCTGATGAGTGTTTTTGTTCTATGTTTAATTAAAGAGGTTTTATTTTAGGAAAACGATTACTGTTGCTCGAGGTCCAAATAATTGAACCTTTATTATATTTCAAGAGTGGAAATGAATTATGAAAGAAGTGATAAGATTGGAAAGGATTTATAGGGGAAATACTTTTCTATGTTCAATTTCTCACGAGATGAGAAATGAAGATTTCATTTCCCAATGTTTAGTGATGCTGGAAGAAAGTAATGGGTAATATCAAGTTATTTTCTTCCCATGATTTGTTTTGAATAGGAATGGACAAACAAAGTTTGTATAATTTTTCTAAGTATATTTCCTATCAATCAAATAAAAAAATGATTACATGATATATATTGTAATTCTAAATTGTTAATGGATGGGCCAAAATAGTCATGCAAAAAAATATGCATTTACTGTTGGCTTCTTGTCCTAAACTTTTCATGATGAGAAAACAAAACACAAATCAAAGAAGGGAGAAGGGTTTCACTTTCTCCCATACTTTTCTATGTGACGGGAACCATTTCCCATGAAGCATGTTTGATTGACCAATACACGGAAATCAATGACTTTTCTCATCCCCAAACTCCGTCTCATAAAAACTAACCAGTACCTTAAAGAAGAAAGTGAAGAGACACTGAACCAGACACGTATACTCTCTAATATTATATAGAGTTGAGATATTGAAAAAAAAAATTAAAAGACAAAAGGAAAAAGATTATTTTTGTTAAATGGTGTAGTTAGGGAAAGCTTCTAACCTTAATGTCAAAGAGGTAAGATTTCTATGGATTAGGTTTTTTTGGGAATGCTTTGGGCCAGAAAAGACTTCCCATTGGATTGGTAAAAATGGATTAAAATGTGAATGAAACTAGGAGCAAAGACAAAGACCTAATATAATGAAACCAAGTTGGCAATTGATAGACTTGAGGTGTTTGCATCAGCTGGTGCCTAGGCATCATGTATTTGCACATCCACTCCCTCTTTTATTTTATTTTTAAGTTATATTTTTTTAAAATAGAATCAACACCAATTTGTATTTAACCTCTTGTGTTCAATGCAAAATTTCTAGGGCTATGGAGCTATGTATGGGTTCGAAATTAAATAAAATTGGTTGAGCCTGGGCGCTGAAAATTTCTATTTAGATAAGTCAGAGCATGAAATTCCAATGGGTAATATGTTGTTGGGAAGGTGGGGTTCTTTATTTTTATTTTTTGGCATAGTGGGAGAAGGATTTTGAGGATTTCGCAAACTTAGAACAAAGGAAAAAGTGGATCGGCGCCTTGAGATCATTGCCATCATAGTAAATCTTGACTTTCTAAGCACACGCAATTGGCTCCAAGTGGGGTTGCATGAACTTGGTCTTTTCTATGCTTTGCTTGATATTAAGGACTTAAAATATCTCACTTGTGTGTGATGTAGAACTCGAATATAAAATAACAATAAAGAGGAGAGCATATGAAAAAGATAAACCTTGTTTATTATAAAATTGTATCTGAATGGGCCATTTATACACGACCGAAAGAAAAGAAAAATGAGTCCCAATTTCAACTGAAAGACAACATAAGGAAAAGGAATTGAACGAATGAAACTGAAAATTCTACCATTGAAGGGAGGATGAAGGCATAGCAAAATTAAAAAGGATATTTATATGAGTTTTCAAATTGGAAAATTAGAATTAAAGTGCCAGCACAAAATGCCTATTGAGGCGGGATAATTGAGACAAGTTAAAACTTGTGAGTGATTGATCTGTATTGTTGTTTTGTCAGCCCTCATTTTTCATTGATAATATAGTGTCACTGATGGAATAGTGAAAAACAAGAGAGAGGCTGGCTATTTCGGGAGTAGTACCTATCCATCCTTGCTGTAATTAAGACCAAAGCCAGCTTGAATTCGGACCGTTGTATACACCTTGAGGAAGTTAGTGGAAGAAACCAACAGTTTGTTGGGGGCTTGGTTGGGGTTTTGTTACCGTTTGGTTTTTGCTCATTGAGGATGGTAAATGGATAAATAAATGCCTACACGCTTTGGAAAACAATTGAACTGGTCAACCAAATCAGTTTCTGGGATGTACGCACGATCAGGTTGCCATGCTAGCTTCAAAAATCCTATCAAGATTACGCTTAAAGGGATAACTTGCGCCCAAGTTACTGATTTCTCAACACAGTGATTTGAATTTGGGTGATGAGAATACTCCCAAGATACTTCTTTCTTGCCTCAGTGACTAGTGATAGGACTTCATTAATTTATCTCAGTATAAGATTGGTAGTTTTGGCAGAATAAATGATGATAAGATTACTGTTTTAGCAGAACTGCCCCATTGACAAAGGCATTTGGAAAGGAAAAAAAATCACAGTAGGAAAGATAAAAAGAAGGCTGGACTTCATTTCTGCAGGAATAGCAGCTTCTGAGCCGCAGGCTGAATGAAGCTGATATGTCTGTGTTAGATGGACTAGTTAACAATTAACTGCCAGTTTAGCTGCTAAACTGAATTGCCCAAGGTGTCATCTTTTGGGAGCTTTATCTACGTCAAGAGGAGGGCTTTGAAAACGGCAGAATGCTGCTTCTTTAGTCTATAGGGGCAGAAGGGGGGTCTGGAGGGATAGGGGGAGCTGCACTGTAAAAACTTGTTGGGTTTCCTATTGTAAAAACTCAAGCTTTGCTGTTCTTGGCTTTTGCTGAACAAATATGTAACGAGAGAATCGTTTTGAATGAATGATTTTTTATAAGTCTAAACTTGGGAATTTGATTTAAAGTTGGGTTCTCCTTGTGGTTCAAGGTGAACTTTTGGTTGATTTTTGGTTTGGTGTTGTTATGATTGATGAACTGGAGTGTCTTTTTTTGTGTCAACCCGCTCTTTTTAATTTATAGGAAACGTTTTGTCTGGAGTAGGATAATTTTTTTTCGATGGGCACGGCAAAATTCTCAAAAAGATTCAATTTTAAAATACAAAGAAAAAAAAAAGGGATTTTTATCAGTTCTGGGCCTATAAGCTTTCAACAGTCAGTCTTATGACAATCACTTTCCGTATTTTAGAAGAGAAATCTAACCCCTTTTCTAATCCCAACTGCTCCCTGTGAGAGCTCAAAAAAAACCTTGATGATAGTTTGATTTTAGTTGATCAAATCGTTCCTGTCCTCCCTGCAATCTCCGTTTTGAAAACAACAATGGTTATGCTTATCTCTTGTGTGGAGCATCACCCTCTTTAGAAGTAGAAACCAATTATTTTATAGAAAGGATTTGATCTTACTGTTGGCAGACTTTTTTTTCGAGTATAGTCCTTCCTGTTTGCCTGTTATTTTATTAAACTCCTTAAGTAACCCGTGGAAAATTGTGGGGACAATTCAAGTTGTGGGTTCGATTAGTCACGTGGGTGGCTGCTGATTTCTGAGGTTTATTCATGACGGCGGCCCAAGAGTTTGAAGGCTATGGGCTGATTATCCTTTTTTTTCGAAGGACCCAAGTTGTCATATTTTGGGATAGATACCGTGGATACTCGAAGCCTTCAATGCTTGGGCGGAGTGTGTAATTCTTTGGCCCAATTTCAAGTGGGAATAAATTGGTGGCTCGCCAAAAACATGAGGGGCCCTTTTTATTTACTAGATGGGTGTGTGCCCAAAAGTAAAGGCCAAATAGGTTTAGACCATAATGCTCTTAGATCATCTTATACCACATCTTCACGTTTGAGCCCGGCACTAAACGTCTCTCAACACGATGTAATTTTAGGGGGAGGTGAATTTGAGAAATGTGAAATTTGGGTGGAATTTTCAAGTCCCAGTTTTGCCTAGAAGGTAATTTGTGGTGTGGAGCCCAAGTTGTTTTGGCACCCACATGTTAAAGTATCGGTAAAAGTTGAGTGAGATCGGTGACAGGCAAACCGCTGTTGTGCCAGCAAACTCTTTGCTCAACACAGGTCATACTTCTAGAACCCCGTTTGAGTTCACTGAATGAAATTGAGGGGGAAGAAAATTCAAATTACCATGTTATTTCCAGGATATGGGGTAATAGAAGAATTCATTTTTCCCACGATATGGTACATGCTGGGAAGTACCCAGGCGTATCACTTTCGATGAACCCTTTTTCCAATTGTTTGAATAGACATGACAAATACAACTAGATACTATATAATTATTACAAGTATACCTATATAAATCACATAAAAAAAAAATGCATTTAATGAGAAGATATTGTATTCTGCAAATGCTTAATGGGACCCAAAATAGTCATGAAAAATCATGATTGAATTTATATTGCGCTCATTTCACAAAGGACCTTTCCACTTATGAAGGGCAACCACAAGAATAGCCACAAGTTGGGAGGGGAGAGGCTTCCTTTCTCGGTTGAGCCTTCTTATGGGCCTAGGCAAAGATTTTACCATTGCATTCGCTAGCACCAGTCTAGCCAACATAAGAAAGCAATTGATTTCTGCTCGCAACGTCTCATTTTCCAAATGAACAAACAGGGGGCACCCGCAAGCCGAAAAACGGGCGCACACCGGCCTTGAAAAAAAAGTGGGTGTATTGTTTTTAATGTGTAAGTGTGAAATTTATTCTCGCTTTGGAATTTTACTTTTTTCGGTTTTAAAATGTTCCAAAATAAATTCACGAAGCGTTTGACCATAAACAAACATATATCGGAAAAATTTAATTAAACAAACACCAAAGTGATGAGTTAAATCAATCTCGAAAGATGAATAAAACTTAGGTCCTGCATATTATGAGTCACAAGGTCACGGAGGAAAAAAAAGAAAAATTGGACTCCTGAAAATCCCATGTTAATAGTTTATTTTAGAAGTAGAAATTGAGTTAGCACTCAAGCGGTTGGAGTAGAATTAGGACGCAGTTACTACTCTGCTTAATGTTTTTCGATACTTTCAAGTAAAACCCCGGTGCAAATCTGGAAACAAACACCCGCTTCTTAATTGCGTACCATTCCCTACGTGTCCTCCTCTTCTTGTTTTGGAAAAACCAAACATCATAGGCCAGTTCACTTCTTATTCTTTTAAGGCCATACACTTGGCCCATAGCTCAATCAAGAACCAAACAATAGTACGGCATCATTTTACATGTACTTAATCGCACGTCATAATTGAAAGCCTGCACTTGTGTGCTAGTAGGTTCTTAATTTGTAGACAATATGTTCCTCGTCTTCGTTTGATGAAGGTTAATTGTTATTACAGTTGTTGGTGGGAATAGGTTCTTGCCATTGAAAGCTACGTCGTGGGGCATAGGCATGTGTCTATTGACAGTTGGTGGATCACCTAAAAATTTTGCTCCTCCTCACAGGGGTTGTCAAGTCTACAAAGTGACCTTGCTCCATGTATGATTGGCGGGAGCTATGTTTTAGACTCGGATCGAGAAAAATTTGTGATAAGATAACTTGGTGAGTTTTGGTCGGATTTGGTTTTGGTTTTTTTGTGATTTTTAGTGCCTTGGACAATAATTCGTTAGGAATTAATATAAAAAAAAAAAAAAAAAAAAAAAAAAAAAAAAAAAAAAAAAAAAAAAAAAAAAAAAAAAAAAAAAAAAAAAAAAAAAAAAAAAAAAAAAAAAAAAAAAAAAAAAAAAAAAAAAAAAAAAAAAAAAAAAAAAAAAAAAAAAAAAAAAAAAAAAAAAAAAAAAAAAAAAAAAAAAAAAAAAAAAAAAAAAAAAAAAAAAAAAAAAAAAAAAAAAAAAAAAAAAAAAAAAAAAAAAAAAAAAAAAAAAAAAAAAAAAAAAAAAAAAAAAAAAAAAAAAAAAAAAAAAAAAAAAAAAAAAAAAAAAAAAAAAAAAAAAAAAAAAAAAAAAAAAAAAAAAAAAAAAAAAAAAAAAAAAAAAAAAAAAAAAAAAAAAAAAAAAAAAAAAAAAAAAATCTTCATCAATATACCCATGTTAAGCGAGTGCAATCATCATGAACGTGACAAACTAACGAAAACCATGAGAAGTCACACGGGCAGGGCCCCATACATCAGAATGTACTAACTCAAAAGGCAGTGCAACTTTATTATTACTCAAAGGAAAAACAGTACGGGGCTCTTGGCCATTACACAAGTCTTACATTTGAAGCTAGACTCATCACACGAACTAAATAACGAAGGAAACAAATGCTTAGATAACCAAATGACGGATGTCCTAAGCGAAGATGCCACAGCCAAAGTTGTTGTTTGTCTTTGACACTGCCACCTGGACTTTATTAGCCACACACCCACGAACTGCTGCAGCCAGTACTGTAAGTAGTACAACCCCCATATCCGTTTACCATGCCCAATCTTCGCATGAGTCTTGAGATCCTTGAAAAAACAATGAGTAGAATAGAAAGTAGCAGAAGCGTTAAGTGTATCAAGTAAACGCCAAACAGACAACAATTGCAACGAATATTTGGAACCAAAAGAGCATGAGACAGAGGTAAAGAAGGAGTGAGGTGGATGGTACCTTCATCGGTAACTGGGGAAGGTAAACCATTAGCACTAGTAATACAGGGGTCATGAGGGTTACGAGACAACTCATCAAACATATTGGTATCATAAGTCATATGATCAGAAGCACCAGTGTTAATTATCCAAGTATTAGAACCCATACCTGGCATAGTATCGGAAGCACACAGATTTGCAGACGGAGCCGAAGGACGGGTCTCATCTTAAGTCATAGTGCAGGCGACCTTGGGACCGTACATACGAGCTTTGTAGTCAGCAAACCAATCGGGATAACCATGCTCCTTAAAGCACTTCTCAGAGTAGTGATTCTCATTACAATGACGACATTTAGGAGGATCGTCAAGAGAGCTAGGGGTAGAGCCAGCAGGACGCTACCCAGCAAAAGTAGAAAATTTTCTGGATGAGGGCCGACCGGTCGCGTCGTGCTTTGCGACCAGTCGTTGACGTGCTGGGTCGACTTTGAGGGCCATAGAACCTCCTCCAAGCATAGCGGACTGACGGGTGTCTTCCTCTATGACCATGGCATAGGCCTCAAGAGGGGGTGGGACAGGACTAAGAGCAAGGATACCGCTACGGAAACCATCATATAGTGGATCAAGTCATCCAAGAAAATCATAAACTCGATCGGCTTCAAGTTCTTTCAAACGGCGAGCCCCATCATCGGTACAGCTATATTCATGTGGACGCAGACAATCAATCTCCTGCCAGGTAGCATGAGTTTTTCATAGAACACTTTGACAGATTCACCATTCTGACACGTAAGGATGGACTGCCGTCGAAGTTGAAACAGACGAGAACTATTCTGAGTCACAGTATAAGTCTTCCGAGCGGCTTCCCATATATCAAAAGCAGTAGCACCATGTTCAAATAAAGCACGAACTGGCATAGTTATGGAATTGAGAAGCCATGACTGCACCAGACAATTATCTTATTCCCATTTGGCATAGGCAGTGAATCTTTAGACGGAGCAGGCTTCTTCCCATTGATCCAACTTGCCATACGACGACTAGTAATTGTAATACGCGCACCACGAGACCAAGAGGCATAATTAGAGCCATCCAATTTGTCAGAAGTAATCGGGGGTAGAGTAATCACGCGAGGGACGTTCCTCCTTTGTTGTAGACGCACTGGCACCCACCACGACTTTGGAATCATCACCCATGATAGCAGCGAAAAAAAACACAACACGAAGCAGATACAATAAACACAGCACAGTCACAGGCATAAGAACCCTAAAAAGAATTAGGGCACACAGTAGAACACGAGTGGGCATAACATACACAGGTCACTAGAAAGTCGGCTTTGATGCCAAGTCAAGCAATATGGGTAGAATATTTCAGATGTATTTCATTCTCCGAAAGGAGGTATTTATAATACAAGGTTACAAACCTTAGTAGGGTTATACTAGGAAATAAGAAAAGTCATAATTACATAATATCTATACAAAAAGGAAACAAATAAAATACGAATAGAATAAGAAAGAAGTATCCTAATAAGACTAGGATATCTCGCCAACAAAAATGACAGCAGCTCCCCCTCAGCAGGTGCTCATAGCTCCCCCTTAGTATTAGATCTGACGTTTCCTAGCAGGAAGCTTTCTCCTCTCGATAGGAATTACTGGAGAAGCAACAGGATTTGGTGAGGGATTAACAGAGGCATAAGGGACTTCTTCAGCAATTTTTTACTTGTGAGATTTGAGAAGCGTGCTAATTAAATCCTCATCTGAGACAGAGTCAGCATGAGCTTTTACAGCAGAGTTGTTAGAATAAGAGGAGTTAAGTGGAGAAGTAGAAGAAACGACAGTTTTTGAAGAGGGAGATGCACCAGAGATACCGTGAGAGACCAACAAGTTTTGAATGGCAATGATAGAAGCTTGGTTGGCAGAAATGGCATTAGACATCTCTTTTAACAGTTCATGCATGGTGTCTAGTTTAGATTGCAGTTTCAGAGGAGGAACTGGATGAGGGAGCAGTAGGAGGAAGATTTTTTGATCTCGTAGAGGCAGCATCACTACGTTTGAAAGTGGTTGCATCCACAGTGAGAGGAAGGTGTCTGGAGTCAGAGAAGAACACAGGACAACCTTCTTAAAGGGCAAGAGAAGTAATCAAGGAGGGAAAGACGAGCCAAGTGTATTTGTCATCCTTGTTTTGTACTCCGGCATGTAAGATATTGTAAAAAATGAGCTGACTGATGGGCACAGGATTAGAGGAGGAAATCATGAGATAAGCCATGCCAACAAGGGGTTTTGGCATTCTTGATTTGTTGGTGGAGCGAAAATATTGGATTTTAGCAAATAACACAGACATCTACCTAGAGGAGTCATATTGCCAATGGTGAAGGATCCTTTAGGTTTGACAGGACTCTCAAGTTTGAAAAGAGCCGAATTGATTTGCTCAACTGACTCAGCTTTGTTCCAAAACACAACAGATTGGGCAACAGAGGTGTGTGGTAATTTGAAAAAGGAATCTATGATAAGGACACTGATAGAGACATATTTTCCTCGACACCGGACAGAAATGGATTGATCTTGATCATTTATGTCAATATCAGATGGAATATTTGCAAAAAATTCCTTCACAATATGCTCATTATACTGTTGAATGAGTGTGCACAGATGTTTGAGAGAAAGCCTATGGACAAGTTCTAGAAAACCTTAGGCATAGAGCGTAGATTAAACACACATTCAGACAGAATTTTTCAAAAGATTGCGACAGAGTCGAAACGAGATTGCTCAGTGGAAGAAATCGGAGAGGGTTGAGTTCCCAGGGATGAAGGATGAAGGGATGGACCAGCAGGAGGTGGCGCTTGAGTGCCTGAGGGAGCCGGGTTTGTGACGCGAGAGGGGCCAGAGGCGGTTTCTTCCATTGAAGCAGAGAGAAGAGAAGTGAGATGCCAAGGGGAGAGAGAGAGAGAGAAACTGAGGGAATAAGAGAAAAACAAACACGCCGGTTGAGTTAAGAGAGAGAGATAACAACCCTAGGAAACATAAACCGTCATAGAAAAAACGAAATAAATAAAATAAGATAAAAACAAGCCAAGTAGAAGAACAAATAGAGTCACAATAACGGGGAAAAAAAAAAATGCAGAGAAAGAAGACAAAAGGACAACCACAAACAGACAAAGAAGTTGCTGATGTGCCAATCCTGGTCAGAGTATTAATACAACGCTTAATATGAAGCCTACAAAATAGCCAGGATTGAACTTAAAAATAAGATAAAGGATTCAAGAATCGTTGACCAAAAAAAAAGAAAAAGAAAAAGAAAAAGGATTCAAGAATCAGAACTGCACCACAAAAACTTAAAAAGATTGGAAAAAAAAAAGAAAAAAGAAGAGAGAGAGAGAGAGAGAGAAAAAAAAACAAACACAAAAACTTTTTTATTTTTTAGAACAATTGTGCAGTGCAGTTTTTTATTTTTTATCTTTTGGTCCAATACCTATAGATTTTCGTAGGAACTCAAATCTGGGAGAATCAAGTGGATTCTCAGTGGGACAATGCTTTTCTTGTGTTCAAAGTACATTGGAACACAAATCAGAATTCTCAACTCATAGAAAGGTTTAAAAGAAAGAACGAATTTCCAAAATTTTAATAATTCATACAATCAAAGAGATTTACAAAAGATTAGTAAAGAACTCACATGCTTTTCTTGGTGTAGTGTGAGGCCAACACAAACGCAGAAAATTAAACAAATCTCAAGTATGCAGCAGCAACTAGCAAACAACTAGCAAAGGCACTCGAGTTGAAAAGACTTGTATGTAATTTCCGACTTTTAGAGCTCACTTCAATTTTCACCCTAGCTTCGTTGAATTGTACTTTTATTTTGCATAGGGCTGTGACTTCTTTGGCCACTTTCAATATGTTATACCTTTTTCTTTTAGTTAAATGCTAGCTAGTCCAATATTTTATAAAAGAAAAGGATGAGCATACTCAAGACACGTTTAACTCGCTGCAAGAATGTTGGTGTGCATGTGAAAGTCTGAAAGTCTCAAGGTGAAACAATGTCATCAACAAAAACCTGAGCAATGATCCTATCTGAGTTGCAAGTTTTTACAAATAAGGTTTTATCAACAGATCCTCTAATGAAACCTTATGCCAAGAGAAAACTGGACACTTTCATCATCATCATCAGAGTCGTTTATAGACTCACTTTCACGATCACTCCAAGTGGTTTTTAAAGCTTTATCTTTTGATTGACTTTTCCTATATAAATAGAAATATAAAATAAAAATACGTGAAGAAACATAGATTTTAAATAATAACAGAGTAAAATTACTCTCCGTAAATTTCTTAGCCTTAATAAACCCTAAATCCATCTTACTCCACAATCACAGCTCAAGTGCAGCTTCATCTCCAGCAAGCACACTGGCAAGCTCTCTAATTCCGACGGCTTCATCTCCAGCAGGTTTAGCAGGCAATCCAGCACCGGCTCCAATGCCCCCTCCAGCACTTGCTTCAACAGCAACATTCTGTCCTGCACTTCTTCAACGCCCCCTCCAGCACTTGCTTCAATGGCAACATTATGTCTCGCACCAGCTTCAATGCCTACTCCAAGAACCCCTCCATTTCCCTCAACGGCTTGGTCAATGTATCTCCTTAACGACAAGGAAAAAATAGCAGGAACACAACACAGGCATAGCATAATCACCCACAATTTTAAGCGGAGGAACGTAGTCAGTATGCACCAATATCCAATCAAAATATAGAGAAGGAGAAGGTTGATAAATTGCCTAACCGGACACTGTCCCACCCGAAATTTGATGACCAAAAGACATGTCACCAATGCTATAGACATAATGAACTCCCACACATAAATCGCTATCGTACAACTGCATACTTTATGTTTCTCTTTGAAGCACTTGCAGTATTCCGCCGGTGGATTTAAGCCCATACCAAACACTAAAGCACCCACAACTGTGGTCACTGCTAATAGGGTATTCCTCTTGGACACAATCTCTTCCCCATCGATTTGTCGGAAGAGAGTGATATCTGAAACCCACGATGGAGTTAGGGTTTGAATAATCCAAGAACCAAATGGAGGTTGAGAAGGTTGAGGATGAGAGAAAAAAGAAACATAGGCAGAGAGAGAGAGAGAGAGAGAGAGAGAGAGAGAGAGAGAGAGAGAGAGAGAGAGAGTCAACAGCTGAGACCTATGCTCAAAAGACCAATGCCCCCTCCAGCACTTGCTTCAACAACAACATTCTGTCCTGCACCTTCTTCAACGCCCCCTCCAACACTTGCTTCAATGGCAATATTATGTCTCGCACCAGCTTCAATGCCTACTCCAAGAACCCCTCCATTTCCCTCAACGGCTTGGTCAATGTATCTCCTTACCGACAAGGAAAAAATAGCAGGAACACAACACAGGCATAGCATAATCACCCATAATTTTAAGCGGAGGAACGTATTCAGTATGCACCAATATCCAATCAAAGATAGAGAAGGAGAAAGTTGATAAATTGCCTAACCAGACACTGTCCCACCAGAAATTTGATGACCAAAAGACATGTCACCAATACTTTAGACATAATGAACTCCCACAAATAAATCGCTATCATACAGCTGCATACTTTATGTTTCTCTTTGAAGCACTTGTAGTATTCCGCCGATGGATTTACGCCCATACCAAACACTAAAGCACCCACAATTGTGGTCACTGCTAATAGGGTATTCCTTTTGGACACAATCTCTTCCCCATCGGTTTGTCGGAAGAGAGTGACATCTGAAACCCATGATGGAGTTAGGGTTTGAATAATCCAAGAACCAAATGGAGGTTGAGAAGGTTGAGGAGGTTGAGCCATGAGAGAAAAAAAGAAACATAGGCTAATGTTTTGAGAGAGAGAGAGAGAGAGAGAGAGAGAGAGAGAGAGAGAGAATCAACAGCTGAGACCTATGCTCAAAAGACCAATGCCCCATCCAGCACTTGCTTCAACAGCAACATTCTGTCCTGCACCTTCTTCAACGCCACCTCCAGCACTTGCTTCCATGGCAACATTATGTCTCGCACCAGCTTCGATGGCAACATTATGTCTCGCACCAGCTTCAATGGCAACATTATATCTCGCACCAGCTTCAATGCCTACTCCAAGAACCCCTCCGTTTCCCTCAACGGCTTGGTCAGTGTATCTCCTTATCGACAAGGAAAAAATAGCATGAACACAACACATGCATAGCATAATCACCCATAATTTTAAGCGAAGGAACGTAGTCAGTATGCACCAATATCCAATCAAAAGATAGAGAAGGAGAAGGTTGATAAATTGCCTAACTGGACACTGTCCCACCCGAAATTTGATGACCAAAAGACATGTCACCAATGCTTTAGACATAATGAACTCCCACAAATAAATCGCTATCGTACAGCTGCATACTTTTTGTTTCTCTTTGAAGCACTTGCAGTATTCCGCCGGTGGATTTACGCCCATACCAAACACTAAAGCACCCACAACTGTGGTCACTGCTAATAGGGTATTCCTCTTGGACGCAATCTCTTCCCCATCGGTTTGTCGGAAGAGAGTGATATCTGAAACCCACGATGGAGTTAGGGTTTGAATAATCCAAGAACCAAATGGAGGTTGAGAAGGTTGAGGAGGTTGAGCCATGAGAGAAAAAAAGAAACATAGGCTAATGTTTTGAGAGAGAGAGAGAGAGAGTCAACAGCTGAGACCTATGCTCAAAAGACCAATGCCCCCTCCAGCACTTGCTTCAACAACAACATTCTATCCTGCACCTTCTTCAACGCCCCCTCCAACACTTGCTTCAATGGCAACATTATGTCTCGCACCAGCTTCAATGCCTACTCCAAGAACCCCTCTATTTCCCTCAACGGCTTGGTCAATGTATCTCCTTACCGACAAGGAAAAAATAGCAGGAACACAACACAGGCATAGCATAATCACCCATAATTTTAAGCGGAGGAACGTAGTCAGTATGCACCAATATCCAATCAAAAGATAGAGAAGAGAAAGTTGATAAATTGCCTAACCGGACACTGTCCCACCCGAAATTTGATGACCAAAAGACATGTCACCAATACTTTAGACATAATGAACTCCTACAAATAAATCGTTATCGTACAGCTGCATACTTTATGTTTCTCTTTGAAGCACTTGTAGTATTCCGCCGATGGATTTACGCCCATACCAAACACTAAAGCACCCACAACTGTGGTCACTGCTAATAGGGTATTCCTCTTGGACACAATCTCTTCCCCATCGGTTTGTCGGAAGAGAGTGATATCTGAAACCCACGATGGAGTTAGGGTTTGAATAATCCAAGAACCAAATGGAGGTTGAGAAGGTTGAGGAGGTTGAGCCATGAGAGAAAAAAAGAAACATAGGCTAATGTTTTGAGAGAGAGAGAGAGGGAGAGAGAGAGAGAGAGAGAGAGAGAGAGTCAACAACTGAGACCTATGCTCAAAAGACCAATGCCCCCTCCAGCACTTGCTTCAACAACATTCTGTCCTGCACCTTCTTCAACGCCCCCTCCAACACTTGCTTCAATGGCAACATTATATCTCGCACCAGCTTCAATGCCTACTCCAAGAACCCCTCCATTTCCCTCAACGGCTTGGTCAGTGTATCTCCTTACCGACAAGGAAAAAATAGCAGGAACACAACACATGCATAACATAATCACCCATAATTTTAAGTGAAGGAACGTAGTCAGTATGCACCAATATCCAATCAAAAGATAGAGAAGGAGAAGGTTGATAAATTGCCTAACCGGACACTGTCCCACCCGAAATTTGATGACCAAAAGACATGTCACCAATGCTTTAGACATAATGAACTCCCACAAATAAATCGCTATCGTACAGCTGCATACTTTTTGTTTCTCTTTGAAGCACTTGCAGTATTCCGCCGGTGGATTTACGCCCATACCAAACACTAAAGCACCCACAACTGTGGTCATTGCTAATAGGGTATTCCTCTTGGACACAATCTCTTCCCCATCGGTTTGTCGGAAGAGAGTGATATCTGAAACCCACGATGGAGTTAGGGTTTGAATAATCCAAGAACCAAATGGAGGTTGAGAAGGTTGAGGAGGTTGAGCCATGAGAGAAAAAAAGAAACATAGGCTAATGTTTTGAGAGAGAGAGAGAGAGAGAGAGAGAGAGAGAGAGAGTCAACAACTGAGACCTATGCTCAAAAGACCAATGCCCCCTCCAGCACTTGCTTCAACAACATTTTGTCCTGCACCTTCTTCAACGCCCCCTCCAACAATTGCTTCAATGGCAACATTATGTCTCGCACCAGCTTCAATGCCTACTCCAAGAACCCCTCCATTTCCCTCAACGGCTTGGTCAATGTATCTCCTTACCGACAAGGAAAAAATAGCAGGAACACAACACAGGCATAGCATAATCACCCATAGTTTTAAGCCATGAGAGAAAAAAAGAAACATAGGCTAATGTTTTGAGAGAGAGAGAGAGAGAGAGAGAGAGAGAGAGAGAGTCAACAGTTGAGACCTATGCTCAAAAGATCTCCAAAACCTGTTAAGGAGGTTGAGTTATGAAAGAAAGAAAACCCCTCACTCACAGCAAGCTAGATAGATAAAGAGCTTTTTATTAGGGTTGTTGATGCTCTTTTTGGGAGGGTCAACTTAGATAGAGGTGGAATGGTGGATGATGGGTGAAGTTGAGGACCTTTAGCATGTGTGTGAAGATTAGGGCAAACGATAAATATACAGAAGACGAGATATACGTGGTTCACCCTTAATGAATGGGCTACGTCCACGGAAAAGTATGTTCTCATTATAATAATGTATGATTTGTACATGAGTTTGTACCCAAATATAAAGAGAAGGGGGAAGCCTATGATTAAAGATAAAGCCCAGCCCAGGGATCCCCCCTAAGTGGAGAGTGGCCTCCTCTTATAGGTTAGGGGGAGTATTCACTTCTTGTAGTTTTCCGATGTGGGACACCTCTTGCTTTGCTTAGAGTTGTGACTTGTGGTAATGCTTCTTTGGCTAAGGTGATGACCTTTCAAAGCATGACACGTGGATGATCTAGCCTAGCTTGTTGCTTGGTCAGTTACGGTACCAACATTAGTCCCCCAAGTTCGCAAGTTAGAAGGTACTTCTTGATTGAGGACTTGTAATTTTGAGTGTACTAGCCAAGCAACACCACAGTTCATCTTTCAAGCTATATAAAGCACTACCCAGAGTCTCCCAAGTCCCCGGGTAAGAAGGACATTAGAGGGGGAGAACTTACAACAAAAAGCCAAGTGGTTTGCAAGTCCCTATTTTGTTATGCAAGGGTGTCGAACGGCATCATAGTACACCGAAAGGCGAGGGTACCGAAGGTACAAGACTTCCATGTCGCAGACAAGGTGCTAAAGGGAACGTAGGTGCCAAAGGCACAAGACTTACATGTTGCAAGGCAATGTGCCCAGGCACGAGGGTACCGAACGTATAAAAGTTGCATGTCTCACGACGATGTGCCTAGGCATGTGGGTGACGAAGGCGACACAAATCTTGCATGTTGCAAGACAATGTGGCTAGGTACCGGGGTGTCGAAGGCACAAAGCTTGCATGTCGAAGGGCGATGTGCTTATGCACAAGGGTGCCGAAGGCGACACAAAGCTTGCATGTTGTAAGACAATATCCAATCAAAAGACAGAGAAGGGAAAGGTTGATAAATTGTCTAAGCGAACACTGTCCCACCCGAAATTTGATGATCAAAAGACATGTCACCAATGCTTTAGACATAATGAACTCCCACACATAAATCGCTATTGTACAGCTGTATACTTTATGTTTCTCTTTGAAGCACTTGTAGTATTCGACAGGTGGATTTACGCCCATACAAACTCTAAAGCACCCACAATTGTGGTCACTGTTAATAGGGTATTCCTCTTGGACACAATCTCTTCCTCATCCGTCTGTCGGAAGAGAGTGATATCTGAAACCCATGATGGAATTATGGATTGAATAATCCTAGAACCAAATGAAGGTTGAGAAGGTTGAAGAGGTTGAGCCATGAGAGAAAAAAAAGAAACAGAGGCTGATGTTTTGAGAGAGAGAGAGAGAGAGAGAGAGAGAGAGAGAGAGAGTCAACAGCTGAGACCTATGCTAAAAAGATCTCCAAAACCCGCTGAGGAGGTTGAGCTGTGAGAGAAAAAAAGAAACAGAGGCTAATGTTTTGAGAGAGAGATTTAACAGCTGAGGCCCATGCTCAAAAGATCTCCAAAAACCAAAAATTTTAATACTGCAACTACGGGAGAGGGAAATGGATGAAGGTCATAGACTCTAGTTATGTGCTAGGAGAGAGAGAGCTCCAATGTTTTCTTTAAATCTTAAAATTTAAATGAATGTTTTCATGTTATGTAGTTGTTCACTATTACACATATATGGATGTTTATAGATCACGTGCCTAGAGGTAGGTTTACTTTTATTGATTCAATTTTATATCATTTATGGAAGTGAGACTGACCTCATTAACTTTGTTATTGAAAAGGTAGCACGAGCACCAAAGTCATGTGGGTATGTCACTTTCACCTCACTCGCATTAGTAGTTGTTATGCTCTTAGCATTGTAGTAGGTGGTTTGAACCAGTTTGTGTGTCATTGAACGAATTCCAAGAAAGACTACAACACAAAAAACCCCTTACTCACAACAAGCTAGATAGATAAAGAGCTTTTTATTAGGGTTGTTAAAGCTCTTTTTGGGAGGGTCAACTTAGATAGAGGTGGAATGATGGATGATGAGTGAAGGTGAGGACCTTTAGCATGTGTGTGAAGATTAGGGCAAACGATAAATATACAGAAGACGAGATATACGTGGTTCACTCTTAATGAATGGGCTACGTCCATAGAAAAGTATGTTTTCATTAAAATAATGTATGATTTGTACATAACTTTGGACTCAAATATAAAGAGAAGAAAGGGGAAGCCTATGGTTAAAGATAAAGCCTAGCCTAGGGATCCCCCCAAAGTGGAGAGTGGCCTCCTCTTATAGGTTAGGGGGAGTCTTCACTTCCTGAAGTTTTCCGATGTTAGACACCTCTTACTTTGCTTAGAGTTGGGACTTGTGGTAATGCTTATTTGGCTAAGGTGATGACCTCTCAAAGCATGACATGTGGATGATATAGCCTAGCTAGTTTCTTCGTTAGTTATCATATCAACAGTAGTCCCCCAAGTTAGCGAGTAAGAAGGTACTTCTTCATTGAGGACTTGTAATTTTAAGTGCACTAGCCAAGCAACACCACAGTTCGTCTTTCAAGCTGTATAATGCACTACCCAAAGTCCCCGGGTAAGAAGGACATTGGAGGGAGGGAACTTGCAACAAAAAGTCAAGTGGTTTGCAAGTCCCTATTTTGTTATGCAAGGGTGTGGAAGGGCATCGTAGTACACCGAAGGGCGAGGGTACTGAAGGTACAAGACTTGCATGTCGCAGAAAATGTGCTAAATGGAACGTAGGTGCCAAAGGCATAAGACTTGCATGTGGCAAGGCAATGTGCCTAGTCCCGTGGGTGTCGAACGTGTAAAAGTTGCATGTCTCATGGCGATGTGCTTAGGCATGTGGGTGCCGAAGGCGACACTAATCCTGCATGTTGCATGGCAATGTGGCTAGGTACAGGGGTGCCGAAGGCAAAGGGGATGTCGAAGGCACAAAGCTTGCATGTTGCAGGGCGATGTGCTTATGCACGAGGGTGCCGAAGGCGACACAAATCTTACATGTTGCAAGACAATATCCAATTAAAAGACAGAGAGGGGAAATGTTGATAAATTGTCTAACCGAACACTCTCTCACCCGAAATTTTATGACCAAAAGACATGTCACCAATGCTTTAGACAAAATGAACTCTCACACATAAATCGCTATTGTACATTTGCATACTTTATGTTTCTCTTTGAAGCACTTGTAGTATTCGGCAGGTGGATTTATGCTCATACAAATACTAAAGCACCCACAACTGTGGTCACTGTTAATAGGGTATTCCTCTAAGACAAAATCTCTTCCCCATCTGTATATCGGAAGAGAGTGATATCTGAAACCCATGATGGAATTAGGGTTTGAATAATCCTAGAACCAAATGAAGGTTGAGAAGGTTGACGAGGTTGAGCCATGAGAGAAAAAAAATAAACAAAGGCTGATGTTTTGAGAGAGAGAGAGAGAGAGAGAGAGAGAGAGAGAGTCAACAGCTGAGACCTATGCTCAAAAGATCTCCAAAACCCATTGAGGAGGTTGAGCCGTGAGAGAAAAAGAAATAAAGGCTGATGTTTTGAGAGAGAGAGAGAGAGAGTCAACAGCTGAGGTCCATGCTCAAAAGATCTCCAAAGGCCAAAAATTTTAGGGCTGCAACAATGGGAGAGGGAAATGGATGAAGGTGATAGACTCTAGTGATGTGCTAGGAGAGAGAGAGAGCTCCAATGTTTTCCTTAAATCTTAAAATTTAAATGAATGTTTTCATATTATGTAGCTGTTCACTATTATATATATATGGATGTTTATAGATCACGTGCCTAGAGGTGGGTTTACTTTTATTGAGTCAGTTTTATATCATTTATGGAAGTGAGACTGACCTCATTAACTTTGTTACTGAAAATGTAGCATGAGCACCAAAGTCGTGTGGCTATGTCACTTTCACATTACTCGTATTAGTAGCTGTTATGCTCTTAGCATTACAATAGGTGGTTTGAACCAGTTTGTGTGCCTTTGAATGAATTCCAAGAAAGATTACAACAACAAAAAAACCCCTCACTCACAGCAAGCTACATAGATAAAGTGCTTTTTATTAAGGTTGTTGATGCTCTTTTTGGGATGGTCAACTTAGATAGAGGTGAAATGTTCGATGATGGGTGAAAATGAGGACCTTTAGCATGTGTGTGAAGATTAGGGCAAACGATAAATATACAGAAGACGAGATATACGTAGGTCACCCTTAATGAATGGGCTACGTCGACAAAAAAGTATGTTCTCATTATAATAATATATGATTTGTACATGGATTTAGACCCAAATATGAAGAGAAGAGGGGGAAGCCCATGATTAAAGATAAAGCCCAGCCCAGGGATCCCATCTAAATGGAGAGTGGTCTCCTCTTATAGGTGAGAGGGAGTCTTCAGTTCTTGTAGTTTTCCCATATGGAACACCTCTTGCTTTGCTTAGAGTTGTGACTTGTGGTAATGCTTCTTTGGTTAAGGTGATGACCTCTCAAAGCATTGCACGTGGATGATCTAGCCTAACTACTTGCTTGGTCAGTTACGATACCAACAGTAGTCCCCCAAGTTCGCGAGTAAGAAGGTACTTCTTGATTGAGGACTTGTAATTTTAAGTGTACTGGCCGAGCAACACCATAGTTCGTCTTCCAAGCTTTATAGTGCACTACCCATAGTCTCCCAAGTCCTCGGGTAAGAAGGACACTGGAGGGAGGGAACTTGCAACAAAAAGCCAAGTGGTTTGCAAGTCCCTATTTTGTTATGCAAGGGTGTCGAAGGGCATCATAGTACGCCGAAAGGCGAGGGTACCGAAGGTACAAGACTTGCATGTCGCAGAAAATGTGCTAAATGGAACGTAGGTGCAGAAGGCATAAGACTTGCATGTGGCAAGGCAATATGCCTAGGCACGTGGATGCCCAAGGTGACACAATTCTTGCATGTTGCAAGGCAATGTGGCTAGGTACGGGGGTGCCGAAGGCAAAGGGGATGTTGAAGGCACAAAGCTTGCATGTTGCAGGGCGATGTGCCTAGGTACAAGGGTGCAGAAGGCGACACAAAGCTTGCATGTTATAAGGTAATGTGGCTAGGCAAAGGGGATGTCGAGGGCACAAAACATGCGTGTCGCAGGGCGATATGCCTAGGCACAGGGGTGTTGAAGGCGAAGGGATGTCGAAGGCGACACAAAGCTTGCATGTTGCAGGGCAATGTGGCTAGGCACGGGGGTGTCGAAGGCGACACAAATCTTGCATGTTCTAGGGCAATATCCAATCAAAAGACAGAGAAGGAGAAAGTTGATAAATTGTCTAACCGGACACTGTCCCACCCGAAATTTGATGACCAAAAGACATGTCGCCAATGCTTCAGACATAATGAACTCCCACATATAAATCGCTATTGTACAGCTTCATAATTTATGTTTCTCTTTGATGCACTTGCAGTATTCCGCCGGTGGATTTACGCTCATACCAAACACTAAAGCACCCACAACTATGGTCACTGCTAATAGGGTAATCCTCTTGGACACAATCTCTTCCTTATCCGTCTGTTGGAAGAGAGTGATATCTTAAACCCATGATGGAGTTAGGGTTTGAATAATCCTAGAACCAAATGAAGGTTGAGGAGGTTGAGCCATGAGAGAAAAAAATAAACAGAGGTTGATGTTTTGAGAGAGAGAGATAGAGAGTCAACAACTGAGACTTATGCTCAAAAGATCTCCAAAACCCGTTGAGGAGGTTGAGCCGTGAGAGAAAAAAAGAAACAGAGGTTGATGTTTTGAGAGAGAGAGAGAGAGAGAGAGAGAGAGAGAGAGAGAGAGAGAGAGAGAGATAGTCAGCAGCTGAGACCCATGCTCAAAAGATCTCCAAAAGCCAAAAATTTTAAAGCTGCAACAACGGGAGGTACATATAAAGCACATCACCCTCTCTCCGTTGATCGATGTGGGATGTTACAATCCACCTCCCTTAGGGGCCCGACGTCTTCATCGGCACACTCGCACCACACGGCAGAATTACTCTGATACCAAATTGTCACATCCCGGGATCGGCTCCGCCATAGCACGATATTGTCCGCTTTGGGCCCCCTTCTCTGCCCTCACGGTTTTTGTTTCTGGGAACTCACGAACAACTTCCCAGTAGGTCACCCATCCTGGGATTGCTCTAGCCTCCAACTCGCTTAACTTCGGAGTTCATATAACTCTAAAGCTAGTGAGCTCCCAAAAGGCCTTGTGCTAGATGGAGGCGAGCGTGTACATATAAAGCACATCACCCTCTCTCCGTTGGTCAATGTGGGATGTTACACACCCTTAATGAATGGGCTACATCCACATAAAAGTATGTTCTCATTATAATAATGTATTATTTGTACATGAGTTTGGACCCAAATATAAAGAGAAGAAGGGGGAAGCCCATGATTTATTTTTTCATGAAAAAGTTGCTCCTATAATGTGTCAGATAAAACTATCTCACACACATTAATGGATATTAATCATTCATTAGTCGTATATAATGAAAATCAATATATGCTAATGGGTTCCACCACGGTGGTGGTAGATTTTCCCTCCTCTCATGACACCCAAGATCGAACTTAATGAGATTTTCTTTATATTGGCCAAACAAACAAAAAAATCAATATATGAAAAAAGTGTTATGTGGAGCATGATTGGGTCTCAACTATAAAAATTTGATTTGAGAGCATACCACTCCCAAAGAGACAATGAGACATGAAAAACAGGAGTTGAGGGTGATGAGGGCAAAGTGCCAAAGATCCCACCTAATCAAGGTGTCCTAGTCCCTCCCAAAGGGATGCATTTTGTAACACGTCCAATTCACAATCCCATTCCAATATTCTCTCTACCAGAGACCAAATCAAATTCAATCCCGATTCAACACTCTGTACGTACGTACAGCCCGATAGAGCTCCTTTTTTTCTCTTTTTTCCTTTTCCTTTTCTTAATTATAAATTTTATTTGTTTGAAGCTAATCCACTAACCGGTTTCAACCCGGCACACAGTATTTTCTATTACTATGGATCCATTTAAAAAATAGAAAAATAGAAAAACAAAAAAACATGATGCCCTTGGAAAGTTCTTATCTCTTTTAATATTCTAGAAACTTGGGATCAAAATCAAAAGTGTAAAGCTTGCACTTGCTATAACATTTGAATATCTTAACCATGGCTAATGGTCTTTTTACATGATCATATAAAATTTACAAACAAGTGAAAAGGAAAAAATTAGGAAACCAAATTGAAGGGTGAGTCTGATCATGGCCTAACACTGCCGAATCATATGCTACAAGGTTTACTTTTGATATTGTGGTTAAGGCTTTGAGGAACTTGACATTATTTTGACCCCCCAAACAAAAAAAAAAAAAAAAAAAACTTAACATTAGGAAAGTGAAAGGTGATTATTGCTTAAAACTATCCTTCTCACCGTAACAATGCACAAGATTTCTGGGGATTTCCTTTCATGCATGTGAAAGATGAGTTTATATAAACTTCAATTTTATTTTAAAAATCTTGACCATATATTAGTTTGACCTACTTCTAAATATGTATTGCAAATTCTTAGTGTGATAACACAAAATAGAATAGTTGGTGGTGTTCAACAAACAAAATAGTTGGATGAGATGGTAAATGATCATCTTTTAGTTTCAATGGTACTTGAATTTTGACTCAATTTGCATTTTGGTTCCTCAATTTTCAAAATCGTTTTTGTGGTCCTTCAACTTTAGTTTCGTTAGGACAAATGGTCTTACCATTAATTTTGTTAACTTTTTCTGTTATTTGAACGTGTGCATGGCACATGATGGTGGATGTGGTTTTTTCTTAAATAATTGTTAATTGACAAAACGAGCAGTGGGTTGTTATGGGGAGATTGAGAGCCAATATCCGAGAGACAAGATCAAGATGAGATAGTTGAGGGGGGAAAAAAGAAAGAAGGGGGGGGTCCTTTCAAATTCCAAATTAGGATTGAATTACTTGTGTTACATTCTGTTTTTTTTTCAACACACAAACACAAGGACATTTTAGGTTGGAAGATCTTGGAGGGACAATTGATTAAACTGAGGATGATGTGATATTATCGGAATGAGAATTGCTAATCAAAGTCGCTCAAAAGTGACAATAAGGACAATCGCCAGTTTTATCTAGTTCACAATACTACACGTGTACCTCTTTTTCGCATAACTCAACTATGATTTATTTTCTATTTTACCCTTATGACAAACCATCATTAATAAGGAAAACCAAAAGAAAAAGGAAACCATAAGACATTTGACAAACCCATAAAGTTCGCCAATTTCGAGTTCACAATCCAGACCCAGAAATTTCTTTCACAAATCTCATTCAACAAAAAAAACTTGAGATATTTAGTCAAATATCCATTCTTATCACTAAAACTATAAATAAACCATATACAATTTAATTTCTATAAACAAACCAAAAAAAACAAAAACAAAAAAACAAAAAAGAAAAACCAAAAAGTAACAGCTGGCCATATTGAATTTAATTTTGATTATTAAATTACTTTGATGCTCTATTGAAGTTTTTGGATTATGTTTGTTTTAAGAAATCAATGGCAATTTTTTAATGTAAAAGAAATTAAAAGCCTTTATGTTATGTTGTAAATGAGTTTTGGGTGTGATTCTAAAGTCCATTTCATATAAGTTTTTTTTATAAGAGGAATGCAAGCAACTTTCTTTCTAACATTTTCTTTTAGACCTGCTCCCTTATCCTCATGACAAATGCCACTTTTCTTACACTTAAAACAATATCATTAATGCATTACACAAGTTAGTTTTTGTTTTCCAAGTTTACCCTTATTAAATGTATTAGCTTTTATATTTCCTTCAATTTATCCAAATTTTGTTACAACTTCCTTAGCACATTGTTAAAAAATAAATAAGAAAATAGTCATTTAAAAAAAAAAGTTTGTTTCATGAAAGTGATATCATCATTACTTTGTGTTTAACAAAACCTACGTCCTCTTTTGGAAAAAAATAAAAAATAAAAATAAAAATTCAACTTTTATTTTCTTATTTAATTTTTTAACAAGGTAGTAAGAAAGTTGTAAAGAAACTATAACAAACTCCATAAAACCCCTCCAACCTATAGGTTCATTTACGATTTCATACATGATTTTAGGGACATTTACCAGTACATACTCAACGTCTCGGAAACCCTAGAAATTGCCCCCTCTGTTAGTCAAACCGTTAGTGAATCTGTTAAATACTGACGTGGCAAATGTAGATTCCAGTTTTTAATGACGTGGACTTACAGATGGACAAAAAAGTAATAAAAAATTATATGCTTTTTAAAAATAATTTTAAATCATTAAAATATTTTAAAATTGAATAATTTAAAAACAAAACAAACAAACAAACCCAGAAGAACCCACCACCCTCCTTCGTCGCAACCCTCATTCAAGAACCACCCATGGCAGCCTAAAAAAAAAACAAACCCATCTTCTCCGATATCCCCCTCCCTTCTCAATCGTCATCCTCTCTCTCCCCCTGCCACCTTCTCCGACCCAACCCAACCCACAACATGAATCCCGACTAAACCCCTTAGCCATCACCAACTCCACCCCAAACCCAGCACCTGCACCCCCATGCCAACCTAATAAATTGCTATAAGGTGTGTTGATTCATTGTCATGGAATTCAATTGGGCTGTGATTCTGATATTTTTGTTGTCAATGCCCGTATATCAATGTATTCTAGGTGTGGTGATATACTTTCTTCTAGATTTTTATTTGATGGCATGACAAATAGAACTTGTGTTTCATGGACTCCTATGATCAGTGGGTATGCTGATAAAGGAGATTTGAATGAGGAGCTAAGATTGTTTCATGCTATGGAAGCAGTTGGTGAGAAACCTGATTTGGTTACTGTGCTTTCTCTGGTTTCAGGTTACAGCCAAACAGGAGCACTTGAGCTTGGAAAATGGATTCATAACTAAACATACCCAACAAGGAAAATCATAATAAATAAAAAAATCGATTTGGTTATTTTAATTCAACCAAAATTCAAGCAATCATTCTGGTTTTGGTTCTAGAAAGAAAGAAAGAAGGGGGGTTTGAAGAGAGAGAGAGAGAGAGAGATAGATAGATAGATAGAGGTTCTGGAGGGTGGGCTAGGGTCGAGTACGAATTTGAACCATAACAATGTCTTCTCCTATCTTCAGATAAGGTGGGTTAGGTCGGAGAAGATGGCTGGGGAAGAGAGTGGAATTGACCCGGTAGCATCTATATCTGTCTCATCGCTTTTGAATCCCTTAGAATTTTCAGTGAGAAAGGGGAAAAAAGGTTCGAAGGCAAAACTGAAACATGGGCCAATTTCATCTCCTTCAAATTCCTCAAACTCCTCTTTGGAAAGGGTAATTTTCTCACCATCCAAACAGAACCCCGATAAGAAGCACTGTCCGAAACCCATATTAAAATCTCGATCAATTTCTTCTCCATTTGGTTCTTGTAACTCTTCGATCAATTACTCTCACACAAAGAGTAAAGAAAATGGGGTAAGTGAAGGAGGAAGAGAAGGTTTGCAGAGAGGTTGAGAAAATTGTGAAATCAGTTGGAGACGGAGAAGATGGGTTTTTTTTTGGGTGGGTTTTTAGATTTAAAAAAAAAGTATTTTCTTTTATTTTATTAATTTTATTTCTTATGTGGAGTCCGCCTCAGTTAAAAAATGGGTCCCACAACTGCCATATCAGCATTTAACAAATTAACTAACTGTTTGGCTAAGGGAGGGGTAATTTGTAGGGTTTCCGTGACGTTAAGTATGTACTAGTAAATGTCCCTAAAATCGGGTATGAACTTGTAAATGACCCTATAGGTTGGGGGGTTTTATGTAATTTGTGAAAGAAACTAGCTTATTATTAAAAAGAGTTAATACATTCAATAAGGGTAAACTTGAAAAATAAAAACTAGTTTATGTGATGCATTAATGACATTGTTTTAATTGTAAAGAAAGTGACACTTGTCATGAGAAGAAGAGAGAATGTCCAAAAGAGAATGTTAGAGAGAAGGTTGCTAGCATTCCCCTTTTTATAATTTGGGCTCATATATTAGATATAATAGTGAATCTCCCAAAAAACTTTGCAATTGAATAAATTAAAATAATTGCAGGAATTCGGCCCACCTTGAGAACAACTCTCTGATTAGTAAGTATCTTTTCTAACTTTTCGTGGATTGAAGATCTACATTTTTGTTTTTCGTCTGAAAGATTAAAGATCTACAGTTGGTTGTGTGTAATGTCTAAATTCTATAGGGGAAATAATTGAAAGAGAAATGATTTCCTAGTTGTAAAAAAAAAAAATGTTGTAAAAGTAAATAGAGAAAGTATATGAAAGGTAAGAGTAGTTCTCAATAGCTCAATACTCAATTGTCTTATTCATCTTTAGTGCCTACTATTTATAGGCATAGGAAATACATCACCATTTACTATCCTTAAGTAGTGGGTTACAAAACATAATAACCAATGATAAATATGGTATTTAGTGCATAGGTTACAACTCTATGATGATAGGTATAATGATGGGTATAATGGAGGAATTACAATAGACTTATGTTTGGCATGCATAACCTTTGAGGTTACAATAAAAAAAAGGATTCTAATTTACCAGATTTCTCTTTATGGTGTTGATGGTGTTTTTGTTTTTTGTTTTTCTTGTCAATTGGTGTTGGTGGGTTAGGAGAGGACGGGAGAAGAGGCCATGGAGGAAGTCATGTGTAAAAGAGATTAGATTTACGGGTTGGAGATTTTTGAAGTTTTTCTTCGTGTTTCAAAGATGATGCAAAAGGTTTTTTTCTTTCTGGGGAGAGAGAGAGAGAGAGAGAGACGAAGATGATGCAAAAGGTTTTTGTCTTTCTGGAGAGAGAGAGAGAGAGAGAGAGAGAGAGAGAAGTGGTTGTTGAGTTTAATATGGCTCTACTTGGGTAAAAATGAAAATTCGATTTTTAACAAAAACCATTTCTTTCGTTGAAAAGTGGAATACTTTGGTGGAGAATGGTGAAACATTCAATTTTTATTTGAAACTATCCTCTTTTAAAGCAAAAGGTAGAGAATTGTGAAACATTCAAAATACTAGAAAATGCCCTTGGTTAATTCAAATGTTAAGAATTGAAATTATTAATTAAATGAGGATAAGATGGTAAATTCAGATTTTTTCATATTAAAAAATTAAATTAAAAATAAAATCAGATAATAGGTCATACTTTTATGGAACATAAACTATCCATGTTATCTTTTCTTAATTCTAAAAATAAAATAAAACCAATTGTCACATACATGAGGGGCTAGTATTTGATTAAAAGGAATCTTATCACTAAGAAAAAATGGCATCCTTGGGAAGAAAAAAAACTATGTTGGGAGGGCTCAGAAGCCATGCTAGATGAATGGTGGAAAAATCATTTGGTAACCTTGCAATTTTATTTTTTATTTTTGTTAAACAAGAGAGATACCATCAAGAATTCAATATTTTAATATATGCTTTAAGGATACACGTCTTCTTTGTGGAGCGAAAAAGTTTAGTGTGTTCTTTGTGCATGCTTAAACTGATAAACTTATCACTCAATCAATTGTTAGGTTTGATTATTTTTTAGAAAATGATAGAAAGCTGTAGAGAAAGCACAGAATCTTACAACAGCCAATCCATCCGACCCCATTTCGATTCATATGGAAAATGCAAGCCGAGAAAAAGGTGGATAACTTCTTTTTTAAATTTTCTCTTAGTTACTGTTTTACTTCCCTAAACAGACGCTCGATCTCACTTTATCCTCTGAACTGAAATTGACATTTTTTTTTTCACTTAACCCCAGACTCTCCGAAAATTACTGAAATTTTCTCACTTTACCACTTCCGTCCACAAAACATTTAAATATGTTGATGTGGTATGGACATTTTAGTAATTTTACCTATTAAATAACTTTAAAATCTAAAGTAAATATAAGGAAAAATAAATTTGGAATATATATATATATATATTTTTTTTCAGGGTTAAAACCGAGGGATACGTCGGCATCAAGGCGGGAAGGGGTAATGCAAGATAATGGTACCAGACCTGTGTCGGGGGGTGTGGATTTGGAAGACACTGCGTCCTCACCTAGCAAATCGCTATCCCATGCTCCCTCTTTGGTAGACAGAATCCGCTCGTTAAGGGACGAGGAGGAGCGGGAACGACGTATTCGAGAAGAGGCATGGAATGTTGGAATGTTTGTGAGGTGAACCGAGAGTGGTATTGCCACTCAGGAGGAGTCAGCTACTAATCTATACGTGCATGAGGAAGCAGTGGTGATGGGGGATCATGAAGGGGTTAGATTAACTACTGAGTATGGGCAATCAAGTGATCTAAACGTGGAACAAGTTTCGCCCATCCATGAGAGTGCTAGTTCTACTGTACAAGGCCTTGACCTTATGATTGGTCTGGGGCCCATTATAGAAAAGACCATGCATAGAGCGAGTCATGGGAAGAAACAGAGGAAGAACAAACGGGATTATGTTGAGACAATCCTCAACATGGAGTCTGCGAAAAATTTTGAGATTACACCTATACCCAATATGAGTGTCAGTGGTAGGAAGAAGGCATGTGGAAGCATGAGTTTGACTTTACATGATGATATGATGTAGGTGGTGGAGATCGGCCACAATGGGTCTCCACGGGTGCCATGAAAATTCTTGTATGGAACTGTCAGGGCATCGAGGGTAATATGATAGTTTCATGTCTTAAGGAGCAAGTGAAGCTCCATACTCCCAACATGGTGTTGCTCATGGAAACTAAAACTAGGAGTCATCGCTATGGTTTTCTGAAGAAGATTTTAGGCATGAACTTTATGCACGCTGTCGAAGCAAAGGGATTAAGTGGGGGCCTCTGTTTAGTCTGGAAGGAGGCTTAGCACGTGGCCTTAGTTAAATATTCAGATTTTTTATTTATTGAAGTTTTGGTGATGGAAGATGATAAGGGGTTTGTCTGGCATTTCTTTGGGGTCTACACAAGTACTGATGATAAACTACGGAAGGCCCAATGGCTTACTCTTCAAACCCAGATCTCACGGTGTCCAGAGGCATGTTTGGTAATGGGAGATTTCAATGATATTTTGTATAGCTTGGAAAAGCAAGGAGGCAATATTCACACGGAGAAGAGTATGCACGACTTCTGTTCTTTTGTGGTTGATAGTTAGCTGCTTAATTTGGGTTTTGTGGGTTATCCCTTCACTTGGGGTAATAGGAGACAGGAAGGTGGTATACAAGAACGATTGGATAGAGGGTTAGGGTCTATGGCTCCATCACTACCCTGAGGCTACAGTCTCTAATTAGGTAGTGGAAGGCTCTGATCATTCCGTGCTTATCCTTTGGACCCACGCAGTGAAAAAGAGGAGGAAATGTAGATTTATTTATGATCCAAGATGGGGTGCTCATGAGGGTTGCAAGGTTGTGGTTGCAAAATTAATGTCATACAGAGCCATTTACTGTATAACTAATGTCATACATTACAACCATCAATCAATCCATATATTTTCACTCACAAACTCACCGACTAGGTCATCAAATGTGTCAACATTGGGTATCCTTCTAGTAGATGGCTCACACTCAATTCTAACATCACCTAGCACATCATTACCAATAACATCATTATATTCTCTATTGGGCGTTGATAACACTACCGACCAACTATGATGCATTGGGTCGTCAAAAAAAAAAATTACTTGTTTAACTTCAGAAGCCATAACAAATTGGTCATTCCTATGTCCAATTTTACTCAAATCTACAAAGGTAAATCCAAGTTCATTGACTTCAAGACCTAAAGTGTTATCTATCCAATCACATCTGAAGACTGAGATTCTAAACTTTTGGTAATCAAGGTCCCAAATTTTTTGGATAGATAAAAACCCATATTGGAGACAATCGGGTTTTTATCCTTGGCACTAGCAACTTGCATAGTATGTGCAAGTAAATAAACTCCATTATCTATGCAAGTAAATAAACTCCATTATTGTGGACCGATCACACATCATCTTGTGACTTGGCATTAAATTTAACACCACTAATAAGATAGCTATTATATGATGGCACTGCCATGCTTGGACTAGCTGTTAGCCACCTCAAATTTTCTAATACACCATTATTGTCTTTCCCATTGAGTTCACTTTGAACATGAAAATTAATCATATCTTAATTCAATCTAACATAGAAAGAAGAAAAATAAAAGTCCAATATGTTATTCAATAACATATACCTTAAAGCGTAGCCATTGAATGAAAGTGCTACTATGCTTATCTTGCAGCCACTTTGTTCTCTTTTAAATTTTGGATAAGTGGTATTGATATGGATCATATGTTCCCTACATGACATGAAAAATTCAAGTATTACAGTCATTCGTATATAAGAAAAACATAAGGAATAATTTAAAAATAATTAATGAATAAAACTCATACTTGATATAAGATAGGACTTTCTCCGTATTCTCCAAGACATATAGATGTGCATGGTTCAACAGGTCCCAATCAACTAAGCTCATTGTGCCACCTGATAATGGCTTTGAAAATCCCATCTTCTGGCTTGATGGCATTCCAATTGTACTAACATAAGATAAGTGCTCGGTGCAAAACTTTACAGCTTCTTCAGCTATATACCGCTCAGCAATGAAACCTTTAGGATAAGTACGGTTATGAACATACCCCTTTATCACTTTCATATATCCTTCAAACGGATACATCCATATAAAATAAACTGGCCCACATAGACAAACTTCTCTGACAAGATGTACTACTAGATGAACCATGATATCGAAGAATGAAAGGGGAAAGTATCTCTCAAGCAAACACAAAGTAACTACTACATCTTCTTCCAACATATCTAACTTGGAAACATCTACTGTCTTTGCACATATAGCATTGAAGAAAGAAGCACAATCGAGTCATTGCATACCTAGGAGGCTTCTCCAAAACAAAATGAATTGCCACAGGGAGGAATTGTTGCATCAAGGTATGACAATCATGTGATTTAAGGCCAAGAAGTCTTGAATCTTGTAAAATTACAACAATTTTTTTTTATATTTGAAGATTCACCTTCAGGGACCTTCATACCATAGAAAAAATTACAAATCGCTCTCTTCTTTGCTCTTGACAAATTCCAAGGCCCTGGAGACAAGCGAGTACGTCTTTCTCCATACTCGGGTTTCAAATCAGTTTTGACCCCCATGTTCAATAAACCTAACCGAGCATCAATTTCATCTTTATTTTGTCCAGGGATCTCCAACAACATACCAATGATACTATTGCAAACATTCTTCTCAATGTGCATAACATCGAGGGCATGCCTCACATGAAGGTATTTCCAATACTCGAGATCAAAGAATTTTGACTTCTTCTTCTAACAAACTTTGTCACCATCATTTTCACCTCCACTTTCCCCTTTTTTCAAGCCCCATTTGTAATTAATACCTTAACCATTTGCAATCCAATTAATGGCTCAGGAGGTGTGTCATATTCAGGTTTCCCATTACAAGCTACACGTTGTCTCTGATATGGTTGATATGTTGGTAACCATTTTCTATGTCCGATGTAACAAAATTTATGACCATTTTTCAACCTGTGACTAGGTGTATCATTGCCGCATATTGGACAAGCTTTATATCCTTTAACAACGCAACTAGATAAGTTTCCATAGGTAGGAAAATCATTAATTATTCACAATAATACACCTCTAAGTGTAAAGTATTCTTCTATATGTGCATCATACACTCGTCTAATCCCATCACACAAAGATTTTAAATCATCAATCAAAAGCTCTAAGTAGACATCTATATCACTTCCGGATTGTTTAGGACCGGAAATCAATAAAGTCAACATCATGAACTTTTGTTTCATGCATAGCCATTGTGGGAAATTATATGTAACTAAGATAACTGGCCAACAACTGTATCTGCTACTTAGAGAATTATGGGGATTGAATCCATCAGATGAGAGAGCCAATCTCAAGTTTATTGGCTCTTTACCAAACTCGGGCCATTTATCATCAACAAGTTTCCAAGACGGGTAATCTGTTGGATGAGACATATGACCGTCAATTGATTTTCTATCAGCATGCCAAGTTAAACTCTTAGTTGTCTTATGTGATTGAAACATTATTTTAAATCTTGGAATTGGTGGAAAATATCACACCACCTTCGCTGACACACTCTCTTTCAAGATTGAATATGTGCTGACAAGACTCACCCCAAATTCCTTAGAATTCGTGACAGATCCTGTGGTTTTTTCTGACATCAATCTGATGCCAGACCCATTTACTAACAATATCCTCTTCTCTAAAACAAGGAAAAGTGGGACGGGACTTTCTGCCAAACTTTCGACAATCTCCCCTGAAAAACGGACTTTACTAAATTTTCAGCCTATCAAAAACACAATTTAAAATCACCAAACTTCGGAATCAAAGACTCTACAACAAAAGATTTCATTTTTTGACCCCTTTAACTATTACTTATCCATTAATGACTTTACACAATTAGGATGCGAATGATTTCAATCAGGAACCTTCTAGGTTGTTTAATTTGAAAGACAAAATCTTTGGTCCCCTCTACATACTATTCCTTTTGGGTCAATTCCAAAATGTAAACTCTAAAACCAAACACAGAGTCAAATTGCAGACAGAAAGAGAGAAGTCTCCTTCTCCCACTAAAAGTATGTTTTGATAGCTGCTGTAATGCTTAACCTTTCTCTTCCAAGATTTATTTCCACACTTAGAACAATATAAACACAGCTCAAACAGTTTATTTTGCGGCTCCACCTTGTAACATCCCGACCCAATTTTAATTATTTGATTAAATTAATTAATTAATTAATTTAATTATGAAATTACTTTTTTGCCCTTGGGAATAGGGTTATTTTGGTCACTTTATAAACCTGGGTTTCATGGTCGTGTATATTCGAATCAGATGAGACCTGTATGTATGGAAAAACATGTAAATATTTTCGTGAAGGCATGATTTCCAGAGGAAAAGAGTGAGTAATAAAGGGAAGGGAGTGGAACTTTAAGGCTGTTATTATTACCTGCGTCGCCATGCGAAGAGCAAAACCGCCATAACAAGAAACAAGCGTAAAGCCATTTAATTTAAACACAAGCAGAAGCAGTGTTGTATGTATCCGAAGCTGAAAGGCAAAGCTCTTGATATATATAGCATAGCAGTTGCCTCTTAATAATATAGTTACCTTATTGCTCATGTATCTTCTCCCATATTGCGCATGTCTTGTCTTCTACTCTTCTGCGTTTAATTAGATGATGAACACAACAGTGTCGTTTTATTTTGGGATTTTGTTTTCAACTAAGTACGACGCTTGTAATACAAACATATGATGTCTTACAAGAAGCAGATATACTCTCTCTCTCTCTCTCTCTCTCTCTCTCTCTCTCTCTCTCTCCTTTTTGGATGTGAACCAGTAATAGTATGCATGCATAACATAACTATTTTAGGATAAGATAAGATCATAAACATTGAATTTGAAATAAAAATGGTGAAGGGCAGCAGGAAGCAGGAGGCAGGCTGCGAGCTGGCTGGATGCATGGATTGGAAGTATGCATGTATACAGGCGACAGCTCTGCTCTAGTTGTATTGTATGCATAATGCACGATGTATGTATGAAAAAAAGAAAAGAAAAAAGAAAAGAAAAAAAAAGAAAAGAAAAGAGAATGAGAAGTCATAGTGCATATTTTGTCACAAGATGGGTTTTGAATCAATAATGTCGAACACGTCTGAATTATTGTGTTCTTTTTTAATCAATAATGTCGACCATGTCTGAATTATTATGTTTTTTGTACGAAGAAAGTGATGGAACTCGAGTGCAAAAAGTGGACACACTGCTTAGCCAACTGGTCTAACCACGAGTGCAGAACAAAAATAAAAAAGTTGGCCCCAGCACAGAAATTTGAAACGGTGGGTGTGTCCTGCACTTAAATTTCCAAGAGGACCAGCTAGCTCACTAGACGATGAGGCGGCGGTGCGGTGACACAACAGTCCATGGTCCCAGACACGACGACATGAATGTTGTTTCCAAAGTGAGCCACGCACACGCTACACCGCTTAGCAGTTCAATAAAATCATCCATCCAAGGCTATATGGCATTGCATCGCATCGGCACCCTCAAAACTCACTTCTCTAATTTATAAAGGCACCACCACTCATCCTTTCTTGGTTGGTCTTGGTACTAAATACTAATAATAAATCATTACAAAAACTTCTCTGAATTTATCAGTACATTGAAAGATACAATGTTGATTTCTTTTTCACTCATCTCATATACATGGTCTCTTGCATCTGTCAAAGCACTCTGCATCATGCAAAAGTTCATTACGACGCATGTGAAAACAAGCAGCACAAAATAAAATGCCAAAATAGCGAAAGAGAAAAAGAAAAAAAAACCCTTAAAGAGGATGAGAAGGTTACCTGCCCAAATTTGGTGAGGAAATTACTCGCAAGGTTCAGAGATGTGACTGTCACATCTTCATTGGCCTTCAGTGCTTGAGCAATTGCAAACGCCCCGTCATCCTGAATACAAAACCATTTTCAAATTGTGCAAAATACTGCTAAAATGTGAAAAAAGCACACGGAAAACACAAAGTCAATACATACCCTGATTTCATTAAACCCTAAATCTAATGAACTTAAAGCTTCATTAACCACTTTTAAGCTAAGAGCCAGGCAGGATGCACCCTGCATTTTCCAATGCATAAAAAGGAAAATAACATTAGATTGGAGTGATCAAAACGACCCAAATGGAGTATAAAGACATTGCTTATCTACAGGAACTAACTTTATTTCGAAGTCCATTTGCCTGCAAGTCCAGAACACGTATAGTAGTATTATATTTTAACATATCCGCGATGAACTCTGCACCCTTTGCACCAATCTGCAAAAGATTTTTATATTACATTGTTACAAGATCCTCTCAAACGGATACAAAAAACCCAGATCGAAGATCTAGAAATAGATAAGCATATGTGAAAAACTATAGATTACCTGGCACTAGCCAAGCTTAAGGGTTTCTATGTTTCCGTGAAACTTCAGAACTTCTGATAAAGCCTTCACCCCATCAGGTCCCATGGGATTATAACCAAGCTCCAACTGAGAGAAGAGAGAAGTTTCCGCCATTACATATATGAATAGAAATGAAAAAAGAAAAAAAAGGAAAAGGGCACAGATTAGACTTACAAATGTAATGACAGAATTATCTTTCAATGCTTCAGCTATGGCAGTGACTCCCTTGGCATGGATGTTATTTCCTCTCTTTGAGAGCGACCCAATGTTTTTTAAATTAGAATGTTCAGGACCTCTCTTTTTTGGTTTTAAATAAAATAGAATAAAACATGTAAATAAAAAGTTATGCTAACAAAGAAGCATGCTCTTCTCACCAGGTCTATGGTTGTTATTGTCCGGTTTCGCTTCAAAGCATTTGCAATGTTTTCAGCTCCCTAAACACGAACAGGATTTACACATCAGCAAGGATGAACTAAGTTTTAGCACAAACAATGAACTAAGTTCCAAAATAAGCAAGTAGATCAAAATTAGTTTTCAATTCTCTTTTATGTCTTAAGATTGTCAAATGCCAGAAACATCCAAACAGTGATAGCTGTGGCAATAGCAGTAGTTCAAAGCAAGCTGAGAACCTTGAAATGACACTTAATGGAGGGCTTGATCCATCAATCTAATTTCACATACAAAAATCCTAAACATTCTATGTTAAGTATTTTAACCAATGAACAGGGAACCAAATAAAAGTACGAGTTTGCATAAGTGTGCGGCAGAAATGGTTAACAACTTGAAAATACTATACCTCATCACCTATATCATTCATGTAAACGTTCAACCATAACAAGCTCTTGGTCTTTTTGACATATCCACCAACATGAAAGGCGCCTTTTGCACTAAAAGAGTTGTTGCCAATATCTAGAAGTGTAAGTTTACCTGAGCAAATATGCATATCAGATCAATTGATGAAAAAATAAAATAGCTCACTAACGTTGGCAATTGATATAGTGAAATGCAAACCTCTATGTAATGATAAACCTGACATCAAAGCAGCCACTGCTTCATCTCCAATAGAATTTCCATGCAAATGAAGTTCCTGCATATATAACATAGCTATTAACCTCAGATCCCTTACAATGAAGAACTTAATCCATTCTGTTGCGAGCTCATATATATATATATGCAAAAATATTGTGACATATCAAAGAAGAATAATGATCACCATTTCTTGGCAACACTAAATAGGGTTTTGTCAATCTCTAAAAGTGCTGATGAAGAGAAGATTTTGTGAATCCATTGTGACCGAATGTCTTTTTAAGGCATCTTATTACATAGTCAGTTCAGATATCTAACTACTTGTATTTTCCAGTTAACAGAGGATGTAAAATACCTTCGAAATTTATACAAAATTCTGAGGGATCATCAACATAGAGTGGTAAATTAATTTGTCTCAATGCAAAACAGAAAAAGATAAGTGACGAAACATTTACCCTTACAGACTTGTTCCCCTCAAGTCCTTTCACTAAAGCATTGGCCCCCAGGGCACCACCATTATTGCCACTATAAAAAATAATAAAATGACATCAGAATTCCTAAAAAGAATAAAAGTTAAGTACCGCTACAATAGAATTTTTAACTTCGTGTGCTCAAGAATAGCCATAGCCAAGCAATACAAACAAACCAACGGTACATATAACCCAGAAATTGTATTATATAAGAAAAATGAGGAGGGTGCACTAACTTCAGATGTATATTCCGTATTGTGTTGTTTCCAACAAGAGCTCCAGCAAGACTTGTAAATCCCTACCTCCATTTTGCAAAGAACAAATCATAAATAGAACCAGTTATTCAACTGAGAGAGAAGTCATTAAAAGCTACAATCTTAGAATATCTGGAGGCAACTCCTTACAGAGTAGTCGATCATATTGTTGTTAAGTTCGAGAGCACGCAAGCTTGAATTATTCTTCAACATTTCTGCAATAGCCTTTGCACCCTGCACAGTGAAGCCGTCAGCTTGTTAGGCATATCATTCATGGACAATCCTTTCCTCTTGCAGATTTTGAAGGTACGTGTCTGTACTCATCAGGGCACTAGCTTTGATAAAAAGAAGTAAGCAAACCTCATCCCCTAAGTCAGTACTGTTGAGCTGGAGCTTTTGAATACCATTATTATTCACCAATATATCACATAGGCACTGTGAAGAAGAGTACATCACACAACATTAAGCTCTCAGATTCAAGAATAAGCAATAATATACGCATGCAACTGAGCTACAAACTTTTTCTTTGCACTCCCATAGTTGAAAAATGTTATTTCGCTTAGGGAGCGGGGAGCATTTGATGTTCAAAAGAAAAAATTTCCGACACTCAATCTTACAAGCAAACTAACAAGACAACTTTATCATAAACGGGTGGAATTTGGACTGACCTTAACACCTTCATCTCCAATGGGGTTTCCAGAAAGATTAAGGGTCTTTAACATAATGTTAGATTGAAGAACACCATCAAAGGCTTTCATTCCAGTTCCAGTTATTCCATTTGCAGCAAAACTCACTTCTTCAGCAGTCTGAAACACAATAAAAGCACACAATAATTGTCCAAAGTCACAATATTTCATAAATTAATAAGATGAATTTTTTATTATATATATAATAAAAACAGATAGTAGAAATATTTGACTAAAGAACTCAAACCTGATTGTAACCCAACTCTTGGAAAGAAAAAATAATCCTTGATCTCCAAAATTACGCCCTGTCAAAATAAAGCGTTGCCAAAATATACATGAGTTTTTACGTTTTGTTTGGAAGTATAGTACAATCATTACATTAATTGAATAATAAACCCAGTTTGTATTCAAAAGAAAGAAAGAAAGATACAATCAAGTGAGAAAGTTAACAAACAATAATAAACCTCTTATGAAAACATATAACTTGAAATATGAATTGTTACAGAAATTAACACGAATGAAATTTGCATCTAAATGAAATTGATATGAATAATGGAAAATAAGAACGTAAAGTAGAATATAATTTTTAGCCAGTATTTTTCCTAAAAGTCTGTAAAAATAGAGAAGCTGCATGCACGAGCACTAAAGCATCTAGAACTACCTGACAAGTCGACACTTCTGAATGACCTAAGTTCCTTGGCGAAATCATTGAGCTTCAGCTTGGACTCTCTCTCAATCTTTGCACCAAAACCTGTAAGCAAATTTGAACCGGCGGCAAAAGACCACTTCATTCCTTCGGCAGGCGTTTTGTTTTCAACAGATGAAGTCTTCTGCCGCTTTGGAACAAGGATTTTCTCCACCAATTTCCACAAAACTGTCAGCTGAAGACATAAATTAGTGCACCAATTTGGGAGGCATGGTAAATATAAAGATGAAATTATAATGCCGGAACAAAAAAATGACTTTGGTTATCTCAAGCGCAATAAAGGGTATTTATCGACAGGTAGGGGGAGTGTCATCCTCATCTACAATGCTTTTTGCCAGTTGAAATTTGCTAATAATCAATTATAAAGGCTTCTACTTCCTGATTTCTAACCCACATTTTAACCAAGTTAGAGTTTTTCAAGAAGAAACACACCCAAAAAAAAACAGAGAGGAATTGAAAGCAAATTCAGTACCGAAAGTGACGGCAAAGAATAAGGCGGCGGGAACGACGAAGGAAGCGAGCTGCTTGACTGAAGCAACAGGCAATGAGCTCACGCTCTGTGATTCTCTATACACTCTCCGAGCACTGGCGGGCCTTCTAGAACCTCCCTCAGCCGCAGAAGCAGCTTTTACCACCAAGCATCTCCTCCTTCGCGGAAGGATAGGAGGTAAAAACACAACCTGCGTAAGACAGCCCAGCCAAGCACTCCCCGAACCTTGGGATTGGCATTGAGATTGCAGCCTCTGCTTGTTCGTGAGGGGCCGCAGCAGAATCTGAGAACCCAACAGGAATTTCATTATTCAAGTAAAAGAGGATAACAGAGAGAGAGAGAGAGAGAGAGAGAGAGAGAGAGAGAGAAGAGAGTACCTTAGGATGAGAGCAGAGAGAGATGGCGGAAGGGCATAGAGAGGGTTGTTCTTGGCGACGTATGTACGGATATGGCTATGGAGGTTTGTGTTGCAGAGTTGATAGTATTCTGCAGCGGCGGGGTCTCTGAGATTGTTATCGAACAAACCAGCAGCAGGCGATCAGTCTATCAACTACCAAGACACTGTCCAAAATTTGCTTCCCCTGTTCAGTGGACGCTTCACAGCTCTTGGGCCTTGCTATTATTGGATACATGCATTGTAGAGCTTATCTGAATTTTGTTGGACTGTTTGCCTTTGAAGCCCAAAACCAACAGTCTCGAATTGGACCTTGCTAATTTCTCTCATTTATGTTATTTTCCAAACAATGTATAAATGACATGTGTCAAATGATACTACAATGAGGGGTTATAATGAGGGATCTTTAATATCCACCGATCAATGAAAATGTTTCCTTTATTTATTTATTATTACTTTTTAATTTTTAAATAGAGACGATCAATAGAAATAATTAAGTTCAATAATTCCTTCATATTATTGGACGACCAACTGGATTGAAACTCTCAACACACCTCCTCAACGTAACCCTATAGAAGCTCCACGTGGTGTCGACGTCAACCAAAACATTAATGCCAATTTGGGAGTGTTTATGTAAAGAAACCCTTATGTTCATAACTACTTTTGCTATAAGCTTTTTTATTAGGAGCACAACGACATGTTTACCAAAAACTCTGAAATTCTAAAATGTGGTGTTATATCTTTATGTGGAAGGGCTTTTAGCTTTCTATGTTAAGTACTCATCATTGAGACCAAAGGTTATGTTTGTTTTTCTTGTTGTTGACTTGTCTTTTTTAATTCCCATTTTTAATTTCTAGGCAAGAATGAAAAGCCAATTAACTATTCATTTTTTCCTAGATAAAATAGACAAACCAAGTAGGCAGTACAAGTTTTAAAGCTCAGAGAGGAGATAGTACAGAAGCTGACAGCTTGTAGCCTTGTACATTTCTCCATAACGATTAACGAAGTCATAGGACCGACCGAACAAGGCACCCCCATCATCTTGTATATATAGTCTAATCTGTATGGTTAATGGCTATAAGCAAAAAAGGGTAAATCTCTCTGCTATCAAAAGTCAAGGGCTTGTCATGGCTTCTCAGATCACATTGGCAATGTTTACTCTGTGTTTTGCCCTACTAGTTATGCTTGGTTCTGCAGCTGACATGCCAGGCATGCCCGGTATGGGGGCAGCTACCCCTGCAGCGCCACCCTCTGGCGGTGGCTTCACATGTCCATCAATGGCTGTTGCCTTCTTTGCTTTGGTTGCTGCCTTTGTTGCCTAGAGGAGGAAGAAGCTCTGATCGCTGCCTCTGTTAATCTTACAGTTAGTCTCAGCTTATGGTTTCGTTTGTAATCTGGATTATGTAATTGTCAGCATGGTATGTTTGGAATTTCACATGTCATAGTTTCTGTTTAATATGTTTTTGTGATGTTGGTTGGAATTTTGTAATAATCTCTGCTATAAGCGTATTCAAGGATTTGGTTACAAATATATGAAACCATCCGTATGCACACTCAAAACACACATACTCAAAGGCACAAACATAAAAGAAAGAAGGAAAAACTTCATTTACCATCTGGTGGAGATATCAAGGATTTGGTTAACAAGACCAATTGAGATGAACGTATAAGTGAGCTGATTTGTGAAACAGACTGAACTTGTGATATGAATTTAAATCATAAATATATACATAACCGGCAAGTCTCTGTAGAACTCCCACCATCCAGCTTGAAGAAACACCAATGGAGGAACAAGTAAGTTGTATACTTTACATTTAATGAAATAATTGGAGTAACTAAGAAGAAGGGACTTTCAGATATGAAGGTGCAACTTCCCAGTTGAATCTGATAGGTAAGAATGGGCAAAAGCTGCATGTATTGCAGCACCAATAGGAAGCACATCCTCATCAATGAAAAAGTAAGGACTATGTGGCGCATATATGGCTCCTTTCTTTTCATTTCCTGTGCCTAAAAATAGCATTGACCCAGGTACCTTATCCAAGTAGAAAGCAAAATCCTCACTCCCCATGAAGGTAGGAGCTAATTTTGTGTTTTCTTTTCCTACTATTTTGGTTGAGATGCGTCTTGCTTGTTCGTAAATTCTCTCATCGTTTATAGTAGGGGGGATGCTAGGATGTTCATTTCCTAAGAATTCAATCTCAGCAGAGCACCTATGTACAGCTGCCTGCCCTTTTACAACCTGACAGGAAGAAAGAGGTTTGAATAAACATTCAAAAAAGAAATGTCTTTGATGTTAAATACCCAATTAGGAACTGATATACTTTGATCTATATGGGAAATTTGTTACCTCTTCTATTCTTTCCCTGATTGCATTGAAGCTCTTCTTGCTAAAAGCTCTAAAAGTACCGGAAATTGTAGCTGATTCCGGGATGATGTTAAATGAAGTCCCTGCTTGAATCATAGCTACAGAAACCACCTGCATTAATGGTCAATGCATTACTCAGCACTGTCTTACAAAATCCTGAATTTTTCTAAATAATTGCAGACCAAATGACACAAATAAGCAATATACCTGGGAATCTAAAGGGTCTGCCTCTCTCGAGACGATGTTTTGCAAGCTAATCACTGATGCTGATGCTGCCACAATTGGATCAATGGATTGTTGAGGAATTGCTGCATGACCCCCTTTTCCATGAATCTTTGCTTTGAAGCTCCCACAACCAGCTAGAAATTCTCCAGGCCTTGATGCAACAACACCACTTGGATATCTATGCACTACGTGCAACCCAAAGATGGCCTCCACATTATCAAGCACCCCTTCTTTGATCATGTCCTTCGCACCTATGCCGCGTTCCTCAGCTGGTTGAAATATAAGAACAACCGTTCCCTGTAACAATGTGATAGTAGATTTATAAGGTGACCGAAAAAAGATGAAAATTATATATATATATAAATATATATATATATTATATCAAAGAATGATCATAACTTCACCTGTAATGTGTCTTTCAGTTGTTGAAGTACTTTAGCAGCACCAAGAAGCATGGCAACATGTGCGTCGTGGCCACAAGCATGCATTTTTCCGTCCACTTTGCTCTTGTGCTCCCATTCCACCAATTCCTATACTCATATGCAGATGCAATGTTGTCAATACAAAGTGCTTTTTGATTAAGAACATCAAATTGAACACAATGCTTTTGATTATTTCTCTCTTTTCCTACATTATGATTTTGAGCCTATATAAAGCTTAGCTTTTGTCATGTTCTGTATGACATTGCGGGGGAGATAAAAGGGTTCTCACTTCACATGCTCATCAACAAAAGCTCGAAAGGCTACGGTTCTATGGATCAAGGAAAAGTAGCCTGCTGTACCATTTATGTCTTAAGTCTTTTTACCACAATTACTTGTCACAAGCACTTTGATTAAAAGCTAATGAAAACGAATACAGAGCAGAAATATACATCTATGTGATTAAAACCCAACAATTGAATTGCCCTTGCAAAAACAAGGGTAAAACATTTGTATCTGATTTCCTTGACACAAGTATAAGGATCAAAGCAACAGAGTATATCAATCTGATCAAACCCAACAATTAAGGTAAACGAATTTAAACTAAATTGACTTAGCTAACCTGAATGGGCAAAGCATCCATATCTGCTCTCAGAGCAACAAAGGGAGGAGAGCCAGAGCCAATAGTGGCCACCACACCAGTATGCGCCACAGGCCATGTATATGCAACACCAAGCTTGTCAAGCTCGCGCCTAATGAGTGCACTTGTTTTGAATTCTTCATATGCAAGTTCTGGGTTTTCATGGATTTCTCTCCTCACATTCTTCATCCAATTTACTGTGTGAAACTCATTGGCGAGCCCAACTATCTGCTTTTTCAATGAATAATCCTGATTTGTGGTAGACAAGCACAAGGTTGTGGTTGTGGTTGTGGCAATGGAGATTAGGAACAAAAGTTGCAGAAGCTCCATGCTGCCAAATGGTAGATTCAATATTTCTAACAAGTAGCTAGAAATATGTAGTTATATATACAAGAAAATTATATATAATATAATAGGAAAGACTTTTCTACATGGAAATTAAATTTCTCCAAGGTAGGGGAACAAAGAAAATCTGAAACCCAAGCATGGTAGTCAAAAAGCAATTCAGCATCAGAGAGAGATTATATATGCATGATTCTATTTAGGATTTTGCCTTTTGACTGTTCGTATCAAAACTGGTCAAAATACGTGGTCTAAGAATATTTCAATAAAATTCACTGTAGATGCCAAATAAACGTAAAATTCATTAGACTTAAAGAACCACGTGTCATTATCAGAATTCTTTCTGATTGTAGATCAACTTCTATGTGGATTTGAGTGATGCCGGAATTGGATTGGACCCCACCAAATTATGTGGAGCAGATTGGAACAGCAACAATATGTATGGAAATAAAAGGGAAAATAACAAAAACGTCACGTGTTGAAATTTGGTATAGTAAGAGACGTGTATTGTTTGAATTTGGAAAATCGCAACGACCCTTCCTTACCCTGGTTTACCTGGAAAAACAATTAGCCTAATTGTCATTTCTAGTTGCACTTTTTTATTTTCAATCACAAAAAACGTGCATAAATAAGTTAACTTGCAATTGAAAGGTCATATTTTCCACTGTCATGCGTCACTGTTTAAGTCTCAAGTCTTAATTCTGGACCTTTTTCAAATTTGCATGTGACTAATGTGAAGAAAATGACCCTTGTGATTGTGGAAGAAAAATATCAGTTGCCCAAGCAAAGTCTTTTCATCTTCATATTCCTACTGTCCACAACCAATGAATCATTATGGCATCTCTTTAACAGCAGTGAGGCCAACGGCGGAGCCAAGAATATTTGTAGAGGTGGGCTAAATTTTTTTTCCTTCTTCTTTTCTTACGGCAGATATGTTATATCACTTATTTTTCTTAAAACAATCAAGTTCATTCACATACCAAACAAATATAACGCAAAGAAGTACATTATATATGTAAAACATCAAATTAAACACATGGTCACTCATCAAATTAAACATGTTGTCAAACATCAAATTAAACACATTGTCAAACATCAAATTAAACACATATTGCCAAACATCCTAGTGAAGTAGAATCCTACGCTCCTTGAGTTTCTCAAAATATGTGATTATTGAATCTGAATCAATATCCAAAGAAAGTTCTTTCTCAATGTAGACAATAAGGGAATTTGTCAAATACTCATCCTCCATCTTGTTGTAAAGTACAGTTTTAATATATTTCATAGCTGAAAATGCTCATTCTGTAGTCGTTGTAGAAACTAGAATAGTTAACACTAAACGAATCATCTTATCAATCAAATAATATGTATGTGCTCTGTTTGTTTGAGTTCATCGTTGACATAGTTCAGAAAGAGTAGACATATTTTGAAAGATATCAAGATGTACTTCAGACTCAAAAAGTTCTAGCTGATACCTCAATAAACGTAAGTCTTTAAAAGTGAAATCTCCTGGATAAAATTTCTTCGCAAGCTTGCAAATATCATCAATCTTAAATGCTTTAAAATCATTGCTAGGGTCCAAAGCAGAGCTAAGAGTAAGAAGATCTATTATTCCTTCACTGAATCTAGTATTTAACTCTTCCAAATGATAATCTATGGTATCATTGAATAAATCAACCCGGTAGTGATGTTCAACTGTAATATCATCACGTTGTTGACAAGAATGACATGTACCAATTTTGTAAAGAGCATTCATATCTGACATATCAATGTCATGTTTTTTGCAAAATGATTCCACTTCCTCAAAGAAAATATCCCAACCATCCAATCTTAATTTCTTAAGAACATTTTTTGTACTACGAATTAAATTCATAGCAATCAAGATATCTTTAGATTTATTTTGTAATGCTTGGCAAAGGCCATCAATAACTCCCATAATTTTTTCCAACAAATGCAAGACAAATATGAACTCAAAAGATGTTATCGCTTTGAAAGTACCAGTAGCTTCGCCGCGTATAGAGTTAGTGGCTCCATCCTTAATTAAGGTCTCAACCACTAAACAAGATGCATTATACATATCTATCAAGTTCGAAACATAATCATAATGAGAACCCCAACGAGTAGCTCCAGGCCTGTCACATCCTGGGATCGACTCTGCCGTAGCACGATATTGTGCGCTTCGGGCCCCCTTCTCTGCCCTCACGGTTTTGTTTCTAGGAGCTCACGAGCAACTTCCCAATGGGTCACCCATCATGGGATTGCTCTGGCCCCAACTCGCTTAATTTCGGAGTTCCCATGACTCCGAAACCAGTGAGCTCCCAAAAGGCCTTGTGCTAGATGGAGGCGGGCATGTACATATAAGGCACATCACCCACTCTCTGTTGGTCGATGTGAAATGTTACAAGGCTGATGCAAGGTACCAATTTGATTAGCCCCTCTACCTGTCTCACGTTCACCAATATCCAGCATATGTGCAATATCAGTTGCTTGAGTAGATTGTAACTCACCATAGCGCTTAGGAGAAGCAGTAATAAAATTGATAATGGAATTCAAGGTTGAAAAGAATAGCCAAATAGGAGCAACATCTTTTGTTGCTGTAACTAATGCTAACTGTAGTCTGTAAGCAAAACAATGTACATAAAATGCATAAGGGCAATCTCTAAGAAAAAATGCTTGTATTCCATTCCATGCACCTCGCATATTGCTAGCACCATCATATCTTTGACCTCACATTTTATCAATTTGGAGATAACAATTAATTAGGACTCGAGATATCTATTTTTTAAGTGTTGAAGAACTAGTGTCTTCAACCCTCACAATCTCAAAAATAATGTTCTCGTACAAAACAATCCTTATCAAAAAATCTTAAAAACAATGGTCATTTGCTTTCTGTTAGATGCATCTTTTACTTCATCAATAAGAAAACAATAAGTCAATTCCCCAACTTCCTCACAAATTTTAGCTCTCACTTTGTCAGCGAGAATATGCAAAATCTCATTTTGAATCAATAGTGAGGTATATTTAGTATTTCTCGGGGCATTTTCTAAAACAACTTTAGCAACTTTATCATTCCAATGTGCTGTATATTTTATCAATTCAATGAAATTTCCTTGATTAATTGAGTTTATGGATTCATCATGACCTCTAAAAGCACATGCTTGAAATGTAAGCCACCGAACACTCTCAATTGTTGCCTTTAGCCTAACCGATTCCTCCAAATTTGTTCTTTTGGTTGTTTGTGAATAACTTTCTCAATATGTTGAGATGATTTTATTAAATCATCAGCACATCTTACACAAGTATTATGTGGTGAAGACTGACCTCCAACATGTTGCAAAAAAACACGTTTCTTTCCATCATTCACTCTTTTCCAATTATTGAACCCATCAGTAATTAGTAAAGACCCATTTGCTAGATTCTTTTCAAACACAAAGCATGGTAAACAATATGCCTTATCCATTGTAGGAGAATATTATAACCATGAAAATTGTGAGAATCAAGAATATTGAAATTGACGTCTTTGTTGCTAGAACAAAGTCCTTGGATACTCAAAAAGTTTAGGTTGATAAGGCCCTAATTTGATATAAGCCCTTCGAATCTCATCACACTTATTAATTAGGTGTTCACAAATTGGAATACGTTTCCCTAGATCTCGTTCTAAAGAACTAGTGTCAAACTGAATTAAAGTATCAACATTAGATGTAGAAGGTGTATTCTTAGTATCAACGTTAGATGCAGAATGTGTATTCTCAGTATCAACATTAGATGCAGAAGGTGTATTCTCATTATCATTACCACTTTTTCTAAAGAACGAATGAATAGTCTTTCCTCTCTTCGTCGGTCTATTATTATCATGTGACATTATATCCTAACAAAAAAATATCATACACCAACAATCATATATATTCTTAAGAATCCCCAAAATTAAATGCTCAAACCTTAAAAATCTAACAATAACAATTCAAATTTAGAATTAAATAAGAAGAAAGAGATAAACCTACTAATATTGAAGAACCTACTGAATGATTTCGAAAAAGAAAAGTAGAGAGCAGATGTTTCAGTGTACTTTTCTCTTTTACTTTGTTTCGAAGCCTTCTTCTTTTTGGGGTTTACTGTCTGTTGCTGTGGTGATTTTTTTTACTATTTCGAATCTTTGGTTTGTTTAGGGTTCAATGATATGCTATTATGCTAATATTTTAATGACTGTTGTTGTTGCCCTAATTGAAGAACCACCGAACAAGAGCAGAGCAGCATGTGGGCCTTATTTTAATGATATGCTATTATATTCCTTTCCATTTTTTAAATCTTGCTGTAAATGTGTTTTTGTCTTATTTTATTCTTTTGTGTGGGCTGAGATAAAACAGAAGTATTGTGTGGTGTTAATGGGATAATATTGAATTATAGTATATTTGCTTATACACTAAAGCTTATACTGAAAACTTAGCCCCAAGCTACAGCCCATGGGAGCCTCTTGTTAGTTCCTCCATTGAGTGAGACGTGCATATTTTTTATGTGTTTTCTATGGTTTTGCTCCTTGAACTATTCACATATTGTTAATTTAGCCCTTTAATAATTTATTGGGTAAATTAAGGACTCGAACTTTGTAAAAATCGTCAATTGAGGGCCTACCGTCAGATTCTTAAGACTCCCATCCACTTTGCTATCAGTTTTTGCATGTGACCCATTTTGAAGAATAAATGCGTCATTTCACGATCCAACTCTTACTTCCCTTACATTAGTTAGGAGAGATCGTGCTTTACATTTCAAATTGAGAGGTTAGGGTTTTCTGCGATTCGAATTGGGTTGGGCAGAGTGAAGGGTGCTGGCAAATTTAGGGGGAATTGAGAGCGAATCTCTTCGACATTAAGGTTTGACTGATCGACGAAATGGGTTTTGTGCTAAGAGATGGTGGAGAGCATCCCATCTATTTTAAGTGTCCACTTTATCTCACTTTTCCCTTACTTTCTATGACTTTGTCTTACTTTCCCTCACTAGAGCTGGGTTTGACGAATATTGTACTATTAATACATGAAAAAGTTATTTTTAGTGGTCCCTAAACTGTAGATTTTGGTCTGACTTAGATTCCTATACTTGGTCTTTTGTGGCCCCCTATGCAATTTTTAATTGCAATTGTTTATGTTATGTTATGTTTTATATTGTATTGATAGAGATTGGTTGTGTTTGTACTTTAGTTAACTAGTATATGTGATAAATGTGGTAGATAGGAAGTAACTCTCATTATTTAATGATATGTAGTGGATCCTGACCTATAAAGCATGTGGTCGTCATTTACTTGATTGATACAACACAACAACCAGAGGGTTTAGGCAGTGAAGCATCTAAAAATGAGCATTTGCAAGCAAAACTACTAAGGAACAAGAAGATGAGAGAAATGCTAATTTGTTTGGGGATTTTGGGCATGTAGATGCTGATATGTTTAGGGATTTTAGAGACGTACATGTAGATCTGACTGGTAATAGCAATTTTGACAAGTTTATGGATGTTAATATAGTTGATGAGGGTACGAAGGGGATAATGGTGAGGAGTTTGATGTTGAAGTGCAGAACACTGCATATGTTTCTAGTGGTGATGAATTTGAAGATAAATTGGGGGATGATGAAGATGTGGCTGAGGAAGTCAGTGGTGATGATGTGGAAGATGAAGAGTTTAGAGAAATTGACTTCGAGCAAAGTGAAGAAGATGACAACAAGTTTGAGAGATTTGTTATAATTGAAGATCTTGATGAAGACCAGCATAAGGAACTAAGGGAAGAGCTAACTGATGAGTATGATACATATGATCTTAGAAATGTATATGGAGAAGACAATGATGAAGTTCCTGAAGTGAGAGGCAAGACTAGAAGGAGAGCTCCAAAATTCAAGCAATATAATAGGGATTATGACTTGAGAGAGCCCAAATTTACTTTGGGGTTTGAATTTTCAACCATGAAAGAGTGCAAAAAAGCTATGAGGTATTATGCAACTAGATGTGCTAGACTTTTGAGATTTTTGAAGAATGAACCTCATAGGTTAAGAGTTAAATGTGAAGGTGAAAGTGAAGATGACGCTTGTCCTTTGATGTTTTATGCTTCACATATTGGTGGAGGTCCTACTGTTAGGGTGAAGACATTGGTGCCTAATCACACTTGTGGCAGAGTGGAAACAAGTAGATTTGCAACCTCAAGTTGGCAAGCTGCAAGATTTGAAGAAGATCTTAGAACTAATCCTAATATGACAGACACAGATTTCATGACAATATTGGTGAGGAAGAATTACAATGTTGATGTGACTAAAGATCATGTGTATAAATGCAAGCAAATGTCGGCTGAAAAGATACAAGGAACGATTGAGGAACAATATGCAAAGCTTTGGGACTACAGTAAGGAGTTTAAAAGGCAAAATTTAGGTAGCACAATTCTAATTAAGACAAGATTGAGGGGTGATGATCTAATTTTTGAGAAGATGTTTGTCTGTTTTAATGCTTGTAGGAAGGGATTTCTAGAAGGGTGTAGGACTATAGTTTGATTTTATGGTTGTTTTATTAAAGGACCTCATCCAAGTCAACTTTTGAGTGCTACAGAAATTGATGCTCATAATGGCATGTTCCCAATAGCCTATGGGGTGGTGAAGATTGAGAACACAGAGACATGAGCTTAGTTTTTAGAGATCTTATGTAGTTTGTGAATGGAAATGGTTGGGTTTTCATCATAAACAAGCAAAAGGGGCTAGGAAAAGCAATAGAGAATTTAATGTCAGCTTCAAAGCACATGCATAATAATTTCAAATTAGCTTGTTACAAAAGTTTGGGGCTAAAACAAAAGTTATGGGCTGCAGCTAGTGTCACAACCATTCCGTGATGGGATGCAGAAATGGAAAGAATAAGGGAATTGTCTAGTGAAACATATAAATGGTTGGAAGAAAGGCCTGCAAGCTATTAGAGCAGGTCACAATTTAAAACTTGTTCAAAGTGTGATGTTCTGCTTAATAATTAATGTGAGTCTTTCAATGCGGCAATTTTGGAGGCAAGGGACAAACCTATATTGACAATGGTAGAGAGAATCATATGTTATTTGATGTTGAGAATGGCTAGGCAAAGAGAAGTGAAATTGACACAGAAGGTTGGACCAAGAATTTTTACCATAATGGAAAAAAAAATCTAGTTGACAGTGGGCAATGCATTGCTCAAAATGTCGGTAGGGGAAAGTTTCAAGTTACACTATGTATTTAGCACAGTTTGCAATGAATTTGAACAGACAAACATGCTTTTGCCGCAAATGGGATTTATGTGGACTACCTTGTATCCATGCTCTTGCTACCATTTCAAAGCAACAAAAGAGTCCAATGCAGTGAATTCTTCATACAAGAGAGAAGCATACGAGAGAGCTTATGAGAATTTTATTTCCCCAATGCCAAGTTAAGATTTTTGGATCAAAACTCATCATAGGCCAATCAAAGCTAGGAGGCCAAAGAAATGCAAAGTGAGAGATTCAGACGAGATCCCAAGAGGTGCAACTAGATTGAGGAGGAATGACATAATCATACACTGCAAAATATGTGGCCAACAAGGTCACAATGCTACTACTTGCCGAGCTGATGGGGAAGGTACTAGTAACAATGCACCAAGGAATGCATAATGGGTAAGACGTGGCAGAAGAAGGTCACCACATGTAAATAGCCAACCTGCAAGCTCTCAAGGTGAAACAAGCTAAGTTTCAAGCTCTCATGCTATAACTAGGCCACTGAGAAAGGCAAAGCTATAGGTAAATATTGTGATTTTAAAACAAACTATGTGAAATTACTACTACAATTTTCCCTTGTCCTAACAACCCTTTGTGGTCAGTAAAAACCCCATTACTGGCCACAATTCGTCACTAATGGCTTCTTGGCGAGTGCAGCGGCGAAAATAAGGGTCGTCAGTAAAAATCCTGTCAGTACTACTATTACTAACCAACTTTTGCAACTCTTTCATTTCTAAAAATTTGTCTCTGACACAAGTCATTAAGAGACTTTAGATTATTATTAGCAAAACAAATAGCCAGTATTAAGGCCTCGTTTGGGATTGCTTTTTTTGGCCAAAAACTTGCTTAACTTTAAAGTTAAGCAGTTTAAGGTGTTTGGTAAAAATAAAATATCCCAATTATTTTAAAAGCAGTGGCCTTTTGACAGCAGCTTTTAAAATGCTTTTCAAAGCTGCTTTCAAAAGAAGTAAATATGAACATTTAATGAATTTTTTTAATTCCCAAAATATCATCATTTATTTTTTTTAAATGACACCACCTCCACTTCCACATCCAACTCCACCACTTGCACCACCACATTTACTACCTCCACAACCACCGCCACTGCCACCACCACCACCACCTCCAACATCACCTCATCCACCACCACCGCCACCACCACAACCACCACCTCCACCTCCACCACTACCACCACCATCACCACCTCCTCCAAAACCTCCACATCCACATCCATCCCCACCACCACAACCACCAACTCCACTCCATCACTACCTCTACCACCACATGATTAGTGCATAACACTTTTAACATCATGCCTATTTTAGTCATTATTCACAGTTACAACAATTTTATATTAAAATTTACCAAATGGTTTTAACACTACTTTTGTACCAACAACACTTTAAAAATAGTGTTTACCAAACATGGAGCTGCTTTACTTTACAGCTAATTATTTTTAAAGCACAGCAGAAGCAACTTTTTTTTTAAGTGACAGCAATCCCAAACTAGGCATAAGTAAGCTTTCGTCAGTATTGTTATTTTAGGATTGAGTATTAATGGACACAGATTTGTCATGATTGTTTTTACCCAAAAAACAAAAAACAAAAATTGCCAGGATTATTTGTCAATTTCTTTGTGAGCTCATGCCCTATTAAAATATAATTCTTCCAAATGTCTTGTTTTGTAATATAATTTGGACATTTCATTGATACTAAAAATGTAACAAAAAGTATAAATACAATATTATAAATAGTCAAAGATTGAACCATACAATCACCATCCTTATAAAATATAAAGTACCAATGTGGCAATGTCAATTACAATAGCCAAATTATTACAAAGATCTTCCTAGGTACATCAGTAGAGTTCAATAACTTTAGTTGCCTTTACTACACAAAACTATATATGCAATAATAAATATTCAATAAGTATGCATACATCATTAGGGTCCAAAATACAGTCAATCACTATATAAAAAATGCAAAACACTAATTGCGTCTATTCAAGTCCATGAGTACCTTGATCTGATTCTAAAACTGCTCAAACTGGTCAAGGGAGAGGAACTCCTACTGTGTTTTTCTATGCTAGGGGTTCATAGGATGAGTCAATTATAACAACTACATCTATAAGGTATACATCTCCAACAAAGAAGGCAAAAACTCATCACATGCAGTCCTCGTGAACTTTTGCAAGTGTGGAAGGCTTTACCTTTTAATTGATGAATAACTTTTGATTTTGGTGGATGACTTTTGAGTTTGTGGATGGCTTCTTTGATGTAATAGAACATTTGGTTGGTTAGGATTAGACTTATTTTGGGAATTATTATGTATTGTATAATGCATGGGAAAGGTTATGGACCTATTTGGTTGGTTAGGATTAGACTTATTTGGGAATGATTATGTATTGTGTAATGCAGGGGAATGGTTATGCACACCTATTTGGTTAAAGCTCTTGTTTTGGTGTGCAAGTTTGTACAAATTTTATGCATGAATGATCTCAACTTTGTTACAACTCTTGTTTACCTTTGTGTTTGGATAAGGGAATTGTGAAACTTTGCACTCAATTCCTACAAATTTTTTGTCACACTAATTTCGGTATGCTTCACATTTGGCATAATTGTTCACGTATGGATATCAATGTGCAAACACAAACATACTTTAACTTCAACTACATTTCAATAAAAAGCTAAGTACATAACTAGTAGACACAAACAGACCTTACAGACTCAAAAGCCAATAACATAGTTGTTCACATACACAAACAGACCATACACATTCAAAAGCCAAGAACATAGTTCTTCACATACACTCACAGACCTTATACACTCAAAAGCCAAGCACATTGAACCATTTTCATTACAGTAATTCCAATTTGGGGTTTTTCCCCACCTTATTTTTTGGTTTCCAAAACCCATAAACAAACACACATAACATTACACTTAAACAGATTCCAACCCAGAACCGAAGCTTTTTCTTTCCAGCTCTCTGCAACTTCAGTTCCTCTTCCATGCTTCTCATGTTTCGCAAGAGCCCATGAATGATTTGCTTCGAATGTTCACACATTCATGTGCCCGCCCACTCCCACAAATCACACCCCCCACTTCTCTGCATCATTGTTCATATCAGAAAATAAACAACAAAAAGCAGCAAAAATTTCATCAAACTCACCCATTCTCTGGCACAAACATAAAACCTCCTTCCAGGGTTTGAATCGGTTCAAAATGTTCTTATTCGAGCCTCTTTTCGACATTTGCACAATTTCTTCATTTCCTTAGATTCACCGACTTTTCCAACTCATTTCCTTAGATTTCTGCACTAATTGATCTTTCTCTTTTATAAGAACAGGATGAGGGAAGCTAAGGAGGGAACTGACAAGCTCATGGTTGTTTTCTAAGTAGCTGGGGCTTTTGATATTCCACCTTACCTGAAATTAGGAGGGAAGAAAAGGAGGGAAGTAAGAGTTGGGTTGTGAAATGACGAATTTATCCTTCAAAATGGGTCATGTGCCTCTCACGTATAAAAACTGACGGCAAAGTTGAGGGGAGTCTTAGAATCTGGCGATAGGCCCTCAATTGGTAATTTTGAAAAGTTCGAATCTTTAATTTAATTTACCGGAAAAATTGTTAAAGGGCTAAATTGACAATATACGAATAATTCTGGGGACAAAACTGCAGAAAACCTTATTTTTATTGAAGAGATAATAACACACGGTTCTTTTAAGTCTCCTAAATTTAACCTTTATTGGAGGGACAGTCAGTAAATGTGGTTAAAAAAACGTCACTCTTTTTATCAAATCATATTCTTTAGGCCCAAATTATGGTATCATAGACAAAGAGCTTCTTCAATAAGAGGGTTATGGTGAGGAAGTGTATTGAGGGGTTTAATCTGGACGTCGGATGATAGATTTGCAAATGATCTTATGGTTGTTAAGAATTCTCTCATTATAACCTCTCGTTATGACCCCTGGTTACAGTCTTGCAGTGGGGACTTGCCCCAGTCCAACCCAAAGCCATGCAAATTAGGGAGAGTCAAACACATGCACAGCCCTCCCCTTCCCTTCCCCCCTGCAAATCCTCTCTTCCACAGAACACATGCCGCAACATTCTCTCCTATCTTTCTCCCTACCCTCCATTCACCCACAGGCCACAAACAAGAAGAAGAAGACACATTACATTGATCATACACATCTCCATCACCACCTAGCTACCTCCTTACCTTCTCTCACAGAAATCAACCATGGCGTTTCATTTCCATTCCCATTCCCATTTCCTTCTCTTCTTTTTTCTCACAGCAGGGCTAGCTCTACTCTTCCCCTCCACAGCAGAACCCCATCTCACCGAAAACTACTACGAAAAAACATGCCCCAAATTCAACGACATCGTCCAGCAAGTCGTGACCGACAAGCAAATTGCGACGCCGACAACCGCCGCCGCCGTCCTCCGCCTCTTCTTCCACGACTGCGTGCTGGAAGGCTGCGACGCCTCCCTCCTCATCGCCTCCAACTCCTTCAACAAGGCGGAGCGCGACCATGACACCAACCTCAACATCCCCGGCGACGGCTTCGACACCATTGCCCGCATCAAGACCTCCCTCGAGCTCCAGTGCCCCGGCGTCGTCTCCTGCGCAGACATCATCTCCGCCGCCGCCCGTAACCTCGTCAACATGGTTGGCGGGCCCCACTACCGGGTCAGCTTCGGCCGCAAGGACGGCCTCGTGTCCCGAGCAGACCGCGTCGACGGCCACTACGCCAAGACCAACATGACCATCTCCGAGATCATCAACCTCTTCGCCTCCAAGAACCTCTCCGTACAGGACATGGTCGTCCTCTCCGGGGCCCACACCATAGGTTTCTCCCACTGCAAGGAGTTCAGCAACCGGATCTTCAATTTCAGCAAGACCTCCGACATCGACCCGACCCTCAACGCCAATTTCGCGAAGGGGCTGAAGAACCTCTGCGCAAATTACACAAGTAACCCCGGCATGTCGGCCTTCAACGACGTCATGACCCCGGGCAAATTCGACAACATGTATTTCCGCAACTTGCAGAGAGGGCTGGGTTTGTTGAGCACGGACCAAGCTCTGATGGCGGACGAGAGGACGAAGCCGCTTGTGGATCTGTACGCGTCAAACGAGCAAAAGTTTTTTGAGGATTTTGCTCAGTCTATGATCAAGGTAAGCCTTATGAACGTGAAGACAGGGAAACACGGAGAGGTGCGACGCAGATGCGATTCCTTCAACAATCTCAAGACTTAAAACAAGAAATTTAGAAAAATATTTTGTCGACTTAATTCAGGTCCTCTGTTTGTCAACTTGCAACCGATGTAATTTTTCATTTTTCATTTTTTGATTTCTTTTGTTAAGTTTAGAAAGAAGAAACTGTTGTATCTTCAAGATACATAGCTGCAAATTTTGCAAGCAATTGTGCAGCTTATTAAAGGTATAAACTTACACATGCATAACCAATCACAAACATGGATCCTTGAGAATTTATAAAAGGAAACTGCTTCTAGCATGATGTCTGTTTAGTACAGCGAATTAGGCCCTTACATTCATGGAACAAAAGAAACTAGCCAAGAACAATTGGGTACTTGGGCAGGAGCAAATACATCCTCTGCCATGCTTTTCATTCCATAATCCAAAATAACTACCCGTGCAATGAGTTGACGAATAAACTATGCCAATTTACATGTGTGATTGATAACAATGCCGGCGTAAAAGAATAACAAGGGAATCAAGAAAAATTAAAGAATTTTACAATAACGATGAGTTGCTGTCGTCTTGCCATGCCAGAGTAATGAAGCCAAACATATCCACTTGCATCATTATTTAACACACTCTGGTCTACCAAAAGCTTAGCCTTGTACTTCGCTTCGATGGATGCTAAACAACCACAACCAAAAACTGGAAAGAGACTGTCTGGTTCCCTGCAGCATATAGAGGTTATCTTTAAAATAAATTCAAGATAAGGTCAATATGGAAGACGGCAATGTTAACAGTACAGGTTATGACTCTCACCCTGGTCAGCAAGGTTTTCTTTTGTCGACCTTTAAGTGAATGTTGAACCATTTTTTCCTCTTAGAACGATCTCTAAATGTAGATTTCTTATCTCTCACTTGACCTTCTTCGTTGACCTCCTTAGACTGACCCTTATTCCTACTCCTACTTGAACTCCGCTTCATTGGTGGAGCAATTGTATATGAGGCATGAATTTCATTCCTCTGCCTGAGAAGCTCATCAATCTGAGAATAACCCAACATGGAGGAGGAAAAAGAAGCAGAAACTGAGTGTACTTCAAAACTATCAATGTGTACAAATGCTGTAGTTCATGGAAAAAGTTTTAAAGAAGGTCACCTCTTGCATTTCTTGTGTATATCTAGAGGTCATCTCTGTAAATTGTGCCAGAACCTGTCAACAAGCCATGCAAAAACTAAGATAAAGGTATTTACAATTTATAAAGGTATATGCAGTGCTCATGTCATGTCCAGACCTCCCTGTACTCAGTTTCAAATTTCGACAACTCCACTCTTTTTGTTAGTATTTGAGCTTCCACGGCCCTCAAATTTTCCTTCTCTTCTGTAAAAGGTCCACAAGAAAGAGCTTCTATTGTGTAGCTTGCACTTTTGAAAAAATTGTCACCTAGAATAATTTGCCAATACAGAGGTGGTAGTGAGGTTTAACCAAGTACAGCAAAACTGAGAATCATAACATACCAAAGTCGACATACAAGTCAGTAAACAGAAGTTACAAACCATAAACAGCAAACACATGGGTGCCTGCTTTCAGTTCAGTCAATTCACATGGCTGAAACCCATCCAGCTTTTTGAAAAATGCAGCATCAGGATCCTTTGCAGCAGCCATCTATAGCCAAATGATTTCCAGAAACCATAGTAGAAACAATTAGAAAAACAAAGCTGAAACCATATCAACAATGATTAGAAAAATGAAATTCAAACAGCTCACCGAGTTCAATGTTTGATCCAACCGATATACAGGGAAACCGAGAAAATACATCCCAGCAGACGTAACCTTCCCTGTTTTTGCACTGTCCTCCTACACCAGAAGTATATATGAATGAGCAACTTAAACAAACACGACAAAACAGGCATATGCCCCGGCCATTAGGAATAGGAGACCTGTTTTTAACATATCTCGCGTTATTTGGGACATGAGAGGAACAATATATGTATAGGAAGCATCACCAAAGATCCCAATCATTATATTGCAGCTGATACAAAAAAGTAATTCTTACGCATATAGCGGCCCAAAGAAAAAACCACCAACTCTAACCCCATTTTTATTCTCCCTTCCACACCTCCAACTCCAACGTAAAATAAATTATGTAAGAAGATGGTATTAACATGCAACCTTGCTTAACTTCATGACTGTAACTGAAAGCAATACCATGCTCTTATAAGATAATAAATTGTCCCATCTTAATTTCTTCCTATCTGACAGGCAGCTCTATATCTTTCATTCACAGTCATAGGAAGGAGCACATTATGGTTCCTTGCTACATTAGTGATCCGCAACACAACAGAATTGAAGATAAAAAGTCTTGGTACCTGTAGGCAAAGGCTCAATCCACCAGTCTCTTCCTGATCAAAATACAATAACTGCAAAACAACAATTATAATTTATAAGAACAGAACATAAAGGAAATAGTTACTTAGAGGGTAGTTTCCAGGGAAACCGCATGCAAAGAGATCTAAGTTTTAACCTTGAACTTGCTTTTGTCCGACGACTGCACTTGGCACACAAATCCAGCCCTAGCATCCGCTTCCGTTATTGTAACAGCATAGAAGTGAGCACATTGCTTTTCAACCTGTTAAAATACGGAAAAATAAATGAATTGCACACTATAATTAACTGAATAACCAGGCAAAATACAATGGAAAACTTACCTTTTTTGTTATAGCCTGCCCCAATGGAAGTGGACGGATTGTGACTACGCCATTTAGCGCCTCCTCCAAGACAGTAGCTGATACGGTGGTCTTTATTGGCACCCCAAGTTTACTGATGTGTAAAACATTAATCCATATACCTCATCAGGAATTTTTTCACAAGTTCAGAAAAAAAAACAAAAAAGCAAAATATAAATAAACCAAACCTAAAAAGGGCGGCAAACATGGTATTTACAGCACCCAAACTCGAAAGATCTAGCTCCAAGTCTTGACTTTCTGATTCAACAGCCTAGGAAACCAACAAAGCAATCATGTTCAGCAACAAATACTACCTGAGGATAAAATGCATCTATGTAATCCTAATGAAATGCATGCTAACAGAGAGGGAAAAACTGCAATCTCAACAGTCCTAAAGTGTGGGATGAACATTAAACAAAGGTGACTGAATCTTCAATAGCTCACAATATTAAGCACCCCAAAAATATCTCACCTGAAAGCCAGCTGTGTCATACTGGCGCCGTTTATCTGGATCAGACAAGATATTATAAGAAAAGGTGACCTCCTTAAACATATCAGCTGCTTTAGGGTCATTTGCATTTTTGTCGGGATGGTACCTGAATGATACATTGTTAGCATTATCAATATTCTTTTCTCTTTTACTCTACAAGATTTGAACCCACTCAAGACACCCAACTACCACCTGGATTAAGGTCCAGCACATTTTCAAAATCCTCGACATTATACAAGAACATAGCAATAAGATTATCAAGGCAAACATATAAGAATGTGGAATTTTTATGCAGTACCTTATCCCTTTGGATAAAAAGATTAGTCAATTTAAAATCACATTTTGACCCAAAATACGCATTAAACTGAACGAACAAGGTATCTGAGAAATTTCTATTTTTCTACCGTTAAATTGAACACCAAAACATCTGAAATTCCATTGTCAGAACTATTTATCTAACATAGAGAAGGCAATATGACCCCCGCGAATTTGTCCCACATGCCTACAAACAGATTTCACTTAAGAAATCTGAGACTATCAAATTATTACCTTAAAGAATCTTTGCAAAGCTTAGAAGATAGTGATTAACACACCTATGCAAACATCAGAAAACCTTTAATTTTGACCTAAGCCTTCACCAGAATATCAGGAAACCTAAGATGCTCTCCGCAACCAATCATCACTACACCAAGAAACCTCCACTTCCAGCTAGTAATAATTCCAGAAAAACCTTAACGTTTATCATGTAATTTATGCCTTCGTCTTTGTGGTCATCTAAGTTACGTTTCAAGTCGAACTTGGAATTAGGCAAATTATCAGCATTTATTGCAACAATAAGGTATCCCCAAACAAAAAATTGATATTTAAAAAATCTACGCAGCCAATTTCACACACTGATATACTCAATTAGAACAGCTACAACTCAAATTTTAAACAATAAATAGAAATAGTTACAAACACACAGAAAACATAAGCTCAAACTCATAGAAAAAATAAAGCCCAACAGTGCCTCAGAACTCAGGGGCTGAGAAAAAAATGAATTCAAATGAAAATTAACATACTTGAGAGCCATTTTTCGGTAAGCGCTTTTGATTTCCTGGTCGGTGGAATTCCTAGTGACACCAAGGACCTCGTAAGGGTCTCGCCGGAGCTGCTTCGTAGCTTCATGCTTCTCCGATTTCGATCGGTTAGTCGGCATTTTCGAATTAACGGCCGATTTGTTCACAAAACCCTAGAAATGCCTACAGATACCTCTGGAAAACCGAAATTCACGATTCTGAAGTGGAATTTTCCCTCATTTTGGAGAAATTTATCGGGAAATCAGCTGTCACACAGCACTGAAACATGGGAAAACCCTAGAGAACCAGGAGGGAGAAAGACTCCATGCACATCCAAGCTGGGAGACAGACGGAGAGAGAGAGAGAGAGAGAAAGAGACAAGAGAGGACGAGAAATTGGAGGGGGAAATTAGGTGTCATGTTGTTATTATTGTTTTTATAATTAACTTGTGAGAAATTTGAAAACGAGTGGGTTGCTGATAATCTACGCCGGGTGCGCAATACGCATTGGGAAAGTTAATGCCCTTTCCTAGCCCGGTAGCGCCTCGCACGCCACTTGCACGTGCGGTGTAGCACATAAAATCGAAAGCCGTATGTGCACTGCGCATATGTGCGCATGTTAGCTGAAGCTCCTGGTTTTCGAAAATGGCTCGCAGGGGGCTGGGTTGGATGAGTTGGCCATATTCAATGCTAAAAAAGCTAAGTATTGAACTCGCAATCAGTGGGGTGGATTGAGTTAGAAACTGGACCTCAAAACTTTGATGGATTTTTTTATTTATTATTCATTTATTGTAATTAGCGTTGAGAGTTGTATTATTTATTTATTTGCTTTTATTTTATGGGAAAATGATTAATACTATGATTTATGGACCCTTAAAATAAAAGCATGAAATCATGGTCCAGCTTATTATGGTGTGACATGCCATCATATCATACGCTTGCTTCCTATCTGGAAAAAGAACAAAATTAATTACTTTTTGGGCAAACAAATTGAGAGTGTGTAAAACATTTTTCCTTTATATTTTTCGAATGAGCAATGTTAGGCATGCCCGCCTTCAATCTTATGTATCACATTTCTAATAGAGAGGTGGTATACAAGGTGGTATACAAATATGATATAATTGGCATTTTTTTTTCTTTTCAATATAGTATTTTCTTAATTAGAAATGCCAAATATTGATTGAAATCTACAATATTTATTATAAATAAATATGACAGGCTAGATGCATGTTGGCTGCAACCAAATTTTGAGTCAAATATTAAGAAAATATTATAGGATTGGTGTGACTGTGAGCTTTGTTGTTTATTTGATTAAATTGTTTCTAAAAACATAAAGACAAGAACATAAAAACAAAGTTTTAGGTGTCAATGTGACAAGGTCCAGATATATGATATTCTTCCCAAATTTGAGCTCCCACATGCTTTTCTCTGCAAATTTAAATTAACAGGGTAAAAATAATAATTTATTTCTAATCGCACCTCAATTCAATATTGTGTGTGGTGACACAGAATAAGGTTGAAGTAAATCTATATGTATGGCCACACCACAACATCAGCCAACTTGATGATATTGCGTATATACATATCCTTTGCCCTTGCTTTTGCAGCAACTTCTTGCTTCTTACTTCTTAGTCTTCCTATTTACTACTTGCACCCCATTTTATGATTTATTTTATTTATATAAAAAGCATAATCTTGATTATTTTAAATTAATATAATATAAGGAAAGAATGAATCGGGTAGGTTCGTTGTTCTGACTAATTGGCAAAATCCTACATATGTCCGCATTTTATGATTTCAATTTTATACTTCTTCTAAATGCATTAAATTAGCTATCTTTGTTTATTTCTATGCTGGTCTAATTAAATGGAATATCATATAACGAGTGGGTTTGGTTTAGCTACAATTCTCTATTAGGTTGAGAACTTGAGATAATTCGTCAAAAGAGTGCCATTGGACGACTATGCAACAAGGAAAAGAAGAAGATGGGTTGGGGAGAAAAAAAAGAAGAAAAACAGTGTTCTTAATTTCGACTGTCAAACTTTGCTTCTTTTCTTTTTATGAGTCTGCATTGAGCTTTGATATATGAATGAAGGTAGGTTTTCTTCTTTGTCAAGAGGGTGACCTGTTGCCTAATCAAGCACTAAATAATCAATTCTGTCACCCAAACAAAGGCAAACAACTCGTCTTTTAACATCAAAGAGACTTGAAGGAGTTCCCAAGTGTGTGTCATGTGACACATAAAGAGAGAGATGTAATGCAACACCTTTTTGGGCTGTTTGGTATACAGGCTTAGCTTGAATTGCTAATACCGGACTCACCAAAAACACCTTCTTAGAAGGAAAAATTATAGAATAGATTGTACCATGACGTCAGCTTGTAATACTCTCATTCAAAATTTTCCACATGTCCATCTTTTTTACAGTCGAATTGAAATTACAGTGTTACCCATTTAAAGCATTGAAAAATGAAAAAATGGTCAACCACCGCCCACCCGAACCCTGCATTGCCTCCCCTCCCACCACCCCCTCCCTCTTTTTCTCTTCCTCTTTGTTTGTCTTCTTCCCTCCATCTATCTCTCTCCCTAGAAAACAAAGAATATAAGTTGACAGTGGTTTCACCCATAAGTTGATTAGGGTTCAATTGGACATACGGTCCATTTCCCATAATTTTCCAATTTTTTTGTTCTTTTAATTTTGAGGAAGATGAAAACAGCCCATATGAAGAAATTGAAAGATTGAGATCTAGATAACAATGCTAATGTTAAGGAAGAAAAGGGTAAAATTTGAATGTGAGAGAGAGAGAGGGAGCAATAGAAACAGAGATGGAAGCGGTAGTGTTCTAGCAGTGGCGAAGGGAATTGCAATCTAGGTCGTGGTTCTAGGTCGGGGTGGGCGTGTTAGATATGTGCCCTAGAAGCCAATATAAAATTGAAAATTCTAAGAATATAATATTTGTTGGGGTCTTTTTTGTCCGAAGGCTCATCCGGGCTTGTTGATTCTTGGATCGCCATAAAGTGATGAATGAAGACTTCGTTGCCCCTTTGTCTGAGTTAGCAAGAACTAGGCTCAAAGTATCCCGAGGAAGAAGCAAGTCCCAGGGGAGTACTTTGTTCTTCTTCCAGCGGCTGTTTGTTTTGTATTGATGTTTCTGGCAGCTCGACGAAGAGTTGAAGATGACTTGCTGATGTTGATATGAGCTTGACATGAGAGCTTGGAGTGTGGGAGCTAAAGACCCATAAGTTTAGCAAATGAGAATGCATGTGCTTGGCTTGGTGTTGGATATGTTTGAGTTTGGTGTTGATAATTTGTTGTTTGTGGCTATGGCTATAGGGATTTAAGAGTTTCAAGAGAAGGAGGATGGAAGGAAAAGCTTGAGGTTTGAAGGCTATGGTGTTTAAAGCTTGGAATGAAGGAAAAGCTTGGAGCTAGGTGATGCTTTATGGGAGTTGATGGCTGCTGGGATGCTTGCAGTAGCCGAGTGAGGGAGTGTTGGCTGAAGAAAAATTAGAAGCTGTTGGAATGCTTGTAGTAGCTGAAAAAAGGTGAGTTTTCATGGTTGTTAAGAAGCTTGCAACAACCAAGATGGGTCCATTTTGGCTGAGAAATGCCTCCTAATTTATAGAAGGTGAGGGTTTTCCTTTATTTCCAATAAGTAAAGGGAAGCGCTAGAAACGGCTTGTTTCCAGCAGGTAATAGGGAGTGCTGGAAAAGGCTTGTTTCCAACAGGTAAAGTTAAGCATTTGGAAAATGACTATTTCCTATGGGTAAAAGGAAGTGCTTGAAAAATATGTCATTTGCTCACCCACATTAGAGAACTCTAAGTAATGAGCTTGGACTTTGGTGCTCCCAAGTAGCTAACCCAAAGTCTCCATTATCCAAGAGTTTCCGTGGGCCTTGTGGACCTCCGTAACCTTCCACACCACAATCTCTCGTGCAAGCTTCGTAAACCACATGACTTGGCTTCATGTGAGCTTGGTAGGTGATTGGCATAGGAAAAATGTATTATTGATTTGGCATGGCATGTACACTATTTATATATTTATTTAATAAATTAATTCCCAAAATACAATTTGAATTAACGCATGACCAACATTATATGTTATATTGGGTTTTGAATGTCTTTGGGCTTTCCGTGACTTTTTTGGGCCTCAACAATATTAAATAACTATAATTAATAGAGCATGAATGTTACTTTAGGAAACTAATATATGCAAACTACAAAGTAACAAGTCCATGGATAAGGATATAAATGGAAAGCAATCTAAAGAAGTTAGATTCATGAGACCTTTCCATTATATGTATATTGTATCCTAAAATGTTCCCGGTCATAGGATCACCAATTGGACAACAATGATCTGCAAAGACTGGTACACATTATGTCTGCTCAAGTGGGAGGATGACTAGTATCAAGTCATTTGTGTATAAAATACTGAGACAATTGTATAGGTGCTCAATAGAGATGGGGTTCACTGAATGCGATCAAACTAAGAATTCTTATGTGAAAGTTTTACTCACAAGCGTCAAACAAGTAATTCTAAGTTGTGATAATGCAAATTAATCCTTAGACCTGAGACACATAGAGGGACTAATGGGGTCATGCGACCCTATAGCAGCTGGGAAAAGTAGTGGTAAAACTCCGGTGCGACCCCATGGCGCGCTGGAGTGCAACCCTAAGGCGCACACCAAGTGCTCAACAAAATGCCCAGCAAAGAAGGAAGAAGCTTGTGCACATCACATGCCTTGCGCAATGCACACATGAGCTGTGTTTTTTTTTAACCGCATGGCCAAAATGACACAATTTTGGTCCAGGCGTTTGTGAAGCTAGCTTTTTAAAATAAAATAAAAATCGCCAACAACACTAGCTTATCTCCCCTCTCAATTCCAGCAGCTCATTCATTGCCAAAACCTAATGTTTATTTATTTATTTTCAAAATCCCCTCTTTTCTCAAAACCCTAACTAATCCCCAACCTTCATCACACCACCATCAACCAATACAAGGCGTTGCCATCGCTGACCACCTCTTGCTGCGCTGCCATCGCTTCTCATAAAGTCAAGTGAGCATGTTGGCTGTTACGAATCTCACGGCCTGGTGCTCCGGGCCGAGGGGATGTGCGTCAACACGTGACATCCTTTTTTTGGATGAAATCGGTTGTGTGCGGGCGTGCCAACACAGTCTACCGTGCGTCGAGATGATGATGAGGTTCGGGTAGAAGATGGTTTAAATGTTGCGCCTGTTTTGCGTTCGACTCCTAATCAAACGATTGTGGCCGAGAGAGGAACTGATCTCGGCCGTCAGGTTCACGGCCTGAGCTACAAGGCCGTTTAGTGGTGGTGTTGGTGGCGGGTTTTAGGCAGTGCTCCAGCGCGTTGCTCAGAGAGCGACGGTCGTATGATATATGGGGTGAGTGAGACGATAACAGAGATGATGCTTCATCGCCTTGAAAATCAAGGGTCATATGATATATTGATGAATGGATTTTCCTTACAATCTACCACTACTCCTAGGAAAGCAAATAAAGGTATTAAAAGTGCATTACAGGAAAATATAATTTGCTCCATGAGAGGCTTTTGGTTTGGTGTTTGAACCCTTTGAATGTAGTCATGAGCTTAGTATTTATAGGAGGAGTCCTAGAGTGACAATCGAGGCTGACAAGACCTGCGTGGTGGAGTCTGACCGGGGCAAGTGGGTAGTCAAATCGGCATTTGAGATCGTGAAGCATGGCGGTTTAGGATCGTGAAGCATGGTGGTGTGACTCCCATAAATCCCGGTAAATCTCGGCCACCGCCCCGATCGTGGGTTCTGCCCCCTTGGCCGTGGGAACGCATTTAATGCCCTGGTCTGGTAGTTGGTGTTCTGACCTTAAGTCGTAAGATTACTTGTGAGAATGTCTGCACCTAACCACCCCGATTTCCATCACCAAATCCTAACTTCAGTCACTTCCCTTGTGCATTAAATGCTTCTTGCGACTAGTGAGTTTGCTGCGAAGTCAGAGGCATTACTTCATTAAATAGGGCGTGGGACACTGAGGCCACGTGGCGATTTAACCACAGCCTCTTCGGCCGTTTCTTTTACGGCATTCGGCCTCGACCTTCAAAACTGCAGTCGCGAGGCCGAGAGGATTCTGCATTTGCAGCTTTTCTTTTGTTTTCAGGAAGGCGAAATGTCTAACGTAACGATAGGCACCAGGACCGAGAGGAAGTCCCTTCAATCAGCTTATGACCGTGATTTATTAGGCACAAACAGAGTAATAATTTTACATCTATTATTTTGAGCTTTGGATAATTTTAATGAAATTGATATATCTTTCATGAATTATAATTTATTGGTATGGTGATGTTGATTGATTTTCTTATTTGGATTAGAATTTATATTAATAGATTGATTTTCTTTATAAATTAGAATTTTTTGATATTTTGATATTGAATGATTTTTGTTACTTGGATAATTGTATTAGTGTTTATATTGATTGATATTATTATTTGTATTAGATTAGAGTAGTCTTTATAATTGACTGATTGTGTAGAAAAAAAAATATCATGGAACAATACTTTAAGAGAAGAGTGCCTATGGATAATGAGTCTAATCTGAGTAGTTCAAGTGCAAGAGCAAGACCTATTGAATTAGATGAAATATTGGCTAATCTTCATGTAGACTATGGACTAAGAACTTAAATGAAAAATTATAGTCCTAATTATTGAGATGAGATCCGAAGAGCATATATTCTTTCGACACTTTTACACTAAGACCCCATCAACTCACAATCATATGTCCACCACTGCCTACAAGAGTGTCCCTTAAATAGGCTAATTTGAAGGATCCCTCTCTCTCTCTCTCTCTCTCTCTCTCTATATATATATATAATTTGAAAAATAAAAAAACCTAGTCTTAGTCCCAGCATACATCAAATGCAGGATAAGTGTTATCCAACATAGACCAAGCCAAGCCAAGACAGTACAGTACCTAAGCATAGTCCATGTCAAAATAGTCTTGTGTAACAAACAAAGCCTCGCATCCTTAGCTAGACCGCAACCATTATCTATTTTGGGCTGGGCCTAAGCTCAATTTGAAAGCCCACAAGTGGAGAGCTCTACCAATTTTTTACTTAAGACTTGGCCCAATTAGAGGGTTGTTTAACTTGTCAAAACCCAACTCCATTATGATTTTTTTTTAATTTTAATACAAACGATAATTTAAATTACTCTAATTTATTATGAAGGAGAGTCGAACCTGAGTGCAAGGGAACGAATTCACTGCTTTGACTAACTTGTCTAATCCCTATCTACTGTCATGATGCATTTTAAAAATAAGAAAATAAAAAACACTAACTTCTAATATTGTATACCTAGTGATCATCTTGCTATCTTCAACTAATTTTATATTACAAAATTCGTGTGTCAATAGTAGCAACCGTTCTTTCGTAACCATCCATAAATGCCTATTAAATTTACAACTTATAAATGCTGAATATATAAAATTGTAATTTCCACTAGGGAAGATGAAGTAAAGAGAGAAAGAAAAGGCTAGTCACACACCTCACGTCACGTGGATATTTTTATATGCAATATTATGCATGAACGCGTGCTAGCTAGTTTCTAATTGTACGTAACTCAAATTTAATCCATTACTTAATATTTGTAAGGCAAATAAGTCAATTTATAGATAATTTTATGCTTTTAACTAATATTTTAAGTATCTTTGCAATTAAAAATCAATTAGGTGAGAGGATCTTATTGCACCGTTCGACTACCACTACCAGTTTTAACATTAACAATGCATGATTTTTGGATTTTATTATTAATTTATGAACATACGAAGCTGCCAGCTTCATCGTAATCTTCAATCCAACTCCATATATATATATAGAAAAGCCATCGAATCAAAGCCTTTTGTTTGTCACTAAAAAAAGCCACCACCCTGATTTGAGTGAGAAGAATAATTCAAACAAGTATTTTATTATTAATTACACGTTATTCAAACAAACAAACACCTCTGTTAACAACTGATACATATTTATTGTTAACTAATTAGTCGACTAAGCAGTATTCTTTATATATTTTAACATCCATGTTCTATGACCAAAATTTAAGATCCTGTTCTAGAATAATAATGATTCTGCTGGAAGAGGTCAAAACTGATATAAATCTACTTTAAAAAGAAGAAAGAAATTTACATTCGAAACATTATAAGTGGTGCGAAAACTGTTCATTAAACAATTATCAACAAAACATCAATAGGCTGTTAGTTGGATTGGCTGAGGCTTTTGAGGTCGTGAGTTCAAACCATGGTATCCGCGCGTGTGAGTTTCCCCCCCCTCCTAACTTTGGCCAAAAAAGAAGAAGAGATATTTAGTCATATATCCATTATTAACACTAAAACTATAAATAAACTCTACACCATTTAGTTTTTATAAACATACCCAAAATAAGCCCCAAAAATGACAGCTGGACCTATTAAATTTAATTTTGATTATTAAATTACTTTGATTCCCTATTGAGTGTTTTGGGCTTTTTTATGAGGTTTTGGGCTAAGTTTGTTTTAAAAAATCAATGGCAGTTTTGTAATTTGAAAGAAGTTAAAAGTTTTTTTGTTATGTTATAAATGAATTTTAGGTGTGTTTCTAAAGTCCTTTTCATATAGGGGTTTTTTTAATATATAATTTGGACTCCTATTATGGGTATAATAGTGAATCTCCCAAAAAAAAAAACTATTATCAACAAATTAAACTACTTGTAGAACATGCTATTTGAATCATGTGACTTGTATTAGAGAAATGAGGTTAATGAATATGATAACCTTACTCAACCCCTATGCAACATAATATTCAATTTATCTTCATTTTGGAACTTGTAATTGTTCAATTACGGAAATAAGGGAAATCGAGCTCTTGATCTAGCCTAATCATAACTCATTTCCCACCCACCCTCACTGATTTCCAAAAGCTTTTGGCTGAGCTTTAGAATCTTGTAATTATCATTCAAAGGAGCATGTCATATGTACAGAGATAATAAGAAAAACCCCAAAATCTATATTGCAATAATGCGCAATCCTCAGTTAGCATACAATACAAACAATAATTGTCAGCAAACGACATCAAATCCCTGGCTTTGCAGCCAAATAGTGCTCCTCACATTTAAAGGTATTTGATCTAGCATTTCTGTTGGACTATCTGCCTGATCTGCTACTATATATAACAAAGCATATAAATCTGTTTCTGCCTATAACACAACATAATGTGATTCAGTTTCTTCTTGTCTTTTCTTTTTTCTCTTTTTGATTTTGGAATATGGAAAAAATTTTCTTAAACTACTGGAGAAGAATTCGCAGTACTGTTTACTGGATCCAGTTAAACTTCACTTCTAGAGGATCTTCGTATCTTTGATGGCAAGCCTAGGCCTAACTGAAGATTCAAAGGTTTACAGCTTTGAGTTGAAGCAGATAAGGGGGAAGGCTTAAAGACGACAGGCCTGCTTTCTCCCGATCTGTCTGTTTGTGTTAAAGTGAACTTGTTATTAGATGCATCTTGTTCATCTGTTTGGGAAGAGAACTGAGGTGGCAGAGCATACCAATTGGATACCTGGGACCCACTTGATCCATTTTGATCAAACGGGTTGAAACTGATCTGGGCTTCTTCATGTAGTGTAAACTGATCAGGGTTTACAACATATGAGGAAGGGTCATAAAACCATGAAGATGGTGAAGAGCCATGGTGAAAAGCAAGGCCATTGCCAAGGTTGGTTTGGAAAGGCTGGAGGTAATAGTTGATGCTGGCCTTCCTGGCTTGAAGCTGAAGCCTCTTCTTCTTCATCCTCTCCTTCTTGTGCGCATTCTGATGACCTCCCAATGCCTGTGAGTTTGCAAATTCCTTGAAGCAATATTGGCACTCAAACTTCTTGTCATCTGCTTCACTGGTTGAGCTTTTATCATTGCTGGCAGGTTTGTTCATATGAACCTCCCTTCCATACGAAATGGAGTTCGATGAATTTACACTCTCATCTCCTTCTGCAGAGCCTTTGATGGAGCTGTCCTCATTCTTGCTTGGGCTCAGCTCAAACCCAAAAAGCCTGAGCTTCTTCTCAACGCAAGATCCAGCAGAATGGGCATGGTTTTGGTCAAGATCCTGATCATGACCCTTTTCCATATCTCTAAGTTTTTGTAATGTGGGAAAGAGTAAAAGGGAATTGAAAGATTGGTCTGGTTTGCACACAAATTAGTTGTTTGGCTTCTCTTCCTTTTATAGTAAACTCTATGGCTTCCAACGATGCATTGCATCTCAATTTGTATTGGGATTTTTATATTGGTGAATGGCATAAGCATACCAAGCGCCAATAAAAAAGACTGAAAAGAAAAGTCAGATCAACAGAGAAGCCGTCTCATGCAATATTATTGGGAGTTTTTTTAAAATTTAAAAAAACATTTAAAAAAAAAACCTTTTCATATTAAGTTAGATGTGGTAGATTAGATACACAGTTGAAAGAAAACTTGAGCATCATCATAAAGGATTCAGACTGTACGTTTCCATTGTCAAGGAACAAATCCATTAATCTAAGGTTAAATTAATTGTATATACTTAAGCACTTTGTTTAGAATAATATAGGGATAAACAAGCAATTATAATGCCACTTGAGCCATTTAAAAAACATTATATATTCCATGCTTGGTTAAAGAGATGATGAAAAACTAAAGTAAAGTTACCGCTGCGTACATAAATTAACTGCAAATAAACAAAAGTCAAAGAAAGATGGGAATTTTTTAAAGGGGGAGAAGGAAACAAGGGATGAACTTTGCAAACACCAACAAATCTTTCACTGCATATCTTTAGATTATGTTACAATGAAACTGTGTGACTCAGTGGATTCATGTGTTGTCATCTACCAAGAAAGCCTTATAATATATCAAATAATTAAGTATACAATTTACAGGTGTTGGTGCCGAGTCCCATCCACCACTACAGAAAATCAATAATGTTTTAATATTAAATTCTGAGATGACATGCGTAGGTTTGTGATTAATCAGCACTTGAACTAATGAAGCTTCTTGGTAATACTGATTAGGATGATTATCCTAAACCCCCACAATTAAACACAATTTAAATATGTGTTTAGCTTGACCATATGCTTCTTGTGAGAAGAATAAATATAAATGCAGTTATAGTAAGGCAGAGTAGTTGCTAAACAAAGGAATATGAGAAGTGGGCAATGATGTAAGCATATATACTAATAAGGGTCTTCAATGAGATCTGGGCATATCTTCTGAGAGCAGGGCAAAGCCTCATATTTTAATATAACCAAAAGCATATGTTTTCAGGTGAATCAAGTCATCATCTAATATTATTGTATGAACAAGAGAAAAGCACCCAAATTTGTCAATTTGGGATGGACAGTTGTTCTGGTTGGACCCCACATTTTGTAGCTTTGGGTTACACATTGTAGAAACTATTAGATTGTGTTGTTATTCCATTGTCTTTACTTGGATTTTGTATGTGGTGGTGGACTTCTTCCACCAATAAATCTCTCTTATGCCCATCAAATTCCCACTCTCTCTCTCTCTCTCTCTCTCTCCAATTGCTTTTTCCTGCTTTTAGGAGAAGAATTCCAACTAGGCATGCTGTCATCAACCATTTTCAATATCTTAACATGTGGAATAAAATGAGCCCATGAGGGAGGGAAGAAGATATAATTGGATTTGATTATATATATATGGTGGGTTGGTTTGATTGATTGATTTTATCTAATTCCATTTCATTTATCCCCTATAAGGGTTAACTTGACATAGGATCATAAAATGGTGGCCCCTACCACAAGCAACCCCCTCAAAAGAAAACCCTATTTGCAATCCACTCCATCTTTGCTTCCCTTCTGGACTAATCTCCAAACTAATCTCAATATTTTATCAATCCACAAGGGAAAGCCAAATTTGACTGAGGCAGCAAACCATCATTACCACTAGCTTAATTTAAGATTATAACTACAAAAGTTAAATGAGAGAAGGACATTCATATGTACTATCTTAATCTTTGTATAATGATATATAGCAAAGTACAGATGCATGCATTATGCATATGGTAGTTTCTGTTCCCTTTATGCATATAGCTGAGATGGTTGGTTTTCTTTTTTAATTTGTATCCAAGGCCTTTGGAAATTAATTACTAGAAAATAATCTGCGTGGCTACCTGCTCTACGAACTTAACCAATTAACATACAAGATTAAAGAGATAATAGTGGTTAGAAAGTTTGTCACCCCATAATTAAGTGAAAAGAGTGGGATGTAATTAACAATGTTTAGTCCAATTTGATGCCGGCTTAGTAATTTCTAGGAAAGAGGCACTGTGGGAAATTGAACTTATCTGCATATATTTAGTGGAGCCCCAACAATAAAACACATGCCTTAATAATTTTCAACTATATTCATTGCATAATCCTAGTAAAGTTGTGTTGGATTTTACTTGGAAGCTGTAAAGTCAGAAATGATAATTACATAAGAAACTTCGCAACAAGCTGTGGATGGTTTTGGTCGAAAGATGTATTTTCTTTTGGTACAATATATGTAATTTTAAATCTGCTTCAAGAGTAGTACAAGGTTGACTTCTTTAACATATATATTCGTCTGCAGGCTTGCAAATAATACACTAATTAAGGTGTAAACCCACGTCTTAAACTTAATTGAGACAAAATTTTCAGGGGTAAAATGATGTTAGTCCTTAAACTTAATTGAGACTTAAATAAGTTTAGGACTGGTAAGCCTGATTTTGATCTCAGCGTCAGGCCTTATTTTGGTATTTGAATATCTAAGAGCATCTCAAGCAAGCAACACTAGTAGGGGTAGGGGTAGGCATGGGTAATGGGGTACCATTCTGTTGGCCTATCAACTGCTGTATATCTATCAATGAGCTTATTAAAGCAACTCCACCCATTTGCCCTTAGCCATGGCAACGGGGGGAGCTAGGGCTGCCACTATTCACGTGAATAGTGGTTGCCCTTGCAAAATCCGAATTTTGTGTTTCCACCCGTTGCCCTTGCTAAGGGCAGTTACTATTCATTTTTTTGTTTTATTCACAACTTTTTTACCTCAATAATTAATTTGGATAATATTTTCGGATAAGATTTTCGGGTTCCTACGTGTCAATACTATTCATATCTCATAATCGGATAAAATTTTCAATTTCAAATTTCAGATAAATTATAAAAAAAAAGGCTGGTATTTATAGAAAAAAATTCATTAATTTTTGGGTATTTTTTAAAAAAATTTCCGAATTTTTTCCAGTATTTTATTGCAAAAAAATTGGCTGCCGTTGGATTGGAGGAAAAAATCAGATCGGAGAGCCCAGACGACGCCACGTGGCAACAGAAAAAAAAATCAAATCAGCGAGGTACTGTAGCAGAGGTACTGTAGCGTTACTGTAGCAAATACTGTAGCGCTACAGTAACCCCCCTCGTTTTGGACCTCAGGCAGAAGTTGCCTTCGGGCCAGCCTGGGTTTGGTGGGTCCCACATCTCCCCCGGGCCTAGGCTGTCCGCTGGAACACCTTTTTTTTTCCCCCCCCCCAGCCTCGGGCTGGGCTTTACCGCTGGAAAGGCTCTTAGAGCAACTCCACCCATTTGCCCTTAGCCATGGCAAGGGGGGGAGCTAGGGCAGCCACTATTCACGTGAATAGTGGTTGCCCTTGCAAAATCCGAATTTTGTGTTTCCACCCGTTGCCCTTGCTAAGGGCAGTTACTATTCATTTTTTTGTTTTATTCACAACTTTTTTTACCTCAATAATTAATTTGGATAATATTTTCGGATAAGATTTTCGGGTTCCTACGTGTCAATACTATTCATATCTCATAATCGGATAAAATTTTCAATTTCAAATTTCAGATAAATTATAAAAAAAAAGGCTGGTATTTATAGAAAAAAATTCATTAATTTTTGGGTATTTTTTAAAAAATTTTCCGAATTTTTTTCAGTATTTTATTGCAAAAAAATTGGCTGCCGTTGGATTGGAGGAAAAAATCATATCGGAGAGCCCAGACGACGCCACGTGGCAACAGGAAAAAAAAATCAAATCAGCGAGGTACTGTAGCGATACTGTAGCGGGGGGTACTGTAGCAGATACTGTAGCGCTACAGTAACCCCCCTCGTTTTGGACCTCGGGTAAGACTTGCCTTCGGGCCAGCCCGAGGAGGTGGGTCCCACACCCCCCCGGGCCTGGGCTGCTCCGCTGGAAAGCCATTTTTTTTTTTCCCCCTAGCCTCGGGCTGGGCTGCATGGGTGGAAAGGCTCTTATATACTTGCGTGGCTTGCTGGGGATTCTTGTTGCTTTACAAGGCAGGCAGGCAGTGTGTGTACTATCATATGTAGGATGTAATGAAGTCTCTGAAAAATAATCCTGAAAAGTTAAAAAAGCAGACATGCAATTTTTTATACTCGACTTGGCCTGTATAAATTTTATATGGAGTCTTTATGTATAATAAGTAGAGGCTGCATATCGCATGAAATTCATTGACCACAAAAAGCCATACCGTAAGAAAATGCGTACGTGATTGTTTCACAGTAGCGAAATTTAGAAGTCGCGTTTTACTCGTATGTACTTCAAATTGAATATTTAATAATTTTTTAAGCACTTATAAGTAAAATTGTGCCCACTCCTAATTGGTCGATGAGATTTTAAGATTCCCCCTTCTTTTTTTCTTTTTTTTTAATAATCTTACAAAGTTAGTCCGTGGACTTTCGGTTTGCAAATTGCAAAAGCCTATTAAAGAAAATGCACACTGTCATTACTTACTAACAAGAATTCTATAATGAGGGCCTATCTAAGACCCTTAGATGAGGTTTTATCTCTTAACAGCTGGATCAAATTAGTTAATTTGTTCCAACGGTTAAGATATAAGGCATCATCTAAGGGCCTTATATGCCTTTTTCTTCTTCTTCAATTTACACTTCAATCAAATCCACGATTAGATTATAGCTTCGTCCTCTTGTTGAGAGGAGTATTTTTGCTCACCAATTTAACTCAAGGTGTACCCTCACCACCATTTTAAAAACTTGACACATGTCCATGTGTAAACCATAGTTAATAACATACTTTTAAATCTTTTAAAAAAAAGTATTTAAAACCATCAAATAAAACAAAATAACATTTATAATATATATAAAATAAAATAAAAAATAAAAAAAAACTCTCTCATTCTCTCTCCTCCTTCCCGACCCAACCCACCCCAGACAGCCTATGCCCCCTCATCAACCTTAGCCACCATTTCTCTGTGTTTTCACTGTCGTTGTGGCTATTCTACAACAAGTCATATGTGATCTCTTCATGCCCAAAACAACCCTAACTCTAGCACCTCAGTCGGACGTGTGGTGACTTCATGTTCGTCTCTGTTTGTTTCAACCACTCCAGTTTCCTCTCTATCTCTGCCTATCTTCTTTCTTATAAAGAAGACAATAATGACAAGAATACAACACGTAGAAACAATTATAGCCGAGACATATAAAAGAAGGAATGTGTTGAGTACACACTAAAATCCAATCACAAGACAAAGAAGGAGAAGGTAAACAAATTGTCTCACTTGATACATGCTCACGAGAAATTTAATGACAAACATACATGTTATAAGCATACTGATATAATTAGCTCTCACATGTAAATCGCTCTCATATAGTTGCAGATTTTTCATTTCTCATTAAAGCACTCAAAGTAATAAGCCAGAGGATTTACCTCCCATGCAAAAGTGGCCACAAATGTGGTCATGGCTTGACTAAGCCAAGTACGAAATGGCCACAAATGTGGTCATGGCTTGACTAAGCCAAGTACGAAATGAAGGTTGAGCGATGGTGATGGAGATGAGAGAACAAAAATAAAAAGAGGTTGATTAAATTTTGTACACATAGAGAATATATATATATATCACTTGACCTAGTGTGTAGTTAAAGTCGAACAATCGAGGTTACGGAGACGGGAAAGTTGCGGGAGAAGTTGTTGTAGGATAGGAAGATGAGTTGGAGAGTAGTGAGGTTGAAGAGGTCTCATAAATGGGGAGTGATAGGTGGTTTCGCTATAGATTGAGAACTTAGAGATGAGCTAGCGAGGTTATGACCTCAAATGACCCCGTGTGGAGAGAGTGAGGGGGAGAAGTGAAGGGTCACTCAGAGGTGAGTGAATGAAGCATTGAGCTTGCAAAACTTCTAAATGAGGTATGGGTGTGGGCATTAATCAAATTAAATGCTTCATGAATGTCAAAGGTCATTTACTGGCCCTGATCATGGTCAAGCTTCTTTTTTTTCCTAATTCTTTTTTTTATCTTTTGTTACAAATATATTTTTGGATTTTAGCTAATAAGTGCTAATTTTATTTTAATATTTCAGGAAAACTAGTAAGATAATTACTTTCCTCCACATAAGTTCTAATAACCGTAAGAACCAAAATGCTTGATATGTCTATTGAGTCATAAAATTTTCATAAGGATTTACAATTACTTTTCTCCGCACAAGTTCTAATAACCATAAGAACCAAAAAACTTATATGTCTATTGAGTCATAAAGGTTTGGTACATATATTCTTGAAGATGTAATAGTATAATACTAGCAACAACAAAAAAAGATAACAACCCCACAAAAAAAATGATAACAACCCCAATGAGGTTGAAGACAATGGACATGGTATACTCCTCTCTTTCCCGATTGTTGAGGGCAGGACCAATGCTTGACAGACAACTGTTTTGGGTGAAGTATGATTCTGGGAAATCTAACAAAGAATTGGGTACTTTGTCGCTCAATAGGTCAGACGAGACATTGAACACCTTTAGATTGGGAAGCCTCGGGAAGGAAATGGAACCAGAGAAACGGTTAACATCGAGCTGAAGAGTGAGTAGATTGGTCAAATGATTGAGCCTCCACAGAATCTTGCCCGAGAACTTATCGTAGGACAGATCGAGTCGATGAGGATTGAAAAGTTTTGTTGAGGTGAAGGGAAAGTCGCCGAATAACTAGTTGTGAGAGAGGAAAATGATTTGGAGTCTTGTGAGGTTAAAAAAGTTGAGAATTAGCCTTAAGAAGTGGTTTCACTTAAGATTAAAACCCAAAGGTTATCTAGCAACGTTAGAGGCTCAAAAGAGTCGTGTAGACTGAGATCTTCCCAATTGAGGCTCCAGACCCGGTGGTTTTGCTTTTACAAAACTCCGAACTAGCTGAAAAGTTGGTGCTCCTATAACAATTGGTGAGCCTCTTGGATGTGTCTGTCCTTAAGTTGAATACAAGTAAAGGCTCCAAATCTGGGTTTGATGAGGAGGAGAGGCATGAACAAGAGTTAATAGCAATAATAGAGTGGGTATTGCCATTGTTGAGGGAGAGAAGTCGAGTGTTACCATTGTTGAGGGAGAAAAGTCGAGGGTTTTAAGGTTTATGTAATTGAGATAGCAGTGAGGTTTGAGAGGTGGTTCCACTAGAGGCTGAGAACTTGGAGATGAGCCAGCGAGGTTATGACATCGAACAACCCGTGTGGGGAGAGTGAGGGAGAGAAGTGATTGAGATAGATTGATCGATACGTGTCGTGTGTTCTTTTTCTTTCTCATTTTGGGCGCCGCGTTTGAAATAAATAGGGGAGACATATGATTTTAACACTAATGCTAATCAAACTTAATGTTCAGGTGAAATTTTTTTATTAATACCTACGATCCATAATATAAGAAAAACGGAACATTGAAGATACATTGAAGTTCCTGCAGAATCAAGAGGTTTGTAAACATAAATCTAATTAGAGAACCTGTTTACCTCAAGCCAGAGAATGAGAGGGTTGTTCAAATGGTTGACCGTCGAGGGAATCTCGCCGGATAAGTTGTTTTAGAACATATTAAGAAGATAAGGTTGAAAATCAAGGTTATAGAGAAGGAAAAGTTGTCATGTAAGTTGTTGTAAGAGAGGAATAGAAGTTGGAGAGTAGAGTTAGAGAGGTAGGGAATGAGGCCTGAGAGGTAGTTCAGCTTGACACTAAGAACTCATAACTGAGCCGGCGAGGTTACAAGCTCAAATAAGCCATTTTGTGAGAGCAAGGGAGAGAAGTGATGGGACACTCAGTGGGGAGTAAGTGAGGCATTGGACTTGTAAAAGTTATAAATGATGTATTAGTGTAATTAAATGCTTCATGAATAGTCATGGACCAGACACATCCAGTGGGCAGGGCCTACAGGCCCGATCGAGCCTTTTTTATTTTATATTTTATATCTTTTTGTTACAATGTTTATATCTAGGGGAAAAGTTTATTATATCTAGGATCCATAATATAAGCAAAATAGAACATTAAAGACACATTGAAGTTCCTGCATATTCGAGAGGTTCATAATGAAAATCCAAGCAGAGAACTGGTTTACCTCAAGCCGAAGGGTGAGAAGATTGTTCAAATAAGTTGTTGTAGGATAGTATCTTCAAGTGTAGCTTGAACTGCAACATTTCCTTCACGTTAAACCTCAACAACCAATCCATTTTCCTCTATATCTCTGTTAATCTTCTTCCTTATCTAGAAGGCAATAATGACAGGAATACAACACATACCCACAATTATAGCTGAGACATTTAAGGAAATGAATGTGTTGAGTACACACCAAAACCCAATCACAAGACAAAAAAGGAGAAGGTAAATAAATTGTCTCACTTGATACATGCTCACGAGAAATTTGATGACAAGCAGACATGTTATAAGCCTTACTGATATAGCTCTCACATGTAAATCGCTATCATATAGTTGCAGGGCTTGCGTTTCTCTTTAAAGCACTCACAGTAATCAACCGAATGATTTACCTCTAATGCAAAAGTGGCCACAAATGTGGTCATGGCTTGACTGAGCCAAGTACGAAATGAAGGTTGAGCGATGGTGTTGGAGATGAGAGAAAAAAAAAAGATGTTGATTGATTGAATTTTGTACACAGAGAGGGCAGAGAACAAAACCAAATAAACATATTTATCACTTGACCTAGTGTGTGGTTACAATATTTATATCTAGGGGAAAAGTTTATTATATCTAGGATCCATAATAGAAGCAAAACAAAACTTTGAATATAGATTGAAGTTCATGCAGATTCAGGATGTTTAGAACATAAATCCAACCAGAGAACCGGTTTACCTTAAGCGGTAGGGTGAGAAGATGGGTCAAATGGTTGAATTTGGAACTCCCGTTTTAGCCGTACGCTTTTCAAACTGAATATTTGATAACTTTTTATGCACTTATAAGAGTATCTCCAACTGATATGTCAAATTGTCACATGGACATAAAATGGCAAAAATTAAAGGTTAAAGTTGTTCAAACCGAGTAGTCAAATCATACATGAATTTGAAGGCTGGAAGAGATATGTCAAAAATAACATATCAAAAAGCTTAATGTCAAATATGTTTTTAATATTTTTTTAGTCATGGACCCCACTAGTATTTACTCTCTTTTAAAACTTTATGCATTATATGGGCCCCCATTTGCTTTTTAAAATATAATAAAATAATATGGCATTTGGCATTTCGGGTGGAGTTAAATTTTTTCTAAAGTGTCAAATTGCCACATAAGCCATCAAATTCAAATTTAACATTTGACATCTCCTTTGGAGATGCTCTAAGGGCCAGTTTGGCATTGTTGTGCTGTGAAAATAATCGCTATCAGATTTGCTGTGAAATAAATCAGTTGTGAGAGAAAGCAGTTTGGTGTTTGGTAAAATTTTTGTTAAAAGTGTTGTTGGTATTGATGTTACACATAATCAGAAAATGATTGCCGCATAATCTCGTTTGGGAGTGCTTCTTTCTGAAGCGCTTATGCCAGTAACGCTTATATTAGTAGCGCTTATGACATAAGTGCTTCTACAAAGAAGCAGTTGTCGTTTGGATGTCACATTTAAAAGTACTTTTATACTACATAAAAGTGCTTTTGATATTTTGTTGAGTATTTGGTTGACACAGTAAAAGCGCTTTATAGCAATGGCAACCCTTCCCAGTATAATCTCTCACAAAGCCATATATGTTTTCCATTAATGCATCTGTCTTTTTCCTTTTCATTCAATTTCAATCAAAATATATGGAAAGTATATATGTGCTGAAATTTGAAAGTAGTGAGCGACAGAGGCAACAAACAGACAAACAAGCCATAAATTTAAGCAAAAGGGAAAACACCATGACAGTGTGAAAAGCTCTGTCTTTTGTCTCTCTATCTGTATGAAAAGCTCAAGTGAGTTCTATCTTTCTGGGTTGCTTGCTCCTTTCTCTTTCTTTCCTTCTTTTCTGTCTTGGGTTGTTGTGTTTTTAGTATATTTCAAGGCTGAAGAAGCTAAACTGAAGCTGTTTATTGATGGGAAGATAATAGATGCAGGCATATATGATCACAACGTTTTTCAAGGCTTTGTGTTTATATAGGGAGTTTTCTTTTGGGATTTTTCCAAAGTTCTGGCTTAGTCTGGAAGTTTGGGAACTGGTAAGGGTGGAAAAAGGTCTGAGAAGAAGAAGAAGAAGGGTGTTGCTAAAGGGTGTTAACAGTGTGTGTGAGAGAGATGGAATAGAAGCTGTGTTTTTGTCCGATAAGTTTTGGCATCTATTGGGCTTTTCGCGGGTAGCGTTTTAATTTTAATAGGAGAGAAAAGATAGAGAGAAAAAAAAAAAAAAAAAAAAAATTAAAAATGGGTATTTTTGGCATTTTAAAAGTTTCATTAAAGGGAGCCAAGTGCTTCCCGTGTTTTTGTCCTGCAGCGCTTTTAAGAAGAAGCACCTCTCAAGTGCTTCTTCCAAAACCACTCCAAGTGCTTTTGGATCTCACCCAAAGCGCTTTTGCAATTTTTGCCAAACACTATTTTTAAAAGATAGAAGCGCTTTCACCCATTTAGAAGCACTTTTCGCTACTCCAAAAGCACTCCCAAACGAGCCCTAAATCTAGCGCCTCTTCGAAACTAATTCCTGCATAATCAGAAAATGAAAGCACCTCATTAGTTGCTTTCTCTTATGGCTTTCTCTCACAACAATTTTTAATAATAAGTGATTTTTTCACAGTTTACCAAACGGGTTGGGTTTCTCAAAATTTTAAAAAAATCACTTATCACCCCAAATAAGCAATGCCAAACGGGCACTAAGTGAAGTGCAAGAGGCTAAAGAGAGAGTGTATGCCTTTTTAAAACAACTAAGCATCTCCAAGGAAGAAGTTAACTCCAACATGGCGCTTTTAACATGTAGAAAAAATAGCTAAGACTCATTCTGACCAAAATGTTAAATCCTACATGGAATAGCATTTCTCTTTCATGCTGGTACTTTTGCCTATTTGACTTTGTGATGTTATTTCATTATTTATTTTCAATTAATGTGCCTAGAAAGTAATAAACCAATAAACATATTATGTAATAACAAATAAAATAATATTTTAATTTGACATGCCAAATGGAATTTAAAACTCTATTATTTGTCAAATTACCACATAAGTCATCTAATTCAAATTTAATGTGCATATCGGGTGGAATGCTAAGAATCAACATCTAATGTTTATGGAAAGAGAGCTAAAAACCTTGTCAAATTGTTGAGATTTCAATAATTAATGCTTTCAAGTCTCTTGAAAACATCATTCTTCCCAAAGAAGCTTCATGGTGGATGAGGCGACCGTGCCCAGAAATAGGACACATTATTTTGTGAGTGTAGGTGTAACAACTACTTCGCTTACTTTCTCGGCAGAAAGAAAGTCTATTTAATTTAATAATGTGACTTTGGAGGAAACTAGAATTTGAAAGCCTTTTCTTTTATCTTCCTTTTCTCATATCGTATCTCACCTTCAGCACTCAGCCGAAGAGGCAGGGTGGACATTAAGGATTAAAAAGCTACAGTAAGACCATTTTGCTTTTACAAAATTTTAAGCATAAAATGTTCTTCGTGCTCATATATGAAAGGCAATTAACATTTTCCAGTTCAAAAGGGGGAAAAGAAAAAGAAAAGAATAGGGTATGCTACATCTCAAAATTTCTGGTGCCATCAATTACCGTAAAACCAACAACGTTCACATCTTAGATTTAAAATGTGACAACTGGTTGAAGGGCCGCTTTATAACCCTAATTGAGAGCAAGTACATTGGAATCAGAATCATTTCATGAGAGAAAAGTAACTGAGCTTTCAATATGAGCTTTCAATCATAGAAAAGTAACTGATATATCTTGACTTTCAACGTATCGCTGGTGGCCGCTTGGAACGGGGCAAGAGAGCAAGAAGAATCTTCTTCCTTGGTCCCTGCAACAAAATCAATCTCCATAAGGGCAAAATATGACAACTTATAGCACATTCACCACCAGTAACACGCAAAACTTCATGACTAATTATGCAGGATTAAGCAACACAACCATAAAACACCAAGATGGACCGCATTGATAAAGCAAATTAAAAGGAAAAGAACAGAAAAAGGGGGAAATGTAAATACCATAGGTATTCCCAGCTCTTTGAGATCATTTTCTCCCATCTGCTTCAATGCAGTCATATCAATCTGTGTAAGATCAGATATAACAATTATAAGCTGAATCAGAGAAAAGGTAGCAAAACAATTACTTGTCCACAGCAAGCTTATAAGCCCACCAAAACTCCAAAGTTAGCTATATGAGTGTCTGATAAAAGCTAAACGGTTTCACATATTATTCGATAAGCACACGATTTTTCACTAATAGACTTAGATATAACACTCGCATTCCTAATGTTGGATTCTTACAACCAAATAACCTCTTACATAGTTATAAAACAATGCCTCCACTAAGTATGGTTATACGCCACTAAAGCAACTTGTAGCACTATCACAATTTGTTCTTCCTTTTATCACTTAACATAACCTAATGAATAACCAAGGACATTAAAATAGTAAAAACAAAGATAACAAGCAACATACTTCCTCTGCCTTAAAAATGATGGCATATTTTCCCAACCCCAGCGTCTGTAGCAAGCCATCTACAGTCTGTTGTTCATCAGCCTACAAACAATAAATACCCAGAAAAGGGGAGAAAAATTAATAATTAAAAATAATTAAATAATTAAAAAAAAATCAGCAGATTGAAGTAAATTACTAAAATTTAAAAAAGAAAAGTTGGGAACTTATTATTCCACCACTTCATTATGGTTAAATCTAACTAATATTAATAAATGAAAGTTGAAACAAACAAATGACTAGCACAAAAGTTAGTAATAGGACCCATAACTGGGATGGCTATTAATTCAATGGTGAAACATGTCAAATGATACATGTTCTATGGCAGAATACCATTTTGAGGTAGAGAGACAAGAATACGTAATTTGATACGTAGCCAACACTTAGGTAATTATAATTACAGAGCTTAAAAAACTTCAAGATACAACCATAGTAAAGTACTTAATTTCCTTGTATCTCCAAGACACAGGCCTACTGTTTTCTTCATCATGCAGACAGGACACAGTTCCAACATGAAAGAAAGAGATGGTTCTAATTGTAGGATGTGGGGGAAAAGCCTGATGCAGACAATCTATGTAAAACTCAAGTGCCATCCTACTTCAATTTTCAAACTTTCAAGAATGCCTAGTCAGCTCAGCTAGTAAGATTAGCATACATGAAAACATAAATTGGACCTATAAGCATAAACAAGTTTAATGAGTTTCTTCATGGACATACAGCTACAAGCACAAAGCTTATCTGGATATATAATAGAAGCAAATCCCATTAACAAAATATGAAGCAGTAACCACCAATTAGCTATCCACAAAATAAGCTGCACTTGAGTTTTAACTCAATACACCAAAAGATAAAAGCCAATAGCAAAAGGCAAGTAGCATGTACCACGTATGAACTTTTCTGTACAATGCTGCTCAGTGGAGGAAGTTGGCTCAAATGGGGTGGAGGTGGGGCCACAGGCTTCACAGATCCAGGAGGCAATGGAGGATTAGACATGAAAGGAGCAGCATTTGTGGGCCTTGTAGTATCTAGAACATCTTTGCTCATATATGGAACCGATCTGACATCATCAAATGCCCTGTTTAATGGCCTTCTCTGCAATTCGTCAGGATTCCTCTGGGGGGAGAGGGCCCTAGAAGTGACTATAACTCTATCTGGGGATCTTCGTCTTAAATGGTCCAGTGTCCAAGGGGAATAAGAATTTCTCAATGAGTCCACATGCGGCAAATCATCTGCACTTCTCGTAGAAGGGATTCGAGCCATGGCACCAGTCTCCTTTAGTTCGGGCAAGTGCTGCCGTGGGTCAAGGCCAGTAGAAGGTCGCTGAACTGCCTTTGAAAGCTTCTCACGAAGGTCCCCATGCCTCTGATCATCATCACTCTGAGCTCGTCTAAACGCATTCTTTTGCATGAGTTTAAGTCGGAGGTCACCTTTACCAATGCGCGCATCTTTGTGATTTAAAGGCAGAGAGGTTAGAAATTGGAAATTAATTCAGAAATACAGTAATGCAGTAAGGCAGCAATATTGCAATTGCTCCGGAGTAAGCTTATTACCATCAAAACCATTGGAGTTCAAACTTGACACACCATAATCTCCTCGCTGGCTGCAAGGTAAAATAAGACCATAAATTTGACTTTGGCTGGGGACTTTTATGCTCATAGAATGTAAAAACCATATAGACATCAAAACATTCTTGCTCCATTGCCGACAGTCATACGTATTGCCTGCGACTTATACCAATATTTCAATATAACTCAATATCCATGTTATTTAATTTTGTATCAATAGTATAATTTACAAGGAATTATAAAAGGCACCGAGAGGAGAGAAGCTCTGAGTCAGACATGGCAACATTCAAAGCAACAGTATCTTTCTAAAAACAATAATAATAGAACTTGAAAAGTAAAGAAGGGCATACCGTTTGTTGCTGTTGTGTAGGCTTCCATGCGAGAAAGCACCATCTACATTACCTCCTAACCTATCTCTAACAGACCGCTTGGTCCCAGCTGCAGGCAGAGAATCAGATAAAGAACCATCAGACCCGGAAACTGCCCTCTTCACTACCTGTCAAATGGTGATACAAGTCATTGCACTTTCATGGACACCAAAACCAGGGAAAAACCCAACCTTCCTAGCAGTTGCTGATATAATTGAGTAAATACAATTAAATGTTGAAAATTCAATTCCTTTAATTCATGTTGCTTTAGTTTCTTTCTTTTCACTAACTACAAATGTAGACTTATTCAGTTTTATGAATCCCAAAGAAAAAGTTGTACATACACATACATATAATACAGAAAATGAGAAATTGGATAAGTTGCATAAGGAAGCAATGAAAGATCATATTGCAAGCTTAAAGAGGTATAGTGGATTAGATACCTGGCCACCACGCCCAAGCGTAATGGTAACTTGGCCCCTCGAAGTCCCTGACATATTTTCGAATCCGAAACCCTAGGTTATCAATCAGGTAATCAGGCTTGTACCACGACTGTGACAGCTGGTAAACGAGGCATCACCGCTGCAGAAACCCTAATCTCATTGCCGAAGCCAGCCAAAGCGAAACTCAAGAAGATTGATAATCGTCTGTTTGTCTGCAACTTATGGCGAGCAATTAGGGTTACAGAGAGAGAGAGATAGAAAATTTGAGTTTGGCGTGTTTTTGGGTCGAAATGAAATAAAATGAAAACGATGACAATGGCGAACTTGGGAAGATGGTCGGCCCCCGAATTTTATTTGATCGGACCAATATGAGACGTCTAATTACTGGACACTCTCAAAGTCTCAAGTCTTTTGACCCCCTTTTCAAACGAAAGGCCAAAAACTAATTAAATAATTAAAAAGAAAAAGGAATGAAAATGTAAGGAAAGGGAAGGACGGTGTTTTCTTCGGTAAATAAATAAATAATAATTGCATTTTATCACATATTTGCAAGAGACATAATTAAAGTTGCACATAAAATTATTTATGAAAAGAAAAAGAAAAATTGCACCATAAAAAGATAAGGGCCGAGGTCTCCTAGAGCCCACCAAAGATAATACAAGGCCCAAACAACAAAGTCAAAGTCAAAATCAAGTCAAAAGAGACAGCAGCAGGAGCAGCCCAACGTTGGAGGTTCAGAGCTTTCTTTACGCCAAGAAATGAAAACTTGGCTTCAAGCCTTCATCAAATAATTAATTATAGAGAGTCTGATTTGGCTGTGTGACGTGTCTCTCTGCCTTCATTTGAGTTAAAAGCTTATGGTTACTTGATAAATTATTCTGTTTTCTTAATTATACAAAAAGCATATGAAATTGTTGAGAATTCCTTTCGTGGGATAGACTTTTTTCTGGCGAATTGTGTTCTTTCCCGACAAATATATAATACTATAAACCTCTCCAATACCTATAACCAATTGATTTTGAATTGTTCAAAATTTGAAAAATACACGCATCCATATAGTCTACGAACTGAATATTGTGTGAGATAAAAATTAATTCATATTATTACAGACAAGTAAATAATTTCTTCCAGCTAGCCCTACTAACAGTCCATCCTAGATGTGAAGATTGAGCGGAAAAATTAAATGGATCGGCTGTCAAATATGGTCATGATCATGTGCAAGTATCCAAGATAGTTGCCCAGCAGAAGGAGAAATTATAAAGCATCCAAATTAACCACTAAGACTTTGTAACATATAATTATATATGGAAAATTTTGAAATATATATACAGATATGTTTTTATTGAGAGGACTTAATTAAGCTACTCAAATCTTCACACATATCATAGGTCGAAATTGAATTCATTAGGCATTATAGCATCCAAAGGTATACAAAATAAATGAGCTTCTGGATCAATTGAGCTACTCATATATGATACAAAACGACATTAATATATGTTCGTTGTAGTACATGCAAATGGACTTTCAGATCTCTACCTGTTGTTGCCTTTAAAGAAATGCACACCATTAGTATATACAGTCAGGATCAACAACCATAGACGTCTTTGATATTTAACGAGAGAGAGAGAGAGAGAGAGAGAGAGAGGAGAGAGAGAGAGAGAGAGAGAGAGGAATTGAACGTACATGATATGTATATTGAAGGTTTTTTTTTCTTTTTTTTACAGCACAAGCACACAACACAAAGAACACAAGGAACACAAAGAACACAAACACAAATGATAGGATCCTATTATTCAATCAACTAAACCAAAGCCCAAACATACTTACTAGGTATATATGAGTCCCGAGACTCTCACGAATTCAATTCAGATCGATATACCAACAAAATTAAAAAAGCAAATCATTGTACAAACAGACGTACGAAAGCACTCAAACTTGTGTAGATTTGCTTGATGCAGCAAACAATCGGACCACAACGCTTCAATTCCCCAAGAGATAGATGAAGAAGAGAGAAGAAACTAACATCAAAATCTGCTGCTAGCATATATCGAGATCCAAGAAGAAGATCTTGACCCTAGCTAACCCTTCGATCGGTATTCAGAATAGATTACTGGAAACGGATGGTAGGTAGGGTTTCTTCTTCTTGAGTGAACCCATCTTCTCTAGTCTAAATCTAACGGCCTAGCTTGCTCTTTAGTCTTCTTTCGCTTTCTTCTCGGTTTGATCTTCGAGGTGGAGGGTGGTTTTGGTGGGGTTGGCGGGTGGCTTAAGAAGGAGTAGGAGTAGCAGTGGTGATGGCGATGATGAGGAGAGTGAGGGGTTAATGATGAGAGGAAGAGAGGAGAAGACATGATGATTAAAACGCGCTGTGCTAGCTAGTTTTTGTTTTTTTTTTTTTTTTTTTTTTTTTTTTTTTTTTTTGATTAGGGAGTGAAGAAGAGATTTCTATACAGTTTCAAGAGAACTGGATTTGATGGCTAATGTTGCTTCTTCCACATGGAGATAATTATCACAAAGCTATACCATCATTCTGCCTTTCTCTCTTTTCTCTCTCCCCAAAACCCCAGAAAGTCCTAACCTAATAAGCCCTTGTACTTCTACCACCTAAAAGCGAGGCGGTGGAATTTGACTGTGCACAAAGAGAGAGTAGGGCAGCAGAGAAATATTATCTATACTATCTTCTTCTTTTTTCCCTTAAAAAAAACTCTACATATATTATTTTTATTAAAAGGGATGTTGAATTTAAACTCGACACCTCTTTCAACTTTGGAAATAGAAATTTCATTGCCCTAGCTAATAGTTAATTTGTAAAAATATATGGTTGAGGATTGTTTATTTACTTGCAAAGTAAAAAAACATTTATATAGTATGTTTGTTTATAAAGTGTTACTATATACCCACGGAAGTGGTATCCATTCTCTTACATGCGTGAAAATGAAAGCACATTTAAATTACAAAAAGGAAAATGCTAGGCAGTGGCAGATTCGGGATTCTTGGGTCAAGGGGTCTTAATGTAAAATTGTCAAAAAATTTCCTACAAAGAAAATAATACTAGTGGAGAGGCAGTGGTGGAGGTTGGGAGGTTGGGGCTCCTAGTGTTGTGAAATATTAATTTGGGAATGAAAGGGGTTTGGGGATGTGCAGTGGAATCAGATAAATGGGAGGAGAGGAGGATTTTTTTTTTTCTTTTTTTTTTGAGTAAGTCTAGCTAAAAACGATGTAATTTTGAGGCCATGTCAATTTAAAAAATTGAATGAGCCTTGGACCAAACGACATTGTTTGGCCAAGCCTTTTTTAAATTAAAAAAAAATTGGATCTTGCCTGCGCGGAGCAACGCAAGGCAAGCCCACAGGGGACTTTCATCGAGCACCTTATGTGCATACAAAGGGTCGTTCTGCTGCTGTCCAAGGGATCTCACTCATGGAGTCCACAGCTAGATTTTCGACATCCTAATGGGTCGTGCGACCCCTCTTGTCCCAACTTGTGTGCTCCCTTAATGCTAGGCTTACCACATTTTTATAGCACATTGTATACCACTTCTCTAATAGAGGTGGAGCCCACCAATACAATGGGGCTCATTTATATTAGAGAGGTGGTATACAATGTGGTATAAAAATATGATAAGCCTAGCATTTTCTTTACATAAATGGGAGGTACTAATTCAAAGCCGATATATATATATATATAAAGAATACAGATCATAGTGATCAACCTATAGTTTGTCTTTGCCCCAATCATGAGATGTTGATGGTGGCGACACTAATTACAAAATTTAATGATTGTGGTTAGGACCTTAGGAAGCTGAAAATAAGTATTTGGCAATGGAAAAGAGATCGACTATAGCTCAAGTTGATGATTTATGATTATGATGTCTTGCGAAATTGATGCATGCATTAACAAATTAACTTTGCCTTTTCCTTTCATGTGACAAACTAGCCATATCTTTGGTGCCAAATTAACTTTGCCTTTCATCATGTTAACTTGCACCACTCAGTTTGCAAGTTTGCATAAGCCAGTTATGGAAAAATGGCAATCAAGCAGATCAATTTTTTAGTGCAGCAATAAAAATGAGTCACTATATTTTGGCCTCATGATAACAATCTCTAATTTAATTTACGTTTGACCCTAATTTTGAGTAAAGTCATTTCTTTTAATTTACTCAATTTTTTCGATTCCAATTCTTTTTAGCTGCTTTCACCTAACATTTGAAAAAACCGCCTATATATGAAATGAAAGGTAGTGCAATGACCAATTACAGGACGCATAATTTCATCACTAATAAGTATTTCTGTATCGATAAAATAAACAAACACAATCCTTTTCCTTTCTGCTTGCTAGGTATAGCTTCTACTAAGTTTGAACTTGAGCAAAGCATTGGAATAAGGTTAGCTTCTACGATGTCACCACATTTGACTGAAGTTTAGAGGTCAATAAACGTCACGATTCACGAACAATAATGCAGAGGGAGCATATGATTAGTTCTTCATGGATCATAGATATAGCACATGAGTTTTGGTCAATTTTTAAAATCTTGTATAGCTAGAAGGAGGAGATATCATCATGTCAATCCATTTACTTTGCCAGTGGTCATGATTATGATTCCATTTTCTGGGGCAACCCAAAAGGTCATACTTTTTTGGAATCAAAGTTAATTCTTTTCATAAATTTGGGGGAGCCATGTAGAGCACTGTAACAACACCCACCAAGTTGGGCTCCACAACAAATTTACTCAAACCCAACCCTTTCTTTCTTTCTTTCTTTCTTTCTTCAACTCCCAAACGAGTCAAAACCAAAAGGCTACATTTTCACTCTCAATTTGACTTCTCCATTGTTGACCCAAAAAAAATAATTTTGACTTATTAATGAGAACAGCCAACAAGATTGAGCCACGTGCCACATGTCATCATCACCTCCCTCAATCAATTGGAGAAAAGTATTGTCTGTAACTTTCTGTGTGACATTTACTGTTTTACTGCTTATAAGCTATAATATTACCCTACCTTTTACGTAAGATTACGGCAGCACAGAAGAACTCTTTTTCTTTTTTGTTACTT